TCGTGGTCTTCTTCCTCCCAAAAGAACCCTAAAGCAGCTAAAGGATGATATAATGTTCCATGCACAGACCTATCAGGTATATGTATGTTTTTTGTTGTTTTGATTGTATTGGATAACACATATCCCAAATATATAGTCATATCTTTTACCAATTATAACACAAATTCCTTCCTTCAGGCTCTCTTTCGTTGTATGCTGGAAATGACAAGATTTACATACGGTCCAGAAGTCTTTAAATCATGTTCAGGTTTTCCAAGGTATGATTCAATTTTATGTTTTACTAATAATCTGTTGTCCATTGCATTTCAGGAAGATCAAAATGTTCCTTTTATTGTTTAATTCAGGGTACGATATGAATTACAAGCAACATGTGAGTGTGAGGGAAAATATGTTGATGTTGTATTTGATCATGAAGCTGTGTTGGGCTTGGTTTGGGTGTCACCCGAGGAACTTTTCAGTCTAACCTATGAAGAAGGATATCAGTACATTCAAGACAGATGTTATGTGCCTTTTATGGCCGAAGCTTATGTTGCTCCTGGGACTTCAGAAAATCCTCCTGCAATCCGAATTGCTTCAATCTGGAACCCTAATGCTTTTGTGTGATTAGAAACTGTTCTACTTGGAACTTAGTTTGTCGGGACGGCTTATTTATAATTATGTATGTTATCTATTCAGGACATGTTGCTCTGTTTTCTGTAAAAATAACTTAGGGGTCGTTTGGAAGTTGCGATTGTTAAATAGATGTATTGTTGAGAATGCATGTATAATATTATACGTGTATTGTCGAATTTGATGCATTATAGAATACAACGTTTGGTATGTGTGATTGTGTATGTCGCATCAACTAAAAGCTGATATAAAACAATCTTAACTCAACTATCTTAACAATCACAACTAAAAGTTGAGATATAACAATCACTCAAAATGAGTGATAGTTTCTGTCACATCACATAAACAATCCATGTATTGTTTCTGCTAAAAAAACAAAAAAACGATGCATTATAAACAATACATGCATAATGACAATCTCAACAAAACTATCGCAACTTCCAAACGACCCCTTAATGTTTTCCCCTAACTACTCTGGTATTTTGGAAATTCACCAATGTACCCGCTTCAACAATTTGCTAGCCGCTGGTTATTCTGTTTAGTACATATGGAAATCCCTAATGTTTGTATCTCAATAATTTAGAGAGGTTAATCTTTTGATTTGATCATGAAAAACTAGCAGGAGACATTATTTGCGTTTTGAATTCTGGGCATGTTCTTCATGTTCTTCCTGTTCTTGCAGAATGACACAATAGAATATTTGATCATGATCCTTTGATCGAAATTAGCAGGAGACATTGTTTGCGTTTTGAATTCTTCGGCCTTAAACGCTTACTAAAACCGAGCCCACGTTTTCTTACGTTTTGATAATAATGGAATGGTATTGAGCCCAGCCCGAACATGCTTTAGGATTGCAGACAGAAGCCCATGGGAAACTGGCCCAAAATCACCGCTTCCTTTATAATCCCTAATAATTGTCTTCATCAACCAGATCCGCCGTCCACATTTCCATACACTTTGCTCCGCCGCGAAAGCCCCACCACCGAACTACACGACAGCCTTTAAAACAAAGGCAACTCCACGTCCTCCTCTTCCTCACTGTTTTCACACTTGGGAATTAACTTCTGATCATCATCCACATTTTTTTCGTAAAGACCCCAAAAGACATGGAGGGTTTGGCTAAAAACCAGCAGTCAACAGAGGACGCTCACATGGTCCCCACCGACAACAAAGGTGAATGCTTTCCATTTTTGTTAAAGAATACTACCAGGTATCTCGAATCCTCTGCTCCAAAGATAAAATATGTGTTTCATTTCCCTATACTGTCTTATTATAGATCCGATCGAAACTTGCATGCCATTTCGAGGGCTGCGTCTGGGCACCAACGTCCGCATAGTAATTGCTAGGCATGTGATGGCATGGCTCGAGTATCGAGAGGCGCCTAAGCTTAAAAATCTTAGCATGCACATGATCTGGATAGATAAAAAGGTTTTTTTTCCATTTCAGTTACAGAATTAGATAATCTCTTCATCAACAATTTTAAACTACTATAATACATGATTTGGAACCGTTTAACTGCTTATCTTATAGGCACGACTAATCGAGTCAATGGTTGATGAAAAAGACATCGCCGAGATTTCTCGCAAGATAAAAGTCGGGAACCTTTATCAGTTTGATTCGGTTGAAGCAATACCAGCAAGAGAGAATCCAAGGATCGTTGCAGGAGAGTTAAGAGTGCACATAACCGCTGATCAAAAAATTACCAGGATTGAGGAGGACCCAGATGAGCCACGCTTGCCCGCTGGCTGGGACATTGGGATGGCTTTTTCGATTGTACCACTTCAGACAAACACCATCGACTATCATACAGGTACATTAACCATATCTATTTGATATAATAAAATGAACTTAAGCTTTTAAGTGACAAACTCTTATGTTGCTTATAGACATCACCGTATGCATTAGGCGTCTCAGTGTTCCCACAACAATTCGCAGTAGACTCAAAGAATTTCACATGGTCGTTCAGGATGTGAGGTACATTTTGTAGAATAGAATCTCGATCTGCGAATTGTATGAATAAACAACCTCACATATTATTGTCATTGACAGTGGCGCTAAGGCAACTGTTCGGTATCGTGGATATGATATACCGAACTTCTTAGAGAACGCCCTGACAGCTGAGGCTCATCTGCCTCTGATTGTTACAATCAAGTCTGTCATTCAGGTGGCACCTCTAGCCGACCAGAAATACAAGTATCGGTTCGAATCCACTCCTGCCAGTGCACTCAAGATCAGATCTTATACAGTCCCATACCAGGAGATAATGCACATGTACATTTAGTTTGACAGAATCCTTTCCATTTTTTGAATCATATTTGTTGCCAGTAGGCCAAAACCAATTACATTGACACTTTTGTCTCTTTTATGCTACAACCAGTTTCCTTTACAGCCGCAGGCAAGTTTATTTCATGGATGCCAATACCAGCAAGAAGACAGGCTGCCTTCGATCAAGAATCGAAAAGAAGACACTCTCTGACATGGAAACAATGCTTGCATCTGATCAGACTGTCCACAAGGTTAGTGAGGGACAGAACATAAACCAAACTCCTATACTATGTACCTACATTTTTCGTAGACCTATATCTTATGAATATCTGATGTTCATGCTAGGTACTCTATCGTGTTAAGTTCTTCATCTCACAAATGAAATTTCGAAAAGCCATATGTCAAGCGACTGAGGACTGGCCAGAGTAAGTTTTCTATTTCAAAACAACAATTACTTCTCATGTGAATGAATCTATCTACGAATAAGCCAACAAGTTTCTGAACTTATACTTATGACTAGGCTGCACTATGAGTTGGAAGTCAAATGCAAGCAAGGAGATGATAGTGTTGATGCCATACTGGACCACGAGGCTACACTATCAATAATAGGAATGTCACCCAGCAAATACAAAAAACTCGATGCAGAATCGGCCAAGGCGTTGCTGGTCAAAAGATGTAGCAGAATGTTTGCAGGAGAGCTCTACATCGGTTCCTCAGATCTGAAGAACAGAACCAGAACAGCCGTATCCCAAATAAGAGTCGCATCACTTTGGCATACCTCAAGGATAGATAAGTGACCATCAGCACTACTGACAGAAAGGAAGGCCAACCGAAGTATCCCATCCACCCCCAGAATTCTCCATTTTAAACTGACGTTTCTATTCCCTATTTTCAATGAAGACAAAACAATGGCAAATGTGTTTGTGTTTTTTAATTTCGTCAAGGGCATCAGATACTAAAATTTTTATTCCCTATTTTCAATGAAGACAAAACTATGGCAAATGTATATATGTGGTGTGCACAAAGATTGTTAATATGTTTGTTAATTTCTGCGCTCTCTCGCGCAATGAATCTAAACTATTTGCGAATGGTATAGCAGAAAGAACATAACAAAATCCACAAAACAACTGGAGTCACACTTACCCCGCCGCGAAGCGCGGGTCAAGTGCTAGTTATATATACAGCACCCCCTTAATTTACAAGCACTCCAGCTTCAAATTGTTTGTTTGTCTTTTCTCAACATATATGAACCAACTACTTAATCATGCATACATATAAAAATGAAGAAGACAGGCGCACTAGCTAGTCTTATTTGTATATTATCTCCTCCTGTATGCATTCCCCTTTATCAATGTCAAGATTCAAGAATAGGGTTTAGAGAAAGTTGAAATTGATATGAAAACTGAAAAGAAAAAAGAGTATTGTTATTATGTTCATTATGTTTATCTATGGGTACGGATCGGATTAATCCGCGATGCCCAAGTTTGCCCCATTTGTTCTTTGCCGACAACTCGTATTTGTTTCTGCGTTGTTCTCCGCCGGAATGTGTGAGGCTAGTGGATATCCTCCAAAATTATGAAATGCTTAGTGGGCAGAAAGTTAATTTGGCTAAGTCCGCAGTGTGTATTTTAGTCGGAATGTTTTGGCAGGAGATGGTGAGGAGATGGCCTCGATTTTGGGGGTGGGAGCAGTTGGTGTTCAGGATAGATATCTTGGATTGCCTACTTTGATTCACCGGTCTAATACGGAGACGTCCAGGTTTGTGGAGGAGAAACTATATAAGTAAGCTGCAGAGTTGGAAGCAGAGGCATTTGTCGTGGGCAGTTAAGGAAGTTTTGCTTAAGTCCGTGGCGTCAGCTCTGCCAATGTAGATCATGGCTTGTTTTCTTCTCCCTGTGACGGTTTGTCGTAAATTGGATCGTCATATGGCTCGCTTTTGGTGGGCCGGTACTGAGAATAGAAGTCGTATCAAATGGATTTCGTGGCGGAACATCTGTAGAAGTAAGTTTGATGAAGGATTGGGTTTTCGGCGGTTTGAGTTGGTTAATCAAGCATTACTTGCTAAGATTGGCTGGCGGATTATGTCCGAGCCAGACTCCATGTTAGCTAGGGTCTTAAAGGGGAAGTACTTTCCGGATTGTTCATTCTTAGAGGCGCAGGCCCGTTCTAGGCCTTCATGGGGTTGGAGGGTGTCTCCTTGTTTGTTTATTCCCAGGGGCACACCCTCCTCTACTTTTTTGTGTATGTTCATAATTTACTCCTCATCGCCACCGAAAATGATGAGGAGACACTCACAGTTTTTCAGCAGGCTCTCTCTCATTGATTTTCTCTCAAGGCACTTGGTGAGGTTAATTATTTCTTGGCATAAGTATATGGTCGACATTCTCCAACGTTTTCTCATGACCGACGCTAAGGTTGTTCACACTCCCATGACTGCCTCCACTTCTCTCACTCTCACTGATGGAAGCCCCCTACTGATGCTACGCGCTATCGTCGGATTATCGGCGCTCTTCAGTATCTTGTCTACACTCGCCCAGACATTGCCTACTTTATCAACAAGCTCTCTCAGTACATGCACACACCCTCCACTTATCATTGGCAATGTGTCAAGCGGCTTCTTCGTTATGTCTCTAGCACTCGGACATATGGCCTCTCTATTCGTTGCTCACCTGGCTCGCTCTCTTTATCTAGCTTTGCTGATTCGGACTGGGCCGACAATCTAGATGAACTCTCTTCTACCTATGGTTATCTTATCTATCTTGGCTCTACTCTCGCTTCCCGACGATCTAAAAAACAATGCATGTTGGCTCGTTCTAGTACCGAGGTGGAGTAACGCGTCATTGCCCATGCCACAGCCAAATTGGGATGGGTTCAGAATTTACTCGTTGAGCTTCATCAACCTCTACCTTCTCCATCGACTCTGTATTCTGACAACCTTGGTGCTACTTACTTCAACTCCAACCTACTCCTTCATTCTCGCATGAAGCACCTTGCCTTGGATGATCACTTTGTGCGTCAACTGGTTCAGGCTGGTCGTCTCCGTGTCTACTACATTCCCACGGCTCACCAACTCGTTGATGCTCTCGCCAAGCCTCTACCCTCCATTCGTAACCTTCTTCTTCGATCCAAGATCGGAGTCGTATATACGTCATCCGTCTTGCGGGGGCGTATTAGAGATAGTAAATAAAAACCTTTTTATTTCCTTATTTCTTCCACTATGTTTGAGTTACTACTTCTGTGGAACGTGAGTAACTTTCTGTTGCTATGTTGCTACAGAAACTCATTGTATTTGTAAATATTTGTGATTGTTGTACATCAATAAAACCAAGTCTGATTTTCCACAATCACAAGATCAGAATTCTGTTTTAAATATATAGCTACGTCCAATTCTCACCCAGGCTTCTTTGTGCCAAAGTGACATTTTCCTTTTTTTTTCATACATGCTTCTTTTCAAACCAAACAAAAACTAAAAATGATAGCTGAATTAATTATCTCTATTTATCCAACATGATCACTTTCTCAAAAACTTGAATCTGAAACTTTTATGAGTCCAACATTAGGAAACCTCCCATTTCAATCTTGAAAATACATGATGAAATACGTCGTCTACTGCTAAAAAGAATTGGTCATATAAATGGGGTCGTTACCAAAATCAAAACGACCTCATAACTTACTAAACAGTCTTATCAAGCACAACCGTTACAAAATAATAAACGGACAAAAGATTTTCCTCATGAGGAATGTCAAGAAAATAGCTAGAAAAACCACTACCCACAATCCCTTTCCACCCCACTAACAAGCCAACCTAAAAATCAAAATAATAAAGGATAGAATGTAAATTATATTGTCTATGAGAAAGCTACAAGTCACGAATTGAGGATGTGGCTGATTACAAAACACTGGCAGCTCCTTCTGTGGTCGTAGTAGCGGTGGAACTCTTCTGCTTGTCTTGTTGGCGGCGGCCAATTTTGACGGCCATGAAGTCTCCTATCAGCCCAGGCTCCATAATCTCCACGACGTCACCGTCCTCATTCGTCCCATTCATCATTTTCAGAGCCGCGGACATGGTGGGCCGCAGGCTGCTCTTCTGCTGGAGGCAAAGCAGAGCCACTACGAGGAACCTCTCTGCTTCTTCCTCGAACCCTGAATTTTCCCCGTCCTTCAGCATGATGGGATCCACCAGCTGAATCATTTGGTCGGATTTGTACATCTGCCACGCCCTCTCCACGAGGAAGTACTGCTCACCAAGTGTTTGATCAAAGTCCACAACCGTTTTCCCGCTCACGATCTCCAAAAGCAACACGCCGAAGCTGTACACGTCCAGCTTCCTCGTCAGGTGCCCGCTGATTGCGTACTCCGGCGCCAGATACCCTCTTCCTCGAATTCGAAACCCCAAATTGTTAGATTCGTAATCGGTAAATTGAACCGGCGGCGGTGAGTTGTGAAAAAAAAAGGCTTACAATGTGCCGGCGACTCGGGTGGTAATGTGGGTGATGTCGTCGTCGGGGAAGAACTTGGACAGGCCGAAGTCTGAGATCTTGGGCCTGAGGTCCAGGTCCAGTAAGATGTTGGTGGGCTTGATGTCGCGGTGGACTATACGTGGATGGATCTCCCCGTGCAAGTAGGCAAGGCCCGCCGCGATCCCCAGCGCGATTTCTTTCCTTACTTCCCAGGTGTTCAACAATGTGGTCTTGTTGTCCAGCAGGTTCTGGGCGAGGTTGCCGTTATCCATGTACTCGTAGACCAGCATCCGACGTGGCCCGTCGACGCAGCCGCCGATGAGGTGGACCAAGTTGTCGTGGGTGACGTGGGACAGGGTTGCCAGCTCGGACATGAACTCACGGTCTCCTTGCCTTGACTCCGCTGACAGGACTTTTATTGCCACCGGTGTCCCGTCCTCTAACCTTCCCTGAAACGATCGACAGAGCTCGTATTAACAGAATCATATATGACCCTATGGCGTCGCAATTCTATCTCTTTAAACTTTCGTACTATCAACAGTTTGAATGTATTTTTGGCCGATCGACATTAATCGTTATTCATTGTTACGTACCTTATAAACGGAGCCGAAACCACCTTCTCCAATCCTTTTGGATGGATGGAAGCGATCGGTGGCCATGTCCAGCTGGTTGAACGTAAACGTTTGCACATTTTCAAAAATCGTTGCCTTTTCGTCCACTCTTCCTCTCCCTGCAGGATTTCATTGATAAATGCAAAAACAGTACGTGTTTTAATTTACAGGAAGAAAAAGAGTACGAATATTTTACTCCTAATGTAAACAGGATAAATTTTATACTAACCATAAGCTTATATTATATTTGCTACACATGCATTACGTTTTACGTATGCTAGCATTTGCCAGGTTAGGCTAGCGTATGTCAGTCGTACATTGTACGCTCGTCGAGTTTTACTATTTAGAGTACGAATTAATCGGAGTTTGGGGTGGCATGATACTATACCCTAACCTCTAATGGGTGAATCCTAGTCCCTAATTCTCTAACTCAAGCCATAAGATTCATTTAATCTAAAAAATAATAACCGACGGTTCTGATTCAACAAAATATATTGAAGTGCAAAAATCAAGTGTGAACACAGATCTACAGCGTATGTCTGACGTATGCTAGCCTTTGCCATGTATGGTTCTAAATATATATATTTTTTAATAGAAATCTGTGTGAAACTAGGGCTAAAAATTTGCTTGTTCCGTCCCTGTCCCTGTCTGACCCGTCCCTGAAGGGTCAAGATGTATAACCGTCCCGTCTCGTCCCTGTCTCCTTCTTGACCATGTCTGACCCTCAAGGGTTGGGACGGGACGGGACGGGTCAGTGGGTCGACCCTAATCAATACACTACTTTTTTACAAATTACGTTTTGATACCCAAAATTATTTTTTCTTACAATTTAGTACCTAAATTTTATTTTTTTTTACAAATAAGTCCATAAATTTTGATGGTAAAATTACGTTTTGGTACCCAATTTTTTTTATTTTTACAACTCAGTACCTAAACTTTTAAAACTTTACAAAAAGGTCCAACGAAGTATGAGATATTTGTTGTTGCTAAGGGTCACAGGGTCAAAACGTGACCCGTCCCTAAGTTGTCGGCCTTATAAATCTGTCCCTGTAGAGGTCGGGACGGGTCAGTGGGTCTTCCAGGACAAGCTTTCACCCCTATGTGAAACCGTATCTATCCGGCAACAATGCTGTATGTATATTTCGTTTTTATTTTTTCCAGGCTGTAATGGCTTAGCTGATGTTCACCATATATATATAGTCTAAAAAAACAATAACTAAGTTGACTTTTCCTCTTGTCCTATCTCAGGCTGAGCCTCATGGCCATTATATATTATTATTATCATAATAAAAATTGTATATAATGCCTTTCATAACTTCTAATTATATTATGCATGGGTCTTTAATAATTAATTAACTAATTAATTATATATACATGGATCTATCCATTGACAAGAACGAAATTTATACAGAATTCTCTATCATCCTTGGCTAATCTCCCCAATATTGTAATTCTTGTAAACCTTAAGTAGCTAGTCCTTCAAGGACTGTCCTTGTGTAATCACACACAGCTTATTATATAAATAAATAAACAAATCCTCTTGTAATTTTGTAATACATATACAGTAGAGATTAGATACCCAGAAAGAAAGAAATGATGAGGAGTACCTTGGCCGGCTTTGGGACGTCGTACGCCGGCGCTGCTGCTTTGATCGTCGGTAGGAGGAAGATGATGATGATCGGAGGAAGAAAACGGCGGTGGAGAAGAAGAGAAGCATTTGAAGAAACTCGAGGAAGATGATGCCTTACTGCTGTTGCTGCTACGACTGCTTGCGCTCGAGCTAGTGCCACTGCATGTAATCGTCGAGGATTCTCCCATCAGCTGCTTCTTCTTCAACCTGTTCAGGATCATCTTCTCCAGCCTCATAGTTATTGATGATTTTCTCTGCCTAAGCTTAGCTTGCTATTTCCTAGCTAGCTTCTGCACTTCGATATCGATAGCCGGCTTTAAGAACTTTTCTTCTTATCAATGCGAGTATGGCCGTGGTGTATACTATTTTATATATAGAGACGGTTGGCTGTCCAATAAACATATGATTATATATTGTCAAAATGTGAGCACTTCTACTATGCTATATAGTGTTGGTGTTTTAATGTAAAATTTAAAGTTGTATTATAGCATTAAATGTATAAGTTTAGATTGTACCATAAAATAATTTGTATCATTATGTTATGGTACAACTTGAAGTTGTACCATCACATAAAGATACAATTTCAAGTTGTACCATAAAGAATTTGTACAAAAAGTATAGGTATAATCTGAAGTTGTACCATAACGTAAATATACAATTTCAAGTTGTACCATAAAGACAAAACCCGATAGCACCAATCCTATACAGCATTGTAAAATTTCTCGCGGAAATGTAGACATGAATAGATTGGTGAAAGGTCCTCTATTTAATGATAAAAGTATTGTCAACTTTGTATAATGTATTATGTAGGACAACAAACTGTTGAGTTGGGTTGGGACTACATTTGAGTTGAATTGACTCTTCCAAATTCGTCTAGAAGCATAGCCCCCAAAACAAAAAATGAAGTGGATCATCGTTTCGCGGTTTACAAACGTGCAAGTTACCTAAATTAGCAGTATGCATAACATTATAATATAACAAGTTTACTACTCTTGGTATCAGCAGATGCCACATTCTACAGGTTCCCTTGTCTTGAGTTCAAACCCTATCGTACTTCTGGGATAATAAGAATTTATCTATTTTCTGACCCAAAAACGAGGATTTCGTATCTATATAGTGCTGAAAACCACAGGATACATGAATGAGAAAGAACGATAAATGGTAGTGTCCATATGCAATCAGATTATCAATGGAAGAACTTGTTTGTCACTAAGTGGATATAGCTCCGTTACAACTCTCTGAAGAGTAAAAGACGTAAGCGAAACGAGAAAGAAGCATACATGATACAAACTTCTTTCATCCTGAAGAACCTCTCCGAGAAATCAACAAATTGAAAAATGTAGCCGGATGTTAGCCAATGAGGCACCCCCTAGACCATGAGTCGGATCTCTCTAGCCCGAGAAACTTTCGTGAAAGTGTTCAAACAGGAAAGCAAACTAACCGAACTCACGAAACAAAGCCAAACAAAATGGACCCTAACTAAGAACTACAAATACATCAGAACATATAGAACACACCTGCCGTACTTGTGGTGTCGTCTGAATTTCGAATAATACACATACATAAAAAAGTATAAAACAAATCTAAGTGAAACAAGTCCGCCCATATTGTTGTTATTGTAGTAAATGAAAATTAAAATCACTAAGGGGTCGTTTGGATGCAGGAAATTTGATATAAAATCTCTCATTTAAAATACCAGGAAATTTAAATGTAGGATTTAACCGTAATAACTCGTTTGGATTAAGCCCAGGGATTTCAACCAAAAATGTTAAATTAACCTCATCTCTCATCTTTGGATTCCCCGTCTCTCATCTTTGAGTTCTTCCCCACGGTCATTGACCAGTGACCTTCTTTGAATAAGCCAGCTATTGTGCCATAGCACCCAATAACATCGACTGAACAAGAAGAATCAAAGCTTTCGTAGATGGCGAGAAGTGAAGGAGGCGAGAGAGAGAACGATACACAAATTGGATGGAAATGAAATTGGGATCCAGAGGAGATTGGGGACGGAAGAAGGGGGATTTCTGGGTTCATCGAGCATCATCGCCATCGTTGGATTCTCCCAATAGCATCGCCGCCATTTCAGTTCTGGATGCCAGAACCCAGAGTGGAACTTTTCCCCATTACAGGCTTCCATCCACACCGTCGTTTCTCCATTGATACTAAGAAGCCAGATCTGTTTCGCGGAGATGGTGGTGATGTAGTTCCATGGCAGAGACCCCTGAGGAGAGGAGTCAGTGACGCCGGCCACTGCTCAGAAGAGGTACAGTCGCAGGAAGGAAGAAGAGGACGAGAGTGATAACCGGGATGGGAAGGAAGAAGAAATCGCCATCGAAGGTTAATTATGGACAAATGGAAAATAAAATGAGAGATTTTAAAATCCTGAATGTCCCAAATCTTGCAAAGCTCTTTCCAAACGAGTGACTTTGTTAAAATCTGGCATAATGAGAGATTTTAATAAAATCCCTCATCTAAATCCTTAATCCAAACGACCCCTAAAAAACATGTACTAGTCCATTTTTAATAAGGATGACAATTCCTACCTGAGAAATAATGGTAAAGAAAACAATCATTAACATTAATTAGGCATTTAATCAGGAAGTTAGCAATGGAAACCTTCAACATCCACATTTTCTATTGTTCATTAATGTATAAACTAAATAGGTTTAAATTTCTTCATGTTAATTTCTTCTAAAGAGTTGTATCGTCTCATTCCCATGTAAATGAGAGTACAATTGTGTTTCCCTTTGAGATGGTATTTCACATCTGGCATGAAGAATTATTGGATTCCATATATTGACCGACCCGGTCCACGGTCACCGGCCGGTTGACGTCTTCCGATTCTTTGGAATGTCGGAATTATGGTTTCTCTTTACTACATGCTTTTGCTGATGCAGGACCGGTTCTAAAATTCTATTTCTAATGCATACTTTCCAAAATTCCCTGCCCCGTAAATTACCCTCTTCTGGTATCGCGGAATACACTTCCATTTTTGTATCTAAAAAACAAGTACGTGATATGTGACAGTCCTGCACCGCTAGTGGCGGAGAGCTATAATTTCACCGAAAATGGTCCACCGATCGAATAAAATAGAAACAACAATTGAATGTGTAGCAAAACTAGTACATAAAGTTTGCCACTTATTCCAATAGCTAATTATGCAGCTCATAGTGGAGACAACTTTTCAAACCTTGTAGAGTTGTAGTTGTGGACTTGTTGTGGCAATGCTAACCCTACCACTTCCTTCAAAAGGAAAAACAAAGTAATGACGGATATAGATAACGCATGATTTCATTCGGACAGGCGAGGACTTGGTTACCAACCTAAGATGGAAAAGGAAGAAAGTTCCACAGTTTAGGCATGAATTTCCACATATTTTGTAAGACCAAATTCTACAAAGTTAAACAAGGAGAAAAGTCCCAAAATTTGGGTCCTTTTAGTGGGCATTTGCTATGTTCAATCAAAATGAAACCAAAAATCCTAACGTCTCGAATGCTTAATAGAATTTGAAATATGATTCGATTTGACAAAGACCGAACTGATTATAGTGCGATTCGGTTTAGTATTACGCGAACAAATCCATAAAACTTAGGGTTGTGCTGGGAGTTTTTTTTAATTCATTTCAGAATAGTACGAATTGATCACCGAGCAACTGAACTTAAGCCGAGGATTTTCGAGTCGAGAAGCTTGTGTGTTCAGTGAGTAGAAATGTAGAATTGTCCGTCCGGTTGGGTTCAGGTTCACTAAACGCGCTGACAAGGGACCAGATGTACATGGGCGCTGGGCCGTGCTTGGGCCGGCACGGCACGGGCACGATTCGGGCCCATTTATTTCGTGCCGTGCTTGGCACGGCCTGTTAGTTTTCGTGTCGTGTCATGCAAGCCCATTTGTTAACTTTGCTAGGCCCGGCCCAGGCCCGGGCACGGTTCGAATCGTGCCGTGCCTATTCGTGCTTGTGTCATGCTCATATTCGTGTTTGATGAAAAAGACGAAAACAAAAGAGATAATGAAAAAGAAGGTGAAAATAGGACGGAGGAAGATAGTATTAACCGATAATGTTTGAGAAAAGTAACAAATAAGGGGGGAAAGAAAACTGGAAGTATAGCGAGTGTGATTTGACTTTGTTTAATTCTTTGTCCATTTTTACTTATGTTAGTAATTACATATATATCTTTATGACATTTCTAACAACAACAAATAATTATTTTTCTCCTTATGTTTTGTAATATTTGAACCTATAATTCTTTTTATATTTATTTTCTATAAAATAAATATTATTTTTGTGCCATGTACGTTCTTATACTCAAGAAGGTCTCGAAAATATTAGGCCCGACACGACCCACTTATATACCGTGCAGCCCGTGAAGTTTAGGCCCGGCACGGCCCATAAATTATTAGTGCTCGTGCCGGGTTGGCCCATTTATTTCGTGCCCGTGCTCGTGCCGTGTTCTAACCGTGCCGTACCATGCTAGCCCGTGGGCGGCACGGCCCGGTGCCCACATACAGGACCAGAGACCTGATGGGCCGGACCTTGTAGGAGAGGGCCCAGGTAGACCAGCGGCTGGAAGTCGAGGCCCACAACTTCAACGGGCCACATCGGTCCATCACCCACACCCAACCGGATCCGGATAACTGCCATCCTTTTCCTGGGGCCCACCGTCTGGTGCACCTTCTTCGCCAGTAGATTCACCCGCCACCGCCCGCTCCCGCTCCACACAAACGACCGCAGCGAGCAAAGCAAGCAACGCTGCAGTTGTGTTGTTCTAATCAATTTCTCTCCAACTCTCGTCCCGCTCTTCCTCTTTCTCCATTTTCAGGTACGTCAGTCACTCTTTCATCTTTTTCCCTCTCTTATTTTTTCCCCCCTGGTAATAAGGATCTCTCTGCGTCTCTGTCACTGTCTTACTCGTCCATTTAATTCATGCATCTCCCTATGTTGATGGTTCCATCATTCCATGAACGGATGACCACTGCTTGCGAGATCTGTTTCTTTTTCTTTCAGCAGTTTCAATTTGGATTTCGTTCTCGCTGCTTCATTTCAAAAAAATTTGTCTTTATTTTTTTTTTGTCATTGGCGCCATTGCCGCCCCATATGCTTTTTGCCATATCTGGATTGGAATTTGAGTGAAAGTTGTGATCTTCTTGTTGTATCCTTATCTGGGTCGGCTTCAGATCTCTTTTTAAGTGTGCGTATGCTATTGAAGGAGCTTTTGTCATTTTGTATAAGCGCCTATCGTAAATTTGAATCCGAGGTGAATTCCCTTTTGCAGAACCGGCTGAGGATTGATTCGAGTGGGAAAGAAGTGTATTTGGCTGTGTGCTCGTCGGCTTCTGTCGATGTCAGAAGTCCCTGTCACGAGGGTCTGTTGTGTGCGGGCGTTCAAGCCCTTCCTGAAAGTTGGTTATTTTGCTAAGAATGGAAGTGTTGGAGAATCTTACCAAAATGGTAAGAAGTTGGTGGGAGCTAGCCAGGCCGTTCCTGGGCGCTTGCAGGCGTCCTTCATTGGTAAGAAACAGCTGGAGGAGCCTATTCGAGAAGTGGAATTCGTGAGGACACTATTGATTGACAACTATGATAGTTAACACCTACAATATATTCCAAGAGCTGTCCGTTGTCAATGGGGGTAATGGATGGATTTCATGTTCTAAATTTCAGTCTACCCTCATTCAGCATTTTGGTTACCATGGCATTGGTTTTCTTGTCGTGTGTATGCTAGTTTATTGGATTTGCTGGATACATTATGCGCTGAATCTTTGCCCTTTTTCCTGTCTGTCTGGGCTTCGAAACACCAGCCCCTCCTGTGGTGATTCGAAATGACGAATGGACTTGGGAACAACTGTGCCATTATTTGTATAAAGAAAAAGCATGTGACAATATTATCATATCACCTGGACCCGGGACTCCGACATGTGCAGCTGATATTGGTACGGTTCTGTCTGTAGTGAATTCATGTTTACAGACTTGCACCTTTATAGAGTAAAACAGTCAAGTGTGAGAATCAGACAACAAAATCTTAATGAATATCAGGATTTTATCCTAGCTAGTATGCTGTAGAAGTTTGAGCATATATGTGTAATTCATGCTAAGCAGAATTTGAGCTTATTTTTCCATGATAACAGATTTCAATCAAACTTGGAGACTACTTTTTGGACATTGCTTGATCTGCTTTTTGTTTCTTATTTGAAGAGGTGTATGTGATTACCTTGCCAAATCCATCGGGATCTTACAGGGCTATGTCTTCGCTTGCTACTTGAGTGCAGGGATATTCCTGTTCTTGGTGTTTGTCTTGGTCACCAGGTAATTTCCTTCTTCATTGTGGCTTCCCTGCATTTTTAATTTTCCCCTCAAAACGATATCTGCAATGTTTACAAGCAATTAGCAGTCCTTTGATAAAGAAAGTATTGTTATCATTGGATTAAAATGTATTTTCCCGTGATAGGCTATGGGTTATGTTCATGGAGCTCGCATTGTACATGCAACAGAACCAGTACATGGACGCTTGAGGTATGTGAAATGCACTCCTAGAATTATACAGATGAACAGAACCATTTTCATATCATTTTATTGCACTGGGACTGTAGATGTAAAGTTCCCACTTGTGTTCTTAGTACTTGTTTTGCTCATTGCAGTGAGATTGAACACGATGGGTGCAGATTGTTTAAGAATGTACATTCTGGCACAAAATCTGGCTTCAAGGTTAGTATTGTCTTAGTTTTTTTGTGTGGCTTCAGCGTACTAATGACCTCCACTGCGATGATCATAATTTTGACATAGACCAAAAACTATGTACTGATTAGCACAAAACTCTTTAGACTGCAAGACTATTGAAATTCTGTCCTAATATTTCAGGTGGTACATTATCATTCTCTTGTTATTGATGCGGAATCTCTAGCGAAGGAACTCATACCAATTGCATGAACTACTTCCAGTGGGACCCATTCTTTCCTTGAAACACATAGCTTGAGTGCCCTTCCTCGTGATTTTGACCACCAGATTAAGCATGATGGTGGTTATCATAATCTTCCACCAGCATCGCAAGATATGAGCTCTTGGTCTTTTAATCACACAGATGAAATGCGAAGGAAACAAGTTATCATGGGCATTAGGCATACTACTTGGCGTCATTACGGATTGCAGGTTGGCTATTCTAGTAGTTTGTATTTTCCTGTTTGTCCCAGTTTGCTCTCATTTTCCCCTAAATGTTTGATTCCTTGAAATGACAGTTCCATCCCGAGAGCATTGCAACGTGTCAGGGGAGACAGATTTTTGAGAACTTTAGAGAGATCACCGATAATTATTGGCAGAAATTGAGGTCAGCATCTATTAATGGGCATAGAACTCATTACACTGGTAAACCAGAGTTACTACACGACCTTTCATTGGTAGTTGCCTACTTGCCTTGTACTGAATATCTTCTTTGATTAATTAATGGAAACCCATTTTCAATATCCATTAAACCATGCAAAAGTTAGTTTGTGTTATTAATTTTGGAGGATGTATGGCCGTCTCTGAGTGGTAAACCTTTCTTAGCACGTATGCAGGTGCCAGATGCTACTCCACTATTTAAAGTTCCTAGGAGCTGGCAGGTGCTATGTAATGCAAGCGTTGAATCAGAGGTTCGTTTTATTAAACTGGATAACCAATTAAGCATTCATCACTTTTCTGCAGTTTTGTTTCCGTTTACTAAGCTGCAAAATATACTGTTCCCCTCTTGTATCATTTTATACTCAAGTGATAGGCCTTCTAAAGGTGGAGGTTACTTATCAATTGAAGATTCTCAAGGGTCTACAACAAGCATATTTTTGGAGAAAGGCTTTCTTGATTTCTTAAATCAGGTATTTGCTTTCTCAGGCTTTTCTCTGTTTGTGACTATCCAGGGCTTGTATGGCAGGCACCCCTTTCCGTAATAGGCTTATTCTTGTTTCTTAGTGGGTGGGGAAGTCAAGAACATTTCTCTTCATCTCAAGTTTTAAGTATTTACCAGAAACCAGGCATTATTGTGATTAGAAGTTTTATTTCGGCACCGGTGAAAATTCAATAGCACTTAAAAATCTAGTCTGATACTCCTCTGGCTACCGGATCTTTTTGCCAGGAGCACTAATCATATGATTATGATGAAAAAGATTTTGAGGGACTTCCTTTCGAATTTTCCGGTGGATCCGTTGGTTACATTGGGTAAGCTTACCTTTCCGTTTGACATTTTGGCTTTAGAATACAATGAACAAAACTATCGAAAGTCTGTATTTCATATCACTTCACTTGATTGTGCCTTAGTAAACTACCTGTTTTTCATAATTCATCGAGTAGTCACTTAGACATGGGGTTTCGTTAAAGCGATTTAAACTTTCCGTGAGAGTGATACCTTTCATTCAGAATAAACAAGACCTGGCAAAACTTAATGATCCATCAACCATCTTATGTTGAGTTTCTGTTCTTCACAGTTATGGCCTCAAAGTTGAATGCAGCAGGCTATCCAACCGACATGAATCTTCCACACCAGATGCCTGTTTTTTCTTTGCCGATAACTTTCTAGTCATTGATCATAGTACAGACGATGTGTACATAATGTCGGTACATGAGTTAGGCACAAGCAGCTCAGAATGGTTGGAGGATACTGAAAGCAAGCTCCTCCATTTACACCCTATTGCTGCAGCTACTGGCTTAAATGGCAAGATCCCAGAGTCTTGTACCACATATAACAGCGGCCGAGGCAGGTTTTTGTGCTGAAAAATCTAGAACGCAGTATATCGTAGATGTCCAGAAGTTTCTGGATTACATCAAAGATTGTGAGAGCTACGAGTTATGTTTCACTTCTCAGTTAAGGAAAAGAGTATGAGAATATTGATTCCTTAGGCCTTTACCTTCACCTGAGAGAGAAAAACCCCTGCACCATATGCTGCATGGCTTAATTTCTCGGGTGAAGATCTGTCCATCTGCTGTTCTTCACCAGAAAGGTTCCTTCACTTGGACAGAGATGGTGTACTGGAAGCAAAGCCCATCAAAGGCACGATAGCTCGTGGCACAACAAAGGAACAAGATGAACGACTCAAGCTTCAACTACAATGTAGGTTATATTATTAAGACTCTTCTGGTTTGTCTGTTAGGTATCCTCCCTACTACTTGTCAACTGGCTCATTTGACTGACCCTTTTTTCCTTCTCGCCAACAGTGAAAAGGATCAGGGCGAGAAGACTGGCTCCGTCCACGTTCCATGACTCATGGACGTGGAATCGTACGCTACCGTGCACACAATGGTCAGCACGATTCGAGGCCAAAAAGAAGTCAAATGTGAGCGCAATAGATTGTGTCAAAGCTGGCATTTCCAGGAGGGTCGATGACAAGCGCCCCAAAGTTGAGATCGATGGAGATTCTGGACGGCCTGGAAAGCTGTTCTCGCGTGGAATCTACTCCGGTTCGATCGGGTATTTCTGTTACAACCAGACGCTTGATCTCAACATTGTGATCAGAACCGTGGTAATACACCAAGGCGAAGCTTCGATAGGAGCAGGGGGAGCCATTGTTTGCCCTGTTGAATCCTGAAGACGAGTATATGAGGAGATGTTGCTGAAAACTCGAGCACCGGCTAGAGCTGTGGTCGAGTTTGAACAGTGAACACACTGCCACCAGCACTTGTTCTTTGTACCCTGCTCTTTTGCTTTCCCCCCTTTTTTCTGTCACCATCATTTTCACCCGTTACAACCATTGATTACAGCAACATATAGCAACACGGGTTTCCCCCCCCTTTTCCGAGAGGCACAAGCAAACTGCAAACACATAAAGCCATAGGCATTCATATAACGAACTGTTTTTACCATATGTTTGTGCCATTCATGAAAGTTCGTAGTCGGTTAGTTGGTATTCTTGTGATCGATTAGTTCGAAATTCAATGGAGTAAAATGTCGAGGAAAGTTGCGTGTTACGTTACCTTCTTCGAAATTCGAAGTAAAATTTCTTCGAAGTTCGAATTAAAATTTTGCGTCCAAAGTCTGACGTTACGATCATTCTCGTAACTTTTTTATAAACTCGTAAGATGTAAGAGGTCAAGTGGGGGGTAGGTGGTTAGTGAGGGAGTCCCGCCCGGCAGCCCCACTAAGCTCAACAACCCCAATGACAGACTCCTTCTGAACCAAACTTGAAGTGCTCCATTTCTTCATTCTGAGCTCTCTCCTCCACAGATTCTAATCTACCAACCCCATTTTCGGAGCTTTATGATCTCTGGCTCTACCTTCTCCTCTACCTAACTTCCCCCTCTCCCTGCCTTTGTTCTTGTCTATCTCCGCTCCAACTGCGGCTCATGGCTTCTGCTTCTTCTTCTTCCCTCGGTTCTAAGCAGTTCCTCGGCGCTTCGAGACTGGATGGCCTGATTTCCTCCGATCTCGGGAAGCTCTCCGTCTCCACCGTTCAAATCTCTGTTGGACCTCGCACTCTGAGGAGGCTCCGTTAGTCTCTCGCGCTCTCCCTCTCTCTCTTTCTTATTTTCCTTCAATTCCTCTGCTCTACTTGCGAATTTCCGGTTAGGAGATTGTTCAAAGTTGTTGTATCTGAGGTGTTTTACCCTTCCTTTGAGCGTAAAATCCCCGCGGGAAAACGATTTCGTCAACGGTAGTTGTTGATTTCCGGATGAGCGCGAGAGATTTGTCTCTGGCATTACAATGGGTTTGTCACTATTGGGTTTGCCTAGGCACGAATTCCAGTTCGCTGGTTGTTGAATTCTGGGTAGCGATGATTCATGGTTACAGTGGCTGGCCCTTTTCCCATTTCAGTCACGAGCAACTGATTGAGGATCAGTGCAAGCCCCGTAGCTACTTCATTCATGGTTGGAGGATGTGATATCGATTCACTAGTTTAAAGCATGAGAATTCAAGGTTGCACTTGCAGTATTAGTAACAACAAGCATATCTCGCTTGTCTTTCTACCTTTGGTTTTCTTCTTGCTTGCTACTGCCCCCTCTTGTGTTCTCTGTTTTTTTCACCCATTTGTATTCTGTAGCTTTTTCATTTGCGTATGAATTCAAACTAGAAGGAATGTAGTTTCCGCTAAGGTTCTTGAGAAATGCTTGCTTGTTTGAGAGACGCTAGAGATGCAGCCACTATATGTTGGGCATTGTATAGCTACTATGAAGTATGAACAATTGCTGTTTCTGGTGAAACATTTAAATTAGGATTGCAGCTTTCTGCTTAGTATTGGCTATAGCTAAAAGTGGGCACTTTCAATATCCAAAGTTTTATATGAATGGGCCTCGTGAATTTTTGGGATACCAAAAGATTTCAACTCTGACTTTGACTTTCCTGTATGGTGATCAACAGAGGTCAATGCAGCTGGGAGTATATACGGCAATCACTTCCGTGTTTCCACATTTGGAGAATCTCATGGTGGTGGTGTTGGATGTATAATTGATGGATGCCCCCCAAGGCTACCCCTCTCTGAAGCTGATATGCAAGTGGATCTTGATAGAAGGTAATGTTCCATTTGTGTTATGTAGATACGTTCTTCTAGCCTGGCAAAAGCTTCTTGCAAACTTGTGTGATTGCTTAATCTCATTTCTACTATATTGGCTACCCGATAAAAAAGTTTCTCCTTAGTTAGTCGACATATCTGCTTTTATTGTATCATCCAAGGGCTCTTACCCCATTGGTTACTGTTATCTTCGTATAGGAGGCCTGGTCAGAGCCGAATTACCACCCCCAGGAAAGAGACTGATACGTGCACAATATCTTCTGGTGTTGCTGAAGGTTGAGATTTGCTGTATGTTCATAATTTGCTTGCAGTATTCTCTTTAATAGCGACATATTGTGGCATATATTGTCTTTCAAACAACTGACAAGGAATACATACAGGTTTTACAACTGGAACGCCGATTCATGTGTTTGTACCGAATACCGACCAAAGAGGTCATGTAAGTATCTGCTGTGAGACTAAAAATCTTAATACTCATTAGCATATCATTCTTTGTTTGTTTGTGTGAGTTTCAAATTATTAATACAATGTTGAAGGGCTATGGCACCTCTGGAGATCCTACTTATTTAGCATATAGCTTCAGTTGATGGTTAACATGGTTTCTTCACCTGTATGTCACATTGTACCTCATTTCTCTGGTTGGCTATACATGCATTATTTCCTTTTGGTAATCCTCAATAGTGTCTGAAAGGGTTGTCCTATTGTGATTTTGTTCCAGTAAGTTAGATGGCAGGTAATAACCGCTTCTTTTGTTTTGGTACATTGTATGTTGTTCTCTGTGTCTCGAGATACTGTTTTACCTATGGGCTGGACAGTTATTGGTTATCTTTTTCTTGGTTCTGATATTTTTAGTTACTTTTTCATGTGTTTTCAGGATTACAAGGAAATGTCTTTGGCTTATAGGCCTTCTCATGCCGATGCAACTTATGACATGAAATATGGTGTCAGATCAGTGCAGGTAATGCATATTATATTTACTGATTATTGATGTGACAAGGAAATTAAGAACTTTGTCCGTTTTAAATTTTTACTTTGTCCACTGATCTAGGGTGGTGGTAGATCCTCTGCAAGAGAAACAATTGGAAGAGTTGCAGCTGGAGCTGTTGCGAAAAAGATTCTCAAGCAATTTGCTGGAACTGAGGTGTGTTAGGTTGGATTAACTGATGTGCTTAAACCTACTCATAAGGATTCAAAGGTTTTCAGAGTACCTATCTGACATAATTTAATATGAGAAGAGGTTTGTCAGCAAACTTGACATTTGATTTGTTTGATGCAATTATGTGAAAGATTTTATTCCGTCACTTATGAAACTGCGACAAGTTAAGGACTAGTTTTTGAAGTCCGGGTACCTGTGACAGCTTAATGCAAGATTTATTCACTAATGTAAGAAACTGCGATAAGTTTATGCAAATTATTATCTTCATTGTCAGTTAAGACTTAAGATTTTTCCATAGTTAGTCAACATATGTAGTTCAGTACAGTTTTTTTCTTTTTATGCTCATGGTCGCTTTATCAGCTCCTGTTGAGTAGTTTGTTTGAAAATTGGTTACATCATACTTTTTTTTCCAATTCTTGGTCCGGTGTATTTCGACCTGTCATGCAACCTTACGAGAGCTTGTTGAAGTTCCATTTTTTATGCACCACATTTGCTTTACCGAATTAAAAATTCTCATTGTTAAGTGACTTCTCTCTATTGTTCATTTATCTCTTATCCAGGTTTTTGCATATGTTTCTCAAGTGCACAAAGTTGTTCTACCTGAGGGTGTGGTTGATCATGAGTCACTGACACTTGATCAGGTATAAAGTCCTGTTACTTTCCGAAATCTGTTGATATTTTGTACTTGGAATTGGAACTTTTTCACCTTGAAGAACAGAAAAATTCATGTTATCCAATAATTTTAATAAGTGACAGTTTGTGTTCAATGCTGGATTTTTTTTTGTAAACAATACATGCTAACTTCTTGTTATGTTGAGTTGAGAGGTACCACTGTCAAAGCCATCCACGTGCATATAAACTAGTAGGCTAGTTAGAAGCTTCAGCCTTCCACAAAATGCTGTGAACATCATAATAAGGAATTCATAAGAAATATAAACACACACACACACACACAGAAAAGAACAAAACAAAACAGAAAAGAAACATCATATGGTGCAAAGAAAGTTTACTGCTCACATAGTTTCTCTACATAGTTCGTCCAATATAGATCGATAAAGTCAGAACTCAGAACGCAAAATGTAAAATATGAAAGCAATTGGGACAAATAAAGAGACTCATATCTTGTAGTATTAGGGGAAACTGAACTAATCATAGTGTGCCTTATAAACACTGTACCTTAACCTAGAAGGAAAGAGGTGGGGCTGCTATTGATACCTGTTCCATCTGAACTTGGACTGCCCTCTTTGATGAGCTCCACAAGAGCCGTATGAAACGGGGGAACTTTGCATCATCTGTAATATTGAGTAACCATGTTCTAGATGGTCGTGAACGCTCAAGCTTACCTAATTTTCTTATGTCCACGCATACAAAAAATCACCCTTCATGAATGGCCATATTCCAGATTATCTCATGCCTGAAATTTCACAGATAGAGAGCAATATCGTCAGATGTCCAGATCCTGAGTATGCTGAGAAGATGATCGCTGCGATTGATGCTGTCAGAGTGAAAGGAGACTCAGTCGGTGGCGTTGTAACATGTATTGTGAGGAATGCACCACGTGTAAGTATATCATTATTGTATCTGTGACGATTTTCTTTAAATGGCTGCTCTGGATTAACCCTTTGCTGTATATTTGTGCCAGGGGCTTGGATCACCAGTGTTTGATAAACTTGAAGCCGAGCTGGCTAAAGCTGCTATGTCACTGCCAGCAACAAAAGGCTTTGAATTTGGCAGCGGGTTTGCAGGTTGAGAACTTCCAGACACTGTTGGATTCTAGATTGGTTTTGGTAACTATAAACTGGATTCTGATACTGCTACTGTCATAATTATGCTGCAGGTACATATCTAACAGGTAGTGAACATAATGATGAATTTTACATGACTGAAGATGGTAAAATAAGGACTAGAACAAACCGTTCGGGTGGGATACAGGTTCGCTCTATGCCATAATTCTTCCGTGAGACAACTTTTCAGAGAAATTATGGTTGCTGACACTTCTCAATGGTGGTGGCATGCAGGGAGGAATATCAAATGGTGAAATCATACACATGAGAATTGGTTTCAAGCCCACATCAACCATCACCGTAAGCTTCTGTGCCTCAACCCTGCTCGAAACATGTCGATACGAGTTCCATTTGAAACAAACTTCAGTCTAATCATATCACTGTGGATCGAGTTGTTATTCGCCTCTCCATTTGCGAGCATGGTTTCATATTACATTCTTACTTGTGCAGAAGAAGCAGAATACGGTGACGAGAGATAAACACGAAACAGAGCTAATAGCTCGCGGCCGCCATGATCCTTGTGTCGTCCCAAGAGGTAGAACCTACAATCACTAAATCCAATAAGAAAGTTGTCATTTCTCATGAGTTATCTGATGCGCAAACGTCAGAAGATAGATAGATGTTTACTGTGATTGGATGATGTGTTTAATGCAGCGGTTCCCATGGTTGAAGCAATGGTAGCCCTGGTGCTAGTCGATCAGCTAATGGCACAATTTGCACAAAACTACATGTTCCCGATCAATCAGGAATTGCAAGAGTCCTTTGAGTCGCCGAACCATGCGCCTGCCAATGTCTGAATCACCTACACTTGAGATTTGGTCTTACATATTTGTTGTCAGTCGCCCTTCGCTTCCTCTTATATCTCTTTTTGGTCCCTATCATGGTTTCTTTTTGGTCGAGCTTTGCAAATTCTTCGGAGTTGATTCTGTTGTGTTCTTTTGGCTCTAATGTGTGCTGATTGATGTCTTGTTACTGTTGGAATGATCTGTAATACTTCTAATTCTAAATAAAGCTTATGTAATGAAACTTTTAGCAGGGTCAAGTGGTAGGGAATAGGGATAACCATATGCTCATATCGGAAGTTATTTCAATTCAAATACATGATCTTTTGCCTAAATGTTTTGATGGTATGTCGAAATTCAGATTAACTTAATAATTCGAGTTATTGATAGAGTTCCAAAATGAATCGTTTTTTGTTATACAAAAGGAATTAGTCGAGGAAACTTGACTCATGAGCTTGGAGAGCAGCTAAAGATGATTTGCATAATCCTGAATAATTTCATGATTTACTGTACGATTCTTATCACTATGATAAGAACACCTTGTATTATATAGCAAAAATTGTCTCAAACCCGATAAACAAAGATTAATGAAATATATTTTTCTTAAAGTATGAGGACTTAGGTATATAAATAATTTGTGTGTATATATAGGGACCTTGTACCTATAGATTTTGCCTATTTTTGGAGGAATAAAAATGAATTGAAGTTATAAAATGACTCATTTTTTTCTTTTATGAATAAATGACTCATCTTTGCCTTCTTCACTTCTCTCATAATTCAAGATAGTTTCTATTAATAATCTCAAATTATTGTAATCTTCTTTCTTATAATAATATGAATATCATGATCATAGCTATCTAGCCAAATTATCAAGGAATTTATAAAAACGATGAGATGAGGATATTAACTATTTGTTGTTTCTCATCGACTCGTTTTTTTTTTGTTTGTTTGGAATCCATATGGAAGGTTTTGGTACACATAAGAAATACTCTAATGTTCAAATTATGGAAATAATATTGGTAAACACTTTTTTTTTTTTACAAGAGATAATCATATATTGATACCAAAACAAAGATAGTTACACCCTGGACCCCAGCCAGGTCCGAAAATCAAAGAAACGACTCATGGTCGGGTACAAGGAGAGGGCTTTTCTTGCCACCAAATGGGCCACCCGATTTCTACTCCGACCTATAAACCGCACACTAAACCCTGGGCTAATCACAAAAAAATGTAAGACTTCTTCTAGAACAGCACCCAGTCGACTATCCCTCGCATCCCTGCAATTGATTTTGTCAATGATGATCTTAGCATCTCCTTCAAAGCGTATCCCCGAGACACCCTGGCCCAAGCACCACGCAATCGCCTCACGGAGCACTAACAACTCCACCACCACTGGGTCATCAATCCCCGGAATCTGAATCCCATGAGCCATAAGAACCTCCCCGGCGGGGGACCGAAGAACCATGCCACCTGCTGAATGCGATCCCTTGCGGGTAGCCCCATCCCACTGGCAAATAAACCCAGCAGCCTGCCCTGGTCCATCTGACCGTGGAACCGTCGGAGGAGGAGGCATGGAGGGCACCTCTATCGGCAGCCCCATCCATTCCTCATACTGCTGGGAAAACTGCCTCATTAAAGCGGGGAATCCAAATTGCTTGCCCTCAAACACCACCCAATTTCTTGACCGCCAGATACGCCAAAGGACAGCCACGACCGCCATGAAGAGCGGCGGCTGCTGGATTAAGGCCATCAAACGTTTGAGGAACAACGGGAAAGTGTGACGAGGAAGCCCCTCCCCTAAGTACTCCAGCCCTGAAAGGCCCCAAAGCGCCCGCGCCACCGGACAATCCAGAAATAGATGCTCCATGGTCTCCGGGCCATCCCAACAGACCGGACAACGAGGGAGGATAGGCACCTTTCGCTCAAATAGAGCCTCCGTGGTCGGGAGAATACGATTCAGAATTTGCCAAACAAAGACCTTCAGCTTAGGGGGAATATTCGCATCCCACAACCGGATCCAACTGGATCTATCCATCCAACTCGCCGACGCCCTCCAACTCCCCCTCCTCCTATCAAGGGAGACAGCCAGATGGTAGGCTGACTTAACCGAGAACACCCCATCAGACGTAAAATGCCAAATCAGTTTATCTTCAATATTTTGCCTAGGAAGGGGAATAGTTTTTATAATACGACAAGTAGGTGGATCAAACCATTGGTTGAGCTTACGATCACACCACCGGCCTTCCCCTTGACAGATTACCTCCGCTACAGTAGGATCCCCCCCTTCTGGTAGCACCACCGGGTTATACCTCGGGGGATCGAGCTGTAGTTGAGGAATCCAGGGGGAACGAAGAAGGGACGCCGAATGGCCATTTCCAATCTGCCATCTGAGACCCATCTCCAATAAATCACGACCATACAAGACGCTTTGCCATCCCCAAGAAGGGCGCGATCGAGCTTTAGCATTAAGGAAATGCCCAGAGGGGAAGTACTTGCCCTTATAGACTTGCGCTAGAAGAGACTGGGGTTCAGCTAAGATTCGCCAGCCAATTTTGGCTAAAAGGGCTTGATTGAACTGCTCAAACCGACGGAAACCCATACCCCCCTCATGCTTACTCTTGCACATATCCCGCCAGGCCATCCACCTGATCCTCGAATGTCCCTCCTCATCACCCCACCAAAAGCGAGCAACATGTTTATCTAGAAGGCGACACAAAGAGAGAGGCATCTTGAAACAGGACATCACATGCAATGGTAATGCCAAGGCAATAGATTTAATCAGAGTCTCCTTTGCTGCCCAAGACAAGGTCCTCCGTTTCCACCCCTGGAGTCTTTCCAACAACTTCTCCTCTAAATACCGAAAGGTCTCCATCTTAGAGCGAGCAATCAATGTAGGAAGGCCCAGATACTTATCCTGCACCCCAAGTGCTCCGACACCTAAAATTGCAGCTAAGAACTCCTGATCGGGAACAACAACATTCTTACTAAAACAAACCGCTGATTTGGCCAAATTAACGCGCTGCCCACTTAGTTCCTCATATTCATTAAGTACAGTAATCAAGTTCTCACACTCCTGCAGCGTGCCCCGCAGGAACAGATAAGAATCATCGGCAAAGAATAAATGTGAGGTTCGGGGAGCACGCGGTGCCACCTTAACCCCTTCCAATTTCTTATCCTCAATTGCTTTACGCAAGAGAGCCGCAAACCCCTCAGTGCAAAGCACAAAAAGAAGAGGGGATAAGGGATCACCTTGCCGCAACCCTCGCGATGGTCTGAAGAACCCAGATGGAGTACCATTCATCAGCACAGAGAACGATGAAGACCGGAGACATTCATATATCCACCCCTGCCACACTGTGTTAAAACCCATCTTGTCCAAAACTGCAAGAAGAAACGGCCATTCGACTCTATCATAGGCCTTTTCCATGTCAACCTTAAGAGCCATGTACCCCTTCTTACCTTGCTTCTTGGTTTTCAAGTAATGCATTAACTCATGTCCAAGGAGGATGTTCTCAACAATTTGGCGATCCCGAATGAAAGCGTTCTGGCCCGAAGACACAATGTTAGGTAAGATCCCCGACAATCGTTCAGCCAAGATCTTAGTTATGATTTTGTACACAAATTGGCATAAACTGATTGGGCGTAACTGCCTTATGGATTCAACATTATCCACCTTAGGGATCAATGTGAGCCAAGTGTGGTTGAAGCTACGGAGCATCCTACCCGACGTAAAGAAAGAGCAGACTGCGTCAACCACTGAGTCCCCCACAATACCCCAAAAGGCCTTAAAGAATTTGCCCGTGAACCCATCTGACCCGGGGGCTTGCTTAGCACCCATAGCGAAGACAGTTTTGCGCACCTCGTCCGGGAGGACAGCAGCCGTCAGGCCCGCATTCATCTCTTGAGTAACACTACGGGCGATAGGCAGAGCAGCAACACGCTCCCCCATATTCATAACATTGTCACCCTTTTTCAACCAGTGGACTCTAGATTTTTGCTGCCAGTATACATCTCATAAAATTAAACATAATGGTCGGAAGAAAACATAAATAAAATGAGTTAAGAAAAATACATTTAAAAACAATAGAACCTTTAAATGACCATATTATTTACTACACAATAATATCAATCATAAAAAAAAATTCTAAAGGAACACTCATTCAAAGACTAAAAAGGTGTATACTTTATTATGATTATTATGAGAACGAAATCCGGTAACAATCTCTATTAGGTTGTCAATTTCACAACCCTTTTTGGTAGCGTACCACTCCATCTGGCAACGCGTTATCAGATGAAGTGGCATAGACCTTCATGCACGGTCTAATAAAGTAGTGTAGCATCTTTGTTTACTTCTTCTCTGTACCTTTCCCGCAGAGTAAAAATTAATGTCGTCTTCTTTACAAACATGATTAGCCATATTATGAATAAACCCAAAGCATCTAATCTAATGCAGATCCAAGGCCCTAACTAGCTAGCTAATCACAATATAGGCTAGCTAGGCATTATCGTAATCATTGTTGACCTTTCAATTAGCACCTTAAAAGGATAACTACGTTAATGGGAAAGAAAAGAAGGAAAAGGTGTTAATTACAGCCGAAAGTGGTAATTAGAGCCTACAGAGAGCAGTGGTGGAGGGGCCAGCCAGTGAGCGGTTTGTCTGGTAAATGTTTGATGGCCAAAATTGTTAAAAGCAGAGCAGAGCAGAACAGAGCAGGCAGTGGTTTTGTGTGTTGTAGGATGGATTGGATTCACTTGGTTCTAAATTCTAATCAGTCAAGAACACTCAATTAATAGTGTAGTTAGAGCTAGGAAAACGGTTTACTGAATGATTGGTAGCCTAGCCATGCATGTAGTAACGGTATAATGATTCATAATCGAAATTCTCCCAATAACTCGAGTTATTGGGACCCAATTAGTTCTTGACATGTTATATGAGTCTTTTGTGATCAAGAGATCTTTTGTTCGAATTCCTCTTATTAAACACATGATATCTGGATCTATGCAACCTTGATATAGGATCCATAATCGAGCATCTCTCAACATCTCGAGTTATTAGAATCGACTAGTTGTTAACGAAATATGCCCACGTAGTAGGGTTGCAGGTCCATGTCCTGTCCTGTTGGAAGAAAGGAAAGCCAATTTGGGAGGAGTATAGTGTGTAGATGTAAGATGTGTGGCTTTTTCTGGTCTCTTCAATCCTCCTGCTGACCTAACGATAACTGTGCTCTTGGATTGGACATGAAGGGTTCAGCAGATTCCTTTATTTTCTCCTTCTTTCACCTTTCTGCTTTAATTGTTTAGCCTTTCTTTTTGGTTTATCCTTGGAAGCGTAATGTGTACCTAGCTAGAGCTGCCATTTGATGTGAGTAGACTTGTTTGGCAATGGCATGACTTGTTATCAAGTGAGTCGGGTCGTGAACTAGTTCGTTTACTAATTGTTGAGCCGCATAGTTGAGCGTACTTGGGCCTCGGGCCCAAAAGAGGCGAGTCGGACTTTAAGGCCCAATAAGGAGGCCGGCCCCGATCGAAAGACTGGGTCAGCGGGCGGTCCATGATCGACTGCGAACCCGAGGAATAGATAAGGGCGCCTGACATAAAGCAACTGAGCAACACAGAAGGGCAGGGAGCCGTTGAAGATGCGTATCTGGTGTCAGGCAAGACTGAGCATTTATTGTCAGCCACAGGCGGCCTGCAAAAAGGCTGAAAGCCTGCCCAGGACGCCTGACATTACCCAAAAAGCCTACACGGGGCGCCCGACCAGGTCTGGGGCGCCCGACACAACATTTAATGCCCCAACCACCCTTTAACCAGGTATAAATAGAGGGTGAGTGCATTAATGGTAAGGCCAACTACTATTCATCTCTCTACATAAATTCTTATCTCTCCCCTTCTCTCTCTAACTTAAGCTTCGGAGGGTGTCCCGGGCGAACCTCCCCAGACCGCTGTTTTGCAGAGTATCAGGAGTACTCCCCAACATCCAAGAACAAGCGCCTCGCCCCAGCTCCACAAACCGCCTAGTATCTACTAGGCACAAACATTTTGGCGCCCACCGTGGGGCCGGAGCGGAGCGTTTGAACCGAAAGATGGAGGGGAACTTCAGAACTCCCGTGAAGGATGTCATTGGCGGGGAAAGCATCAGAGGTTTGGAGATGCCCACGGTCGAAGAAGAAAAAGATATGGAAGAGCGCGTGAGAGACCAGGGGCAGCAGATCACCAATATGCAAGAGAGTTTGACCCAGATTCTCACCATGCTCAAAGCAAGAGACAAGCCCGAGAGTTCTAAGATGCGAGGGAGCAAGGGCAAGGGCGTGGACGGAGAAGTGCCCCCCAGTCCCCCCCGCACAGAAGACGGAGAGTCCGACAGAGGGGAGGACACGGACGGCGTCCACCTCGACCTCCTCGAAGAACACTTGCGACCCTGCTACGGGAAGCCCAAGGGCTACAACGTGCTGCACAACCCCTTGGCGAAGAGCCTCTTCAAAACCTAGGTGCCATCAAACTTCTCGTCGCTTGGTCTCCCTGCCTATACGGGAAACTCAGATCCGTCAGATCACTTGAGCGCATTCATGCTCAAGATGCAGCTGATTAACGCCTCAGATGCCGATCTGTGCAAGGCGTTCCCAGTCACCTTCGGGGGGCAGTGCCGAAGCTGGTACGCGTCCCTACCAGCCGGGATAATCGAAAACTTCGAGCAGTTCGCTACCCTTTTCTCCTTGAAGTTCGCTTCCCAGCGCAGGAGGCAGCTCACGGTCTCTGCCCTCATCAACTGCAAACAAGGAGAAGAGGAAAGCTTGGCCGACTTTTACGACCGACGGAATACAATAGCTTGCGAGGTCCAAGACGTCTCAACCAGCGTGGCCGTCGGAAACCTGAGAATGTCGACGCATAGCCGGTAACTAAAGAGGTCTCTCATCAAAAAGGAACACAATATCAAGTCTTGGCAAGATCTAGACCGCGTGGTACGAAAAGCCATCTTCTTGGAAGAAGCGCTCAACGCCGAGGAGGGAGCAAAAGGGGCACCAACGTCGTCGAACAAAGCGGAAAAAGGAAGGAACGGGTCACCAAAGCGAAGGGGGCGCACGCCCGAGCGGCGAAACTACAAGCCCAGGTTCAACAACAGGGACGGAAGGCGTGAGGTGTTCACGTCAGAGAAAGAGGACGACGGACGCCGCGACGGGGGCAAAACCCGGGAAGCGCGTCCCCGCCAAAGGAGGGACGACGACCAAAAGTGGTGCGACTGGCATCAGCTGCCGACTCACGACACCACAGAGTGCCGTGAGTTCAAAGCCAGCCTCAAGTACCTGGCACCCAGAGACCTGAAAAGCCGCCTGGACACACGGGCGCACCCCAGGGAGAGAACAGAGGAAAAGGACAGGTCACCCAGCCCAAGGAGAAGGTCCCGCACGCCCAGACGTCGGAGATCCCGGTCGCCAAGAAGGGAGCGAACCCCCCGTAGGGAGCGTTTGCCTCCGCCGCCGCCAAGGCACGCCCCTCCACATCGACACCCGCCTCGAGAAGAGGAAGAGGGAGTCGAAATAATCACCATCGCTGGGGGACATAAGCGTCCTCGGACAGAGGGGGACCGCTTGGTGCAGTGTGTGAACGTGCACAGGAAAGAACAAGTCGAGATCAGTTTCGCACCCTCGGAACTGGCCCCCGAAGAATGTGGAGAAGACCCGCTGGTCATCTCTTTCCGCACGAAGAAGTTTAAGGTCACCCGGGCCTTAGTTGATAACGGAAGCTCAGCAGACATCCTGTTTTACTCCACGCTCAAGAGCATGAAGAGGGGACTACAGGACCTTAAGCCATCCACGACCAGCCTGGTAGGATTCTCCGGGTCCAAAGTCAGGGTTCTTGGTTCCATCACACTCCAGGTGACGATAGGGGGCCCAGAAGTGACAAAGACACGCCTCATGGACTTCCACGTAGCGGACTGTCCCTCCGCCTACAATGCCATATTAGGACGCGGCTTCCTGTCAGCCTTCTCGGCGGTCCTTTCTACCTGCCATCAGATGCTTAAGTTCCCCGCTAAGGGCAGGATAGGATGCGTCTTTGGCGACTCCCAGCAAGCCAAAGAGTGCTTCCAGGCCACCATCAGGAACTTGGAGGTCGACCAAGTGGACGCAAGAGGGAGTCATCCGCGCCTCGAGGCAGCCGAGGAAGACGTCGCGGTCGTGTTGGACGACGACGAGCCAGAGAAGAAGGTTACGATCGCAGCTCACTTGGCGGAAGAGCAAGCGCGAGAGCTCTTGTCCCTCCTGAAGGAATTCAAAGATCTATTCGCTTGGACGTCGGAAGACATGCCAGGCATCCCGCGGGAGCTGGTAGAGCACTCCTTGTCAATCAAAATCAAAGCACGGCCAGTGCAGCAAAGGAAGAGGAACGCCTCTCTCGAAAAACAAATGGCATTGGAAGAGAAAGTGAAGCGGTTGCTGAAGGCGGGGTTCATCAGGGAAGTAAAATACCCGACGTGGCTGGCCAACCCTGTCTTCGTTCGAAAGGCGTCCGGACTTTGGCGAATGTGTATCGATTTCACAAGCCTCAACGCGGCCTGCCCCAAGGACGCATATCCCCTCCCCAGGATCGACCAGCTGATCGATGCGACCGCAAATCATGAGACACTAAGTTTCCTGGACATGTTCTCAGACTACCACCAGATACGCCTGTCTGAAGAGGACCAAGAGAAGACCACATTCATGACACACATGGGAAATTTCTGCTACACGGTCATGCCTTTTGGTCTGAAGAACGCAGGTGCGACGTACCAGAGGATGATCGATACAGTGTTCCAGAAGCAATTGGGCCGGAATGTGGAAGCCTACGTTGACGACGTCCTAGTTAAAAGTAAGAGAGGGGCCGATCACTTGGCCGACCTAAGGGAAACGTTCGAAACGCTTCGAAGGGAGCGCCTCCGGCTGAACCCGCTGAAATGTGTGTTTGGAGCCAAAGCAGGCAAATTCTTAGGATTCATGATCACTAACAGGGGCATAGAAGCAAACCCAAAGCAAATCGAAGCAATACTCAGCCTGAAACCGCCACGCACGGTGAAAGAAATCCAGGCGTTCAACGGAAAAATGGCCGCCCTGAGCCGCTTCATCCCGCGGTCGGCAGACAAATGTTCGCCTTTTTTCCAAATGCTGAAGAAATCCGCGTCTCGTCTAAAATGGGGACCTGAATGCGACAAAGCCTTCTTTCAGCTGACGGAACAGCTGGCCTCTCCTCCCGTCCTTAGCGCCCCCCTCCAGTCCGAGTCCCTGTACCTGTATCTGGCGGTTTCGGACCAAGCGGTCAGCTCCGCCCTGGTAAGGAGGGACGCTGATGGCACGGACCATCCCGTATACTATGTCAGTAAAGCACTCCTGCCAGCTGAAAGGCGATATATGCCAATTGAGAGGGCGGTCCTAGCGGTCATCTCCGCAGCAAGGAAACTGCGCCCTTACTTCCAGGGGCATCCAATCACTGTCCTGTCCAACCTACCCTTAAAAAAGATACTCAGAAGTTTGGACACCTCGGGAAGGATGACTAAATGGGCGGTCGAGCTCAGCGAGTATGACATCACGTACGCGCCGCGCCCTTCCATAAAGGGGCAGGTGCTTGCGGATTTTGTGGCAGAAGGTTTTAGCCTCGATACCACCGAGGCAGAAGGAGAAATTGAAGTGTGGCGCTTGTTCGTGGACGGAGCCGTCGGAAAAGGCAGAGCAGGTGCTGGAATTGTGCTCGAATCGCCCCGAGGAGTTATACACGAATTTCCCCACAGATTTCAGGGGTTGAAGACCAACAATGTAGCAGAGTACGGGGCTCTCTTGAGCGGTCTCAGGATCGCCATGGGAATGGGCGCCACGCGCCTCCACATCTTCTCCGACTCCCTGTTGGTAGTCAACCAAGTCCTGGAAAACTATGAAGCAAAAGAAGAGGCGCTTGCAAAGTTAGCCGACGAGGTAAGAGGCGTCCTCTCACAGTTGGAAGAATGGAAGCTAGAGCATGTCAAGCGGGAAGACAACAACCACGCGGACGCCTTGTCCAAGCTGGTCACAGCTATAGACTTCGAAGGCGATCGTCAAGTCATCATTACCAAAGAGACCCAGTCCAGCGAGGGGGTCATGGACATCGAAGAGGGAGTGGCCGATTGGCGCTCACCCATCGTCGAGTATTTGCAGGCGGACGTCCTGCCAAGCGATGAAGCCCAAGCAAAGCTGATCAAACGTAAGGCCGCCCATTACAGCATGGTGGGAGGGCAGTTACACAAGAGGTCCTTCTCAGTAGGGATGGCAATGGGTCGGGTTGGGTCGGGTTTTGCCAAACCCAAACCCATGGGTTTATCAGTGAAAAAAACCCGGGGTAAAATCCACTGGGTTTGAAAAACTCAAACCCAACCCAACCCGCTGGGCATCCGTGGGTTCATGGGTACCCACGGGTTTTTGTCGTAAAAAATTTACAATAACAAGTTCCTATCAAAATTAAAGTCAAATATCAATCTCTCAATACAAATTATCCATATATAAAACACCATTCTAGAAAATTCAAGCAAATCACAAATTAACTATACAATTATACAAATTGTTCAACACCAATCTAGAAAACTCAAGAAAATGGAAGCAAATCACTAATTATCCATAAATAACATGATTAATTGAAAGCTTCTTCCTTTCAATTAAGTTTCTTCACTCTCCACTCGATAACATCAACTTCATTCTACACAATTTGAAAGAAAAAATTAGACATGTCTCCACAAACATAAATAAGATTATTGTTTAGAATATTAAATATACCTAGAAAATTAACTATATGGGTGTGAGCGGGTACCCATGGGTCGGGTTTACCTAAACCCAAACCCAACTCAACCCGATGAATAGTGAACGGGTTTAAACCCAAACCCGGCCCAAAACCCGTCAACACGAATTTTACCCGCGTTGACCGGGTTGGGTCGGGTGGGTACCCATGGGTTCGGGTTTTGTTGCCATCCCTACTTCTCAGGCGTCTACCTGAAGTGCTTGAGCCCTGCAGAGGCGGAATGGATTATCAAGGAGATACATCAGGGCACGTGCGCTTCTCATGCAGGCCCGAGAGGCCTCGAAAAGACAATCCTATTACAAGGCTACTACTGGCCAATGGTGAAGAAGGACGCTGAGAAGGCGGTCCATGCGTGTCATGAGTGCCAAATTCACGGCAGCAAGCAACACCTGCCCAGTGCGGAGCTGAAGAGCATAACAAGCCCATGGCCGTTTGCACAGTGGGGACTGGACCTGCTAGGTCCCTTTCCAACCGCTCCCTTGGGCAAGAAGTATCTGGTGGTGGCGGTCGATTACTTCACGAAATGGATAGAGGCCGAGCCGCTGGACACAATCACTAGTGCCAAGATCCAGAAATTCCTCTTCAACAACATAATGATCAGGTTTGGTACTCCCAATACAATCATCACTGACCATGGAACACAGTTCGATTGCAGGCCATTCAAAAATTTCTGCGCTAGGAACCGCATCACATGCCGAATGGCCTCAGTCGCCTTTCCGCAAGCCAATGGGCGGTTGAGTCGTCCAACAAACTCATCCTCAGAGGTCTGAAAAGGAGGCTCAAGGAATCCAAAGGGGGGTGGACCGCCGAGTTACCACACGTGCTCTGGGCGCATCGTACAAACTACAAAAGAGCAACCGGAGAAACTCTATTCGCCCTGACGTATGGCTCCGTGGCGGTTGCTCCCACCGAGATCGTTCTGCCCTCGCTAAGGGTCCAGACATACGATCCAGATGATAACCACAAAAAGCTCCTCCACCAGCTGGACATGATAGAGGCAAGGAGAGACGCGGCCCTGGTGAGGACCATACAGGAAAAGCTCAAGGTTGCCAAAGTCTACAACGAGAAGGTGAAGCCTCGCCCGCTTGAGGAAGGAGACATGGTGCTCAAGAGGAATTTCGAACAAAAGGAGGGGCATGGCAAGCTGGCCGCCATATGGGAAGGACCGTTCCTGGTAGCAGAAAAGATAGGGACCGCCACATACGTGCTAGCTACAATGGAGGGGCAGCCAGTAGCCAAGACTTGGAATGACATTCACCTAAGGAAGTACCACAGCGAGTAAGGAAGTGTAGGCCGTAGGAATTTTGTAAGAAGTCAACGCCGCAATTAAAGGCGCTTTTGTGAGAGTGGTAGTCAACACTCCTGTCCGTGACTTCAGTAATTCAAGTCGCCACTGAGCGATATGTTTTTATGTTACTAATCTAAGTTATTCTCATAACTCTTGGCCGCTTAGCACAGCCGCTAACTGCGCGCATACACCCGCCTGCAACGCCATATTAGGGGCTGAACCGCCCCAGAGCGATATAGGTTAAGTCACTACCTAAACCGCCCTTGTATCACACACAACATCCGGGAAACTCCCCCAAGTTCCTAACTTGAACAATAAGGGCCCATGCCCCCAACCCAGACAGAAACTATGTCACAGAGTGGAATGTATGACATAATACTTCGCAAAGGTCTCGCAAATGCGGTCCCACCTCACAGGCTAATAAACCGCCCCCGAACGGTACGAGGCGCTTGTAGTAAAAGGACCAAAGCCGCCCCGGCGGCAGAAGTCCAAGGGGCGTCTCTTCCCTTCAAACGTGATTCCCCAACGAAAGAAGAGGAGGAGGAAACACAGACAATAAAAATTGCAAGTAAAGATTTCCAAACATCCGGAGGGTAAGAAGTAGAAGAGCAAGCGCCGTCCAAAGCAAATATTACAAAACCTCGCCCGAAGGCAGAATGTGTCAAGCTCCCCGAAGGGAGAAAGCAAGAGAAAGCAATAAGAAAACAACACTTGGTTAAATTCCCGATTGAACTAGGAGGAGCCGCCTTCAGTGGAAGCGAGCTGGTTCACTTCTTCCCCAGTGGTGGGTACGGCAGCCGCGGGCTGGTTTTCCATCTCGGAGTTGACATCATTGTCACCCCAAAACTCCACCGCGTCCCAGACCGCATTCCGATCCCACAACACGTACGGGTGCTCGCGGCGGAACAGGTGGCGGATGGAAGCTACCGTATCCCGCAGTAACTTCTGGTACTTGGCTTCATCCACCGCCTTGAACTCGTCCGAGTCAAAGAAGGTTGCGCGAGCGTCCTCCCTAGCCTCGTGGAGTTCCCGTTCCCGCCGCGCTTCCAAATCAGCCATCCGGGCCTCCAACTCTTCCACCTTGCTCTGCAGCCCTTTCTCCTGCTCGGACGCCTCCCACACCTTCTGTTGAGCCTCCTCCAGCTCCCGCGCTGACTTCGACAGATCCCCCCTGGGGGTCTGCAGCTTGTCATCCTTTGCCTTTAAGGCCGCCTCGTGCTCCTTGAGGATCTCATCTCGCAGCTCCCGGCGGAAACCCTCGCGCCCCCACTTTCACCTGCTCCTCGAGCGTGAGGATTTTGGTCTCGCGGTCGCCCAAGTCATCGAGCAGGCGCTCGTTAGCCAGGATAAGTTGGGTTATCCCGAATTGAGCCTACACTCGCAAAGCCAGTCAGTACCATACACATATTGAATAGCGGAGCTGAAAATAAGTTAAGTCACTCACCGTAAAGAAGCATCGAGCGGTCGTCCCAGCCAGATGACGAGTATCATAAGTTGTTGGGATGGCACCCGCAACACGCATGTACTCGCTGGGAACTGCGAACCCCTCGACAATCGCATGAAGGGCGCGGTGAACTGGCTCAGCCGAAGAAGTCACATGCGGTGAGTACGCCGCACTGGAGGTAAGGGTGGTGGTCTTCTGCTTTTTCTGGGTGACCGGCGGCTCGGAACGCTGGTCAACCAGGATCCCCTTCAGCTTGGGTTGATTCCCCGCGGACGGCTCATCCCGTACCTCCACCACATCCAGCGGCCGCTTGTTCGCGGGTCGAGTCGTACCCTGACCGCTGGGGACGGTCAGCTTAAGGGTCCCCGTGCGCCCCAGCGCCAGTTGCGACTGAGTGGACCCGCCCCCGGTCCGAGGACCCTCCGAAGCGGTCGGACCGGAGACAACGGCCGCGGGAGACCCGCTCGTTGCTACCTTAGGCAGCCTCGCCGAGGACGCGTAACGCCGGATACCTGAAAAATGAATACATAAGTAAAGGCATGAGCAAGCTACGTCCCATCAAAGTCTAGGAGAACTAACTAACCGTGAAAACGCTGCACAATCTCAAGAGCGTTATCATGCCCATGCGGGGGCAACCGAAACTGGACAGTCGAAGTGATGCGGTTGAGGTGCGGTCTCAGATGCTGCAGCTGCTTGACCCCTTCGTCCCAATCATCTGTCTGCCTAAAGGAGAACGCGGTCAATGGCTCCACGTCCCCCGAGTACCATTTCTCGGCTGGGCGAGCAAAGAAATACTCACTGTACCATGGGGAATCCAGCTTTGGGGATCCATAAACGAACCCGACGTTCTTCGACCGCCTTCGGGGTGACCAGCAGTTCTTCGAGCCGGTCATGGCATACAGCAGCCGAAAGGCGTCGAGAGACGGTTTCTCTTTTAGGCGGGCGCAAGCCGCACGATAGCAGATGGAATGGAATACTATGGAGGGAGAAAGGCGACTCAATGAACAGTTAAGATGTAAAAGTATCCCAGTGAGAAGCGGATCCGGAGGAAACTCCAACCCTAACCGCATGTGCTCCGTAAAAATGGTGATCCACCCAACGGGACAAGAGCCGCAACGCCCTTCGGGGGATGGAGCCGCATACTCCCAGTCAGTGGGAAGCTAGTGCCTATGAAGCTGGCGGAGTACATGGGCAGGAGAGTAAGCGGGCTTGTACTTAGGCCCGTATGAATAAACCGCATCAGGAACCTCGCTTCCCTCCCACATATCCGCATGCAGGCGCACGCGGTACTCGCGATCCGCAACCGCCTGGAACGGATGAATCATCGGCGTTTCTGACAGAGCTAACGAAGGAGAATCCGCGACCGAGTCCTCCCTGGCTGAGTCACAAGGCGTGTCTTCCGGCACGTTTTCAGAGGACAGCTCCACCAAGGTTGTCCCCAACCCGGGAGGTCGCTCCGCGCTCAATCAAGGAGGTAGCCGTGTCGGTTAGCGCGCCCACTCCTAGCCCTAAAATGCAACCGTCAGGTCTATCTACACGCTCACTCGCGACAACCGCATTACCACCCCCACACAGCAATTCAATACCCTCTGAGTCCCATTCTATGTCGGATAAACTTAAAGGGTGGGAAAAAGCGGGCATACCTACTCCAGGGGCAGGACCGCCTGCACTGACGGTTTTAGCGGAGGTACGCGTAGCGCCAACGCTAACGCGAGGAGCGGCGACGTTGCCGGTGGCAGTGGCCGCCTCCATGCCGGACGCGGTGGTCGTCGCAGCAGCGGAAGGAGTGTTGGTGGCGACGTCGGAAGCAGACGGCGGCGCCGATTCGCCGGAAAGGCCGCGGTTCTGGCTATCGGAAGGGGTGGTTGATTGAGAAACCATCGCGGAAAACTGCTTTCTCTTCTTCTTCTTGTCTCGTTTCTGGGATTTTCTCAAAGAAGAAAGAAACTGATGTCGTTCCGCCGGAATCGAAGGATGAGTCTCCAGATAACGAGAGAGAGAACTTAGAGCACCCCGCAATTTTGAAATAAGTGGCAAGGAAAGAGGGAATGCGAAGGTTCTTCTCAACAGAAACACTTGGAGTATATATAGCGGCAAAAGAGACTGATGTGACGGTTGAGTGCCCGAGGGGGAGCTTTAGGCCGCAAAAGTCAAAAACGGGCAGGTGAAAGGACGTTTTGCCTGCCCGGTGTCAGAGCACGGAAACCAACGCGTAAGGCGGTCGGAGCGCCGCTTAGGCAGGACAACCCTAGGTCTCCGGCGACCAGGGGCAGAATAGGACAAGGAGGAGGAGCAAACCGCTCAACTAGCTGAGAGCATTATTGGTAGCCGCCAAAACCCTAGGCTTTTCCCGCCTAAGGGGCAATTGTTGGGCCGCATAGTTGAGCGTACTTGGGCCTCGGGCCCAAAAGAGGCGAGTCGGACTTTAAGGCCCAATAAGGAGGCCGGGCCCGATCGAAAGACTAGGTCAGCGGGCGGTCCATGATCGACTGCGAACCCGAGGAATAGATAAGGGCGCCTGACATAAAGCAACTGAGCAGCACAGAAGGGCAGGGAGCCGTTGAAGATGCGTATCTGGTGTCAGGCAAGACTGAGCATTTATTGCCAGCCACAGGCGGCCTGCAAAAAGGCTGAAAGTCTGCCCAGGACGCCTGACATTACCCAAAAAGCCTACACGGGGCGCCCGACCAGGTCTGGGGCGCCCGACACAACATTTAATGCCCCAACCACCCTTTAACCAGGTATAAATAGAGGGTGAGAGCATTAATGGTAAGGCCAACTACTATTCATCTCTCTACATAAATTCTTATCTCTCCCCTTCTCTCTCTAACTTAAGCTTCGGAGGGTGTCCCGGGCGAACCGCCCCGGACCGCTGTTTTGCAGAGTATCAGGAGTACTCCCCAACATCCAAGAACAGACGCCTCGCCCCAGCTCCACAAACCGCCTAGTATCTACTTAGGCACAAACACTAATGAATTGAGTTTGAGTCGCATCTGGCTTCGTTCTCTAGACATGCATAGCCCTTCATATGAGTTTAATCTTGTTCTTTAATTTCTGTCTCAGTCTACTACCCGCATAAAGAAGATGATATTACATAATATATACTTTGAGGATTCATAAATAAGGCACTCAAGGCTAATAAGAAGAAAAACAGGAAGACAGAGAGGACACAGAGACATATATTACAGCACCAATACTTTTGTCTCCACCATCCCCTGGAGAACCAAATCATACAAAATAGAAAAAAAATGTACACTAAAAGATTCACAATTGCAACTTGCTTCATGTCTCTTTTGACCTCCAATCTGAAAAGCCCCTTGTATGATTGATGATCGAAGTCGTATTTTCCCCTTTCCCATTTTCAATTTCATGGCCAGTTGCCATTGTAGAGACTGGTAATGGAGACCACAGTGCCTGTTCTCTAGCAGGCAAAGTAATCCCACTAAGATCTTCCCAGCTTTTCATTCATTCATGCCTCTGTGTTCTTTTTTCACCTGTCCTTTTTCCCCTTCATCCCAGGGCAGTCCATTCCCTCCTCTTCCTATTTATTTCACTCCTTTGTCCTTCCACAAAGCAAAAAGGCTGCCCCCCATATAATTGTTTGTTTGTTTGTTTTCTTCTTTTTGGGTTTTCCTTCATCATCTTCATATGGGTTGCTTTCACTTCTCTGTTCAGTGCTATCCCTTTCTTGAAATATATGCAGGCTGCTACGTTTTACCTGCAGTTTACAAGCAAGGCAAAAGAGACTTCTGTTTAGAAAATTGCAGGGGAATGAATGGGATGTTTAAACATGAAGATGGACAAAAAGAAACCAAGCACAAAGCTCAAGAATCTCATATTCCAATGCCTCTTCTTCTTCTTCTTTTGACCATCTTACTTGATAACAAAAGTGAAATTTAAACCACGTATCTCTGTAAATCCAAGACCACAACATGAAAGTAAACAGATTTGGAGCAATTAATTTAGTGGGAAGAGAATTCCATTCCAATCTAATTCAATGAGGGTGCTATCTCTAACTGTGTTCTGCAACAAGAACATCTACTTCAATGATCAAGTTTCCACATTTATTTGCTTCCAAAAATGGTTGCCCCACAAATTGAAAAGACGACCAAGCGACCCCGGTATGATCCCAACACAAAAGACAAGAGAATGAGTGTCGGTAGGCCGACAATGTTTGGCTGTAGGGTTCTCCACAACTCATGCCCCAGCTCTACCCTCTTTGTAGTTAGAGCTAGATGGTAATGGCGGTGGGCATTTGTCCTCTCCTAGGCTTTCATACACGTCCACAAGCAACAACAACAACAAGGACAACCGGCTATAAGGCCTTTTGACCTTTCAATCCCAAACACATCGACAATGACAACTTCCATGGCTAAAAAAAGAAGACGACAATGCATCTCATCATATTATTGCGAAAATATGTAGCTCGTGCTTCAACATCAAAGTACCCTAAAGTACATTTTAACAAATTCGTAACTGTACTACGAATTTTTAATTACCAAGTCTATGCATTATGATGTCGATTCATTTTTAGTCCTTATGTTAAAAGGATAGTTAAAACTTCATAACTAGTGGGATCGGCCAAATTTGATAAGCACGTCTTTGATAACTCCCGAACGACAGATGAACCGCAAATGTGAAATTAAGACGTGATCAATGAGGCTGATTAGGGACAAAACGCAAAAGTTCAACATACATGAGAAGCGAGAAATGAAGAAATGACAATACATGGGCAGCTTGGCCTGCACTAGTGGTAGCGTGACTAGCTACTCAAGAGAGAAATATGCCCCTCCATTAACAACAACCAAAATGAAGGTTTGGTAAAAAGGAGAGAAAAGAACCCTCCCCTCCTACTTACTTATCTGGATTCCAAGACCAAACGGTCCTACTAAGATGCTCTTTTTCAAAAGGGCAAACAGTATAACTGTAATAAATTAATGCCAAGTTCCAAAGCAAGCAAAAACACACCATAGTAGCAAAAGATGGCAAGTCACAGAGGGGCAGAACGTATAAAGAAGCTTACCTTGTTTGTTTTGGGGAGTGGTTGATTAAATTTTCTTCCTGGGGGTGGTGGGTCTGGGTAGAGTAGTAAGTTGCTTGAATGCAACAGTGGGAGCAATTCTGCAGCTCCTCCTCTGGTGTTCCAGCACAAGCTCACCTGCAAACCAGTCCAACTTCTCAAAGTTACTCTCTTCTCCTATCCTTTTACCCCCAAACAGCACCGACTCCACGTTTTTCTGCTTTAACATTTCATCTGCCATTCCCAACAACATCTTCACGTTCTTAGGGCTAGGGTCTGTGTCCACATTGCCTTCACACCTCCCTACTAAGGAGGACCCATTTGCCTGTAAAAATTAAAAAAAAAAACAGTTACTATCTTACTTCCAAGGTTATGGAAAATTCACACGAAACCATAAAATAAAACCATGTTCTTATTCTGGAGACGCAAATGGGTTATAATCTCAGATTTACTGATGAAAAAGTTTAGATTTCTGGAAACAGCTTGCTTTCCCTTCTCAGCAAGTCTTTTTAACTTCGATTTGAGCACACAGTCCTTGAGTAGGTTCATTAGAAATTTAGAATGGTAGCACCTAACAGTCATAACTGCCATTATTCCTTCCAGTGTCACATATGGTATGCCAGAATGATAAAAACCCATTAAAATCATATGGTGGTGCTCAATACCAACAATATCAAACATTAATAATCATCTATGAACAGGACCATAAGGAATTAAGGACTGCTTTTGAAGGGTCCCCTCCCCTGTCACTTAATTTCTTAGATCAGATGGCAAATAAAGCATGCAGTAAGCCGTCCTAGTTATAAAAGCCAACTGTAATCAAGGAGCTAACATCATCTTTTATTAACTACATTGACAGCCCTTTTCTCTGTCCTTTCTCTGAGCCTAAAGCACCACGGACTGCATCCATTCACTTTCGTATGTTTGTTTTGTTGGAAGAAAATGGTAAGCAGTCCCTGCAACAATCATCCTGCCCTTGTCCTTTTACTAATTATATTCTGCCAGCAAACTGTGGTCACACAGGTTGTTCACTCTAATGATGGTTTTGAGACTATCATATATTTCTGACCCCAGCAAATGAAGAAGCTTCAAATGAGCGGCTAACTTAACTGAAAGAAACTAAAATTTGAGACCTTACCACATCAAAAATTATAATTCCGGTTTCAAGTACAATGATTATGTGTTCTATCTATCTCCCTGAAAACCCAACCCAGTGAACAGGCCATCTGGTCCAATTTCAGGTAAACAAACATTGACGGCCATGGAAATCATTTAGACACCACCACCAAAAGATGAGTGACCTCGACCAGGCAGGCACACACAACAAGCAAGCAAAACATTCCATGGCCATGTGGCCAAACAATGCACACACCATAAACAAACATCACATTCAATTGCATACACCCAAGAAAAAGGAAAGATCTCTCCCAGCTCCAGCTAGCTCAAATCTGCCCCAAAATTCCCAAACCAATGCCCATACCCAAACCCAAATATCCATTGCTGAGAAAGGGACAAACTTTGGATTGAACCCTTTTACCCTGCCCCCCCCAGCCTGGCCAAAACTGTCTCATGCATTTCCACAACCACTTGGAGGGCGTAAACGAAAACAAAGAAAAAGTTGGATGAAAAGCGACTGATTGTGAATTTGCATTGTGAACCCATTACCTGAATTCGCAAGTAGTTGCTGCTCCGACACTGACCAAACGCCATGGCCACCGACTGGTCCACCGAATCCGCCGAGGCGTCGCCGGCAATTCGCGCCATGGGTCGAGCCCAGTGCTTGGCCCTCCACGTTTTCACCTCTTCGTAATCGTAGCTGACTTCAGGCAGCTGCCCCGCGCCAAGCGAAAGCACCAGCAAATCCTCCACGCCTCTGACGAAAGGGAATTCCTGTTTGTTGTGCAGCACGTGGGTGATCGCCGCCGCGGTCGGATTGCTCATTGCCAACCCGCCGTCGACGGCCAAACACTTGGTCCGACCGTCGATCGACCTCAATTGAGCCGGTTCGAACGTCCCCGGGTCGGCCGACGTCGCCCGGCAGACCTCCCACAGCCGGAAATCGAAGCTGTCGGTCTCGAGCGCGTCGGCCCTGGAGAAGAGAAACGGCGCCGTGCTGGAGAGGTCGTAGCAAGGAATCAAAACGGGCTTCAACGTGTCTTTAAGGGTCAACTGCCGGCCTTTCTCCGAGAACGTCTCTTTCATTGCTTTCTCCAACCCGCCCGTCGCCGAACCCGACCCGCCCGACCCGGAGCTGAAAGCCCGCTTTAGAAACCCGCCGCCGCCATTCCTGTAGAACCGCCTCCCGTTGTCGGCGAGAAACCTCCACGTCTCCTCCGCCTTCATAATCGGCCGGCTCCGGTCTCTCGACCCGAACAGCATCGCCGTGAAGATGCCGCCGACGCCCGTCCCCGCCGCCACGTCGAAGTAATCGGCGATTCTGGCTTCTGGGTCGCCCGATTTCGTCCTCAGGGCCTCTTCCAGGTAAGCCAACGCTTTCCCGGCGAGAATCCCTCTCATCCCGCCGCCGTCGATGGAGAGCACGCAGATTTTGCCGCGCTGATTCTTGATGGAAGCGACGCCGTTTCCTCCATCGGCCGCGGGAACCGCCGGGTCCGGTGGAGAAATTTGCTTGGGAACCCAGAGCTTCTGATCATCGTAGCCGAAGAGAAACTTGCTCTCGAGGATGGAGAAGATTTCGTAACTGAGTTTGTCGGTGTCGATGCTGGGCTCTTGCATTTCTGAAGATTGATGACAAGCGATTTCCATTTCTTTTCTCCCCCCAACTGCAGCAATAAAAAAAGCTCGTTTACATAAAAGCTTTTTATGATTTCCTCTGCTGCAACTCTGTTCTTTCCGGCAATCGAAGGCTGGAAATGGAATTCGTTTCCAGTTATACGCCCAGCTCTTCAAAGTTGTAAGTTGTAACCCCCGTTTTCTTTCCTCAACGGTCTTATAATCTCCGGTTGACCTGAACAGTAACGCTTTTTCTTGAAAATTACCGCCGGACCAATTGCATGCTTCTCCAAGATCAAGATTCGGGGTCTTCACAGAACTTCTCTTCTTTTATAGTTGCCTATGTGTGAATTTACAGAATTTATGATATTAGATATGTCATCATATATGTGGCTTTTTATTATTTTTAATATGAGTAAATCAATATTACAATTTGAGCATACCAAATATTTTTTTACATGCTACTGAAGTATGAGGAAAAAATTCAAAAGTGTCACTATTTTAAAAAAAATTCGAAAAATACCTTCCAACCCCAAAAAATTCCAAAAATGCAACCTTTTCCAAAAACCGCCACCCCATCCAGTGGTTTGGTCCAAAATTTTTTTTTTCCGATCAACTCCTAACTTCGGCCAGAACTTCAAACTAACGTAACTTTGCACTTGGGTATCCAATCGTAGCGATTTTTTTAATTCGAATAACTTTTCGAGATTTTGCAAGCCGCGGCGGTCTGGTCCTGCCTTCGTCTCGAAAAAACGTCATTTGCTACCCCGAACGAGTCTTTTTCAATTTCGTCAAACTTTGGGCGGCCATAACTTTGTGCTCCAAAATCCGAACGTCATGATTTTTTTTTTCATTTCGCATAACTTTTTAAGATCTACAAGTTTTACAATGATGAAATTTTCAAAACATGAATTAGTTTTGGATATACGGGACATTGGGAATAACTTTACCTTTACTTTTCACAAATCCATATACATTTCGAAATTATGGTTATGTTAAAAGTTGTAGTAATTGAAAAGTTATACGGAATAAAAAAATAATTATGACATTCGGATTTTGAAGCACAAAGTTATGGACGTCCAAAGTTTGACGAAATCGAAAAAGGCTCGTCCGGTGTAGCAAATGACTTTTTTCGAGACGAAGGCGGGACCAAACCTCCATTGGCGGTTTGCGACTTGCATGATCTCGAAAAGTTATTCGGATTAAAAAAAAATCGTAGTGATCGGATAGCCGAGTGCAAAGTTACGTTCGTTTGAAGTTCCGGCCGAAGTTAGTAGGGATGGCAAAAATATCTGTAATCGTGGATATCCGCCCCGAATCCGACCTAATCGGGTAGGGTAAAACCCGAACCCGAATATTGCGGGTAATGGGTGGACATGGTTTTCTCATTATCCAACCCGAACCCGCCCGATTATACACATGCATATGTATTTTGTCTATAAATAATCAATATTTTTCTCTTGCATATTTTATATTTAGCATATACATATAAAAGTTTTATGAAATTGTGTTGTTTTAATTAATTTTCTTCAGTGTAGTGAATTATTGCCCTACTTTTCGCCTTACGTAACGTGAGAATAAGTGTCAATATTAACATATTGGTTGGAGTTATAAAGAGAAACTATTACCCATGGATAACCGTGGATACCCGAAACCCGAACGGGTATGGGCATGGTTTAGATTTTCTACATGTTTCTTATGTGGGTATGGGTAAAACCCGAACTACTCTGGGTAGGGTAGCGGATATGCACTATCCGTCCCCGACCCGACCCATTGCCATCCCTAGAAGTTAGGAGTTGATCGGGGAAAAAAAAATTGGACCAAACCGCTGGGTGGGGTGGCGGTTTGGCCCGAAACCGCCGCCCCACCTAGCGGTTTTCATAACCGCCCATTAGCCCAGCGATTTGCATCGAAAACCACGCCCCCAGCCAGCGGTTTTCGTGTAAACCGCAGGGTGTAGGGCTGGAAGTTTGGTACCGGTATTTGGGATATACCGAATACCGTACCGAATTTGTCTATATTTGGTATTACCGGATACACGTATTATTTCTTGGGATTGGGATTGAATTTCAATTGTTATTCGGTATTAGGGATTACGGGATTGGGATCGGTATATACGGAAATACCGATCAATACCGAAATATAAGCTAGTGTGTATTTTATCCTCTCAACTAGACTCTCTCATTCACTACTACACGACCCTCAACCACGAAGAGTATCATTTAATTATACATAGATCATTTCATCACTATTAATAGTCGTCTCTCTACCTCCAATTCGTCAAATTAACGATTACCAATGATAAGAACTTGAGATGTCTCCTCTCCTCCATTTTCCTTAATAATATCCTAATTCAAAACTCTTTGCTAAGTCTTTTCCCACTAAATTAAACAATAAAATCAAATCTATATATTTAATTATTAATTGCAAAGGTAATTAATTTTGTATTCGATAATACCGATTGGGATACCGAAGTACCGATTGGGATACCAAAATATTTAGGGATTGGGATTGGGATACCGAAATTATTTAGGGATTGGGATTGACTTTAGGAGGTAATTTGGTATTCGGGATTTCGGTATTTGGTATTGGGATACCGATACCGTACCGAATTCCACCCCTAGCAGGGTGGGGTTGCAGTTTTTGAAAAAGGGTGGTATTTTTGGAATTTTTTGGGGTTGAGTGGTATTTTTGAATTTTTTTTAACAGTAGTATTTCTGGAAAAAGTCCGAAGTATGAGAGGTTGTGTAAGGGAAGGGCAATTCGATACCGAAATATTTCGAAAATCGAACGTTGGAACATAAAATTACAAGCGTCACAACATGATACAAGAAGCAAGCAGTCTTTTTTTTTTTTTTTAGGGAAGAAGCAAGCAGTCTTATTTGGAGATGAAGAGGACCAAACCAGCTTCAATGTTTGCACAGGCCTTCATCTCGAAACTAATGCATTTTTTTTTTCATCGATTGATAACTAGGCACAAAATTATTTACACATCTAATAGTTATCATAAATGAGTATTTATGGAATTCTTATATTTATGTGGTGTACATTGGGAAATTTTCATAATAATAGTGAGATTCAGGGGGGAAATATAGAATATGTTTGTGTTGAAAATTTATAAAACATGAGACAATATGCAATGGCAAACCAAAAATTAAATAAATAAAAAAAGTACCTCCAATTGTGTCGCAGAAGATCCAAAACACTAAAAATTATGCATTTGGGTGTCAAATTTGGCTCGAACACAGATAAAATAGGTCAAACGGTCTGACCCTCAATATACACACTCACGCGACGCGCAGGAGGAGGGACGTGTGCCAGATGCGCGGTGACAGAACCAATCCATGCATGTATGGTGCACGTCCCTCTCTCCTGGGAGAGCTCTGAGGTTGAAAACGCTCATTGTGAAGCACTGTAATGTTGAGTGATCTTATGAGAAAGTCACCTTGATAAGATATGCATTCAAAGCAAAATTCATTAGAATCTAGTCTCAAAGCGGACAATATCAAATGTTTGGGATGTCACAATATTAGGTGAACTGTGATACTTAAAATGGCGTAAAGAACCTTGAAAAAAACTACCACTTTTTAAGCAAAAGCTAAACATATGGCCTTTGATTACGGAGATAAAAAGGTGGTGGGTGGGGTACTTAGCTACCTAAGCTAGGTCTTTTCTTTGTTTGTGTAGACTTATTAGTTGGTGGGGATGCAGTTAATTACTTTGTGGATTGTAAAATACAAGAATCATTCCATAATTTGGATGAGTAGTAGGTAGACTAATACTAATTCCTCTAAATTATTGTATATTCTTCTTGTAGCGTGCCCAACATGACTGACTTTGAATGAAGAAGACGGAAACATAGACGCAATTTGTTGGGTTGGGGAATTTCTATTGGTTCTGGATGACAAGGACCCCACCTTTCCTCCTTTACTGACGTGGCCTCCTGCTTCATTTTTGTCTAAATTCTGTATTATAAATAAAACTTTGAGAAAATTATGCGAATTTGATGTCACGGTTAGAAAAATGAAAAAAACCCCACATTTACAGATTTTGTTGGTAGGGGAATTTTACCTTCTTGCCACTAAGTTACTATTTATTAAAAATTCCAGATACAAAAAAGAAAAAAAAGAAGAATGGTGACATCCCAAGCACAAAAAAATTAGTTTCTTCTTGTCAATCACAAATTTAACCAACACGTGTAAGTTAGTTGGACGACCGAAGCAAAAACAAAACATATGGCAGTCCAATAATGTAGTGTTGGAAAATCCAAAGGTGTGATTGGATTTTGGATAATAGCCCCGATTAATTATATAATTGATGCATTGTCAATTATACATGTATATTAGAAAATTGGTGCATTGCAGTTTATATCGTTTGATTTCTATGATAGTTATTGTAGTATTTAAATAAGGTATATTACTTTTTGAGTGAAATGTCACTTTTATTCATCGTTTTTAATATAAAACAACAACACACCTAAAAAGATAGGGACATAATTGGAAGAAAGAAAAAACTCAACAATCCCAATGAAACAATCTCACAAAAAACTTGAGATTTAACTATCACTCATTTTGAGTGATAGTTTGTGTCACATCAAGCAAACAATGCATGTATTGTTTGCGCAGAAAATTCGAAAAAACAATACATTGTGGACAATACTTGCATTGTAACTATCACAATCAAATTATCACCAAAACCAAACGGCCTTAAACCTTTTGTAATTTCCAATCGAGGAATTGATTGAATTAGACACCCTTGGCTTTGATTGAACCCACAACCCATCCCAAAAATATTAATCTATTATTATGTCCCGCTTGTATTTTTGGATGACAATTATCTTATGTAATCATACTTTTTTTTTTTTTGATAAATGGATGCGAAGCATCCTAACCTTCATTCAAAACCAGCCGAGATTCGGAAACCCCTTCAATGTCATACAGGAGATAGAACCATAAAGCAGGATCAGTAACAGGTACAAAATGGAAACCAACATCGAACTGATGGCCTCTAGAAGCAAGGAAGTCGGCGCTCTTGTTCCCCTCTCTATAGATGTGGGAAACTGTAACGTCCCAGTCACGCCGAAGAAGCTCGTGGAAACAGTCGATGATCGCCGCGTGCTGGTGGTCTGAAGTATCCTCTCCCTGAATCAGCTGAATAGCGCACCGGGAGTCAAGCTCATACTTAATCGTGTAAGCAATTGCGTTGATATTATTTTTCGCCATAGTGCTTTTGTATTAGGATAAGTGCACCTTTTTTCGCTTCTTTTTCTGAAGATAGATTCATTAAGGAAATGAGAGGTGTTAATTTTATTGATGTTGATTGCCTCAACAATCCCACTAGTATTATTTTGGCTTACCTTGTCTGCTCGGAAGCCATAATTAGGGCTGTTTTACTACTACCATTAGTCCATTAAATACCCAATAACTAAAAAAAGTTGATAATTATTTTATATAAAATGTTACTGTAACTGTACTCTAGTAACTTAATTTACTTTTAAATCCGAGTTGCAAAGACTCATAGTCGGCGGAGCCATATTAAGTCCACGGATTATCGACCCTCAAGTTTTAAATATATGTAAATTTACATGTAAAGTTCGAAAAATAAATTAATTGAGAATGGGTATTCCCTCCTCGTATGATCATGGTTCAAACTTCAAATCTCCAAAATGTAAACCTTTTAGTCCGATTCATGACTCTATATTAGTGCTTATAGTAACAAAACTGCTTCTAATAATGAACATTTGATGAGTTCCAACTTGAGCATCTCATGTTTGTATTAAGATTAACTTTCCTTTCTTTGGTAAACTCACTTTCATCACTATATATAGAGGGAAAATGTTAATAAATCCTGGTTATAATTCTCTTTACATCACATTTAAAATGAACAAGTCGTGTATGGGGGAAAAAATGAGATCATTCCCTTCTTCTACTACTCCCTGCAATTTCCTTGTCGCCTTTAATTAGTGGAAAATGCACGCTTGATGGGCGAGCCAGTTCCCCACTAAAATGCGACGGAAATGTCAATGAAAACTAATTAATATCGACTCCCTTTGAATCTATGTGTCTAGGTCTATGATAGACAGACATTACATCCTTTTTTAATTTCTATTGAAATCTACATCCAATATCACAAAACATATCAATTAGGAAATTGACAAAAGGGTCAGAAATGATTGGTCGTTTTAGCTTATACAGCCATGATGAGTTCCAGAAAGTGGATTTTTTTTTCTTCTTATTTGGTTCCAATATACTTTGTGACCAGGAAAAAATAATAAAAATTCTGAAATCACAAATAAAAACGCACAGGAAAACATCAAAATGTATGTATACTATCACGATTATCGTGATAATCGATTATTGTAATCCCCATTCATCCTATTTATTGGCAAAAGGTGAATGGACTTGAATCTGAGTTGAACAGACAATGGGAAGCTTAAGAAATTTACTGGCAGCAAAAGTCTCAGGTACGGTGGCTGAAAAGAGGGGATAAAAACTCTTCATATTTTCACACGGTCACAAGGGCCAGACGTAAGCAGAATTTTGTTGATGGTTTGTGTAATGAAGAAGGGGATTGGATCACCTCGGAAAGCCAGGTGGCAAACATGACGGCGAGAGTGGGTGAGTTACCCATTGATTGTTGTGTCACCCCAGAAATGAATGCTAATTTAACGACTAAGGTTCTCCCAAAGGAAATTCGAAGCACTGTTTTCTCGATGGGATCAAAGCAGGCGCCTGGTTCTGATGGATTCACGGGGAAATTTTTCAAGACCTTCTGGGGGATTGTGGGTGAATCTGTGATAGAGGTTGTCCGGTCGTTCTTTGAAACGAGCAGGCTTCTTCGAAGCTTCAATCATACCTGGTTGACGTTAATTCCCAAAGTGGACCAAGTTGAGTCGATGCGTAAGCTCCGTCCCATCAGCTTATGCCAGTTTGTGTATAAGGTGATCACCAAAATTATGGCGGGAAGACTAGCCGAACCTGCTCCCACAGATCATCTCAGAAGGGCATAATGCTTTCATCCGGGAACGGCAGATTGTGGAAAACATCCTCCTCGGGCATGAGTTAATGCACTATTTGAAAATCAAAACTCGTGGCAAGAAGGGATACATGGCTCTGAAGGTTGACATGGAAAAAGCCTATGATAGAGTTGAATGGTCTTTCCTTCTCGCAGTTTTGGAAAAAATGGGCTTTAGTTCTGTGTGGCGAGGATGGATTCAGGAGTGCCTGCGATCTGCATCCTTCTCGGTTCTAATGAATGGCACCCTGCATGGCTTCTTCTCCCCGTCCCGGGGATTACGACAAGGCGACCCTCTCTCTCCCCTTCTATTTGTCATCTGCACAGAGGGGTTTGCCTCAATGCTTAGAAAAGCCATATCAGATGGGAAATTGCAGGGAGTTAAGGTGGCTCCCTGAGCGCCTCGTATCTCGCATCTGTTCTTTGCGAATGATTCTTATCTTTTTCTTCGTGGCTCCCTTCAAGAATGCGAAAACTTGATCGAGATTCTCAATGATTATGAGAAACTGAGTGGCCAAAAGGTGAAACTGGATAAGTCTGCAGTTTGTTTTAGTAAAAACATTAATGTAGCAGACCAGGAATTCATGGCAGAGATTTTAGGCGTGGGGGCGGTGGGTGTCCAGGACAAGTATTTAGGCCTCCCAACGTTAATAGCCCGATAAAAAATGACTACTTTTCGCTATCTTGAGGAGAAATTGTTGGCTCAGCTTCAAGGGTGGAAGCGTAGGACATTGTCTTGGGTGGCTAAGAAAACACTGATTAAAGCAGTGGCTTTAGCTCTGCCTTTGCACGTCATGTCTTGCTTTAAATTACCCTTGTCTCTTTGTCGCCTTCTGGATAAGCATGTTGCCCGTTTTTTGTGGGTGTCAAGGCGGGTCGGTCAAAGATTCGATGGATTTCTTGGAGAAATATGTGTAAGAGCAAACATGAAGGGGGGATGGGCTTTCACAGATTTGAGCATTTCAATCAGGCATTGCTAGCTAAAATTGGATGGCGTATCCTCGAGGAGCCCAGTTCCCTCATTGCTCAGGTGTATAAAGGGAAATACTTCCCCAATGGATCATTTCTTACGACGACAGCTCGCTCCCATCCGTCCTGGGGATGGCAGAGTATCCTTTTTGGTCGCCAATTGTTGGAAGTTGGTCTTTGGTGGCAGATTGGTAATGGACAGAAGGCCCCTTTACGTGATTCCGGAGGGGGAGGATCTGAAGGTAGCTGAGGTTATTCGGGCAGGGGAAGGGAAGTGGTGCGACCTTAAGCTTAGTCAATGGTTTCATCCTCGAACATGTCAGGATATTAGGGTCATCCCTTTGCCTCGTCAGAGTATTGAGGATAAGTTTATTTGGCATGGCACAACTGATGGGGTGTTTTCGGTCAAATCTGCCTATCATTTGGCGGTCAATCTAGATCGACAGAGAGGAAGATGGAAAGCCCAGGCTAGTTGGATGGATAAAGCTAGCTGGATCCGATTATGGGATGCCAATATTCCCCCAAAACTTAAGGTGTTCGTCTGGCAGATCTTTCACAGAATTTTACCTACCACATAGGCCCTGATTGAGAGGAAGGTTGAAGTATTACCTAGATGTCCTGTGTGCTGGGCGGATTCGGAGACACTGGAACATATGTTTTTGGATTGTCCGGTAGCTCGTGCCCTGTGGGATCATTCTGGGCTTGCTCATCTGGGAGAAGGGTTGCCTCGACATACCTTCCCCCTCTTTTTAAAGAAGCTATTGGCCTTGATTCATCAGCCAATTATGGTCATGTCGGTTATTGCTGTCCTTTGGAGGATTTGGCAATCTCGTAACTGGGTTGTCTTTGAAGGCAAGCAGTTTGGGATTCCCGTTCTGATGCGGCAGTACAACCAACAGGTCCAAGAGTGGGTTAATCTACCAGTAGACAAGACACTTCCTGTTCATCAATCCCCTTCTCCTCCCTCGGACCCAACTGGGTCGAATTCTGTGCTCTGTATGTGGGATGGGGCGATAAGGAATGGGTCGCATTCGGCAGGTGGTATGGTTATCATGACTTCAGCCAGAGAGGTTCTGTTGGTCAAGGGGGTTTCTTTCCCGGGGATGGATGACCCTATGCTGGCTGAGATGCTCGTTCTCCGGGAGGCCATTGTATGGTGCGTGGGTAATGGTTTCACTGCAGTTAGGTTTGAAGGTGATGCTCAGGTTATCATAGAGAAGATCCTCCAGAGAGACACTCGGGATAATCGAGTGGGGTCGATTCTCGAAGAAGTTGTCCAGGCTTTTGACATGAATAGAGGTTTCAGTGTACGATTTGTAGGTCGGCGTAACATTAGGGTAGCTCATTTGGTAGCTAGGAAGGCCCTTTATTTGTACCCGACTACATGTCGTTTATCTGATTTTCAGGCTTGGCTGAATTCCAGGATGTAACAATCTTTTTTCAATCAATATATGATTATCTTTTGTCAAAAAAAAAAAAAATAATCCCATTGTCACACCAATTAAAAGAGATCTATATGCAACTAATGCGTAACTGAATAGTACCTACACACATGCATTTTAGATGTTACTGCTACACAGAACGATGGATCACACAGTAATCCCGCAATACACGACCCAACCATCTCAAAATCTATCATAATCCTGCAATAACAAATTTCATTTTTCTCCAGTTGCACAGTCATAGAGCCAGTCAACCTCATCTCATACAAATACGAAACAAAAATTATTAAGAAACATGCATTTGAGTTGAAACTTTAGGTGACTAGCAAAGGCCAAATTCCTCATTTTAATTATTATTTAATACTTAATTAAATTTCTATATATCTTATAAATAGAGGATAACTTTAAAATCGCGACCCAAATATCATTGGTTCGAATATTTCATATCAAATAGCAGTGTTGAATATATAAAAGTTATGTATAATTCTTAAATTAGTATTAATTTTTAGACTACTATTACACAATCGTATTCATATCTATGTGTAAACTATATAGGACTGGTTCTTTGAACATTTTAGTTCGGCTAACCGTCGAATTTTAAACCTTCTCCTATTCTGACATGATTGGATCCAACAATCATTAGGAGTTTAATAAGTTGGTTCATTTCACCTTTTTTCAATGTGCTAATGAATTTTTAGGAAAAGACATGTCTTTATATACACTCTACACAATATATAATACTAAAATGAGAAAATTGTTGTCTCATTTCAAATTTCCTACAACGAAAATGAAAGTAGGAATTATATTTTTGCTTCATAATTATTTTACAGAAACTACAAACTTCCAAAATCCAGAAATTGTTGCTCAAACTAAAAATCAGAGTATAAAAAATCAATGTTCGCAAATTTTATTTCATATATCACTTATTTGAGAGATTTTTCTCTTTATAAACAAAGTAAAATGAAACAAGTTATAGCCAAATCAATAGCTTTGGCTCGAAGACGATGACCTGCTTCTTTGTGGGAGAAAGAAATACATGTGGTACCTTCAGAGATCTGGAGAGCAAAGACGAAAAGGATGCACTACGAGTTCGTGAATGAGTACGGTGAAATAGATCATCAGATCACGGGCATGGGGCTGAATAAAATGATAGGAGGTTAGTTAGATAGCCGATGATTTAGAATTTGCCAATTTGGTACATCAACAGGAGATCTCCAGAGTCGGCTTAGGAAATAAAGAATCAAAGGGGAAGAAAAAGATAGACTCTTTTATTAACAACTAATTGAGTGCATGGGGTGGATAACCGATGCATTATTTCACTTTTCCCTTTTAAAAAAATAAAACAAAATAGTATCATAAACTTTTTTGGGTTTCTATTCATCTTTTGAAGTTTGTTCTTTTTTGGGTCTAATCAGACTATTTAAAGCTATTATTCTACTAAAATGATTTTATTTTTTCCCATTGCATTGATGTAATATAGTGACCAAAACATGTTAGTAAGTTAAATTATATATTAATTAAAATAATATAATATTCACGCTCTTTCGGGGCGCTCAAATTATAATTCTTGAAGATTATATTCGCTTACGCTCCCATTCTAGCTCCCGCTCTAGCGAATTGGTAAGATAAATCCGTCAAGTGAATTCTGTTAACAAAAAGACTACTGGAAGAGCTCGCCTTCCATCACATATTGTCTTCACTCGCAAACACCCCCATGCTCAATTTCCACTTGGTCGTTACTCATTAATTCCACTTTTGACACACATCACCACCATAGGAGTGCGACATTCATCGCGTGACGAATACATGTTGTTGGAGTGCATTTTAGGAGATCGAAGGAGGATAGCAGAAAATAACAGATAGAGAAACAAATGTAGATAGTCCGGTCGAGGAAGAATATTATTCATATGTAGATGAGATTTTATACAATTTATAAATATATGAACAATATAATAATTTTTTCATATCCGGGCAAAAGCGGACTAAAACAATTGGACCACTAACCCTCAACCCACTTAATCGACTGGGCCAATGGGCTAACCAGGTTGACAACCTTTGATACTTGAAATCCATATATTCTAAAAAATTTGGGTTCCAATTTTTATGAATGAGTCAAATCGATCAATAATTGTGGACTTTTCAGAGAGTGGTTGAAATTCAAAAGTCGGTCTTCAGGGTTCTTTTGTGACGGACAAGTTTTGGCGTTAATTATTGTTAGGTTGAAGGAAGAGAAAGCGAGACAGATGGAGGATGAGATTGTGGCTATTAATTATTGGGAGTTGCAGATGGAGAAATAAGCCATAAAACGGATTAAATTTAATTTGATAATACGTATATATTATCTATTACAAGGGCATGTTTGATGTGAAAAATAAAAGGGATATATTTGAGAAAAATGGATAATAGTGTGGCAATTTATGCTATTAACTCCACATGAAAAAGTCAAAGATTGTATTAATAGAGTAGAATTTAAGGTTTTATTAAGTTGATTTTTCGTAACTTTTGTGCGTGCATTAGTATCTAATACTTAACAGTCTCGACTTATTATTCAATCAAGGCTATACACCAAATTCCAATAATTTATACAATAAGCATTATGTTTTCGTGTTCTTTCATATTTGAGATTTCTAGGTATAATCTTTTCGTTATTCTTTTGATTTTTTTATATACATTCAATTCCTACCATTCTAGATGACATATATTTTGTTTCAACTCCAACTTTATATCCGATTATAAAAAGTCAACAAATTTCTTCTAAGATATGAAAAAAATACACAACAGTAAATTAGAAGGACTTGATAAAAAAAGTACATATTAACTCATTATCGGTTATGTCATAATCAGCAAATACCATAAAGATTACTATGAAATAATGAATTAATTATTTTAGAAACATCATCTTATTTAAAACCATGAAGAGATTTATCAAAATAAAATTAATCCGGCCAACAAATCGAATTAATATTTTAAATATAATTATAAATTAACCAAATGATCGATAGATCTTCACCTCTTATTTACAGTTCACTTAACCTTTTACAGTTCACTTAAACTGCATGTCTGTCTGCAATCCACCATTGCTGGCTGTACTGTAGGATAAAGATTTAGTGAAAAGAAAAGATTACAGCTTCATTCTCACGGAAAACGCCGTCTGTGGGGATCGAACCCACGACCACGTGGTTAAAAGCCACGCGCTCTACCACTGAGCTAAGAAGGCTTCTGTTTGAGCAATCGGAAGTAATCTGTATAGATTTCGATTATAGGTATAATATGCTCCTCTACTATGCAATTTTATCAAACATGTCCCTCTACTATTTTTTACATCAAACATGCCCCTATACTTAGAAAAAATTATCAAATATCCTCTTATGTTAAAATTTCCATTAAAAAATGGTCAACCACAGTTGAACCGAGATTCACACAACCCGACATCGGAAAAATTGTGGTTGAAATGTCAGTTTTTTCTCCTCATTCATTTCTCTAGGTCTAGTTAAAGTGATATTATTAGAGCTATTTGACTATAAAAAAGAAACAAAACAATCTAAAGTGAAATTATTAGAAGGTTTTTAGACATAGGTGTCGCCCAAATCAAGGTTCGACCATGGTTGATGGTTTTTGGATACAAAATTAAGCAGAAGGGCATGTTTGATCATTTTTACAAAGTATAGGGATATGTTTGATGTAAAAAATAATAGAGGGACATGTTTGATAAAACTACATAATAGATCGGCATATTATATCTATAACCCTACAAAATTTTATACTCTACAAGATGAAAGCAGCTACCTTGCCCTGCTTTTGAGTAACTAGCTAAGCTAGGCACAGAAATCTCCATTGCTTAGGATTCAGATTGAACATTAGTTGAATTCTTGAGCCACATTTTATAATATACTCATTAAACATACTCACATACTACTTCGTTGAATTCTAATTTATGTAAAGAAGAACTTCGACGAAAATGGACCGGAGTATCATTAAACACATACTCATTGCAAACCGACTCCAATTTATACTCAAGCACGTTGGAGAAGAACAGAGCACACGACCATAGGAAGCAAAAAAGGCCTGCCATAAAGCTCATCAATTTGGTGCAGTGGCAGCAGGAAGGTAAGGTTCAATCAGGAAGAGCGTAGTGGTTTATCACTTCCATGACGGCGAATGCATCATTCGGATCCAGATTCGGTTTATACATCTCCCCTAGCAGCTGCAGGAGTTCATTGTAATGGAACCCTTTGAACTTGTTCATCGCCTTGCTGCTCTGCCCCGTCAACTCTGCAAACGGCTCTACCCACTTCTTCCCGCCGATCTGATACCCGAACGCGAGCGAGTACCGGTCCTTCTCCCTCGACGACACCACCCTGTGTGCCACGCTCTTGAATTCTCCGTTGCTCAGCACCTGATCATCGATTTCGTCAAAACATTGACCACTAATGTAGTCAAATTCGCGCTTTAAAGCTTAAAATCTTACGCTTCTACGTTTGTACCTCGATGACGTCCCCGATGTTGAGGACGAGGGAGTGAGGGACGGGAGAGACTGGGATCCACCGGCCGTCGCCGCGGAGGAACTCGAGCCCTCCGACGTCGTCCTGCAGCACCACGGTGAAGAGGTTTGGGTCCTTGTGTGGGAACGATCCGACTTTCTTGTTCTCTGTGGCCTTGAAGTAGTGGTAAGCTAGCAATATATCCCACTGCCTCTCGCTGTTGTATTGGTGCAGGAGATCTGGAGGGAGGCCCAGAGCGTCGTTGATCAGAGTTTCTATCAATGGCGCCACCGTCTTGACAAAGTACCCAAATGTCCTCTCCATGATCTCCCTGCAATAAAAAAACATTCGTGAATCTCTATAGCCCTGTGTTGGAATTCCAGCCTTGTTTGGAGAAACAAAGTTTCAGTACTTGAGATGCAAGTAACTGAGGTAGGAATGGTATGAAGACGTGGGGGAGTGGGGACGAGTAACTCGATGCTCATACTTGTTCTTGACAGATTGGGTTTATATCGGTTAAATTTTCGTAAAATGTTGATTGGGTAAGGTCAAACCATATATGTTATGTAATTTAAAGTGAAAACACTAAAAATATTGATTTGTCATTAAAAAAACAAACAATGTAGTTAAATTATTAGAGATATTAAGATTATCATCTATTTATATACTAAATTTGAGTAAAATTACATATATCAGTCTCAGCCCAACATGTCAAATAGGTTGTGTAAAATAGGGCAGGTCGAAAATAGGACAGATCACAAACTATTTAAAAATTTTGAACTAGTTTTTGAGCAAAGCATCGGTTTTAATCAATTGGACCGAAATCAATCAAAAGATATCGACCTCGAACCATGTCCTACGGAACCGACAATCAAAGAACTGGCACTAAAATAGGAAGAAGAAAAAAATTTGAGGGGAGGAGGGGATTATGAATTTTATGCAAGGAAATGGAGTCGGCCAGTCGGGTCGAACCCGAAACTGGGTAGCCGGGTAACCTGAACCGTGTCGGGTTGGTCGGGTAGACGGTGGAGCCAGGGCCAGAGCCGGTCGGACCCATCCTGAAAACCTCGCTATTATTGCGAGCGGACTCCACCGCCGCCTGATTGACGTACCCCATGGGCAACGTCGAAGCCGCACCCGGCTCCGGCGGCCGCGGGCTCCACTTGAGCTTCTCCTCGTCGGGACCAGCGAAGAACTCGCGAGCGACCGCCAGGGTTTCGTCCAGCGCTTCCACGGGGATCCCGTGGTTGACTATCAGAAACATGCCGGAGTCGGAGCATGCTTCGCGGATTCGCCTTATCGCCGCCTCCTTCTCCTTTGCAACAGCGAGATCACCGCCGGCGCCGGGAGTAGCGAAGAAGGGGGAGAGATCGATCAATTCGAAATCGTGGTCCTGATTTTGATCGGCCGCGTGGTGGGCCATCGAACTGATGCAACGCGGGGAGCTTCAAAGCCCAACCACTCCGCTGTTGGTCGCCTTCTGGATCGTCTGGTCTATATGTATTGAAATTTGAAACCGGCCCATGGGTTCCACGATATATATATATAAATAATTATTTTTCTTTCTTTGCATTCATTCATTGCGTTGGAATGGATCTTCTACATCTGCATCGACACACCAATATAAGAAGATTCCACGAGAGGATGTGATTAGATTAGAAGGCAGGTATCTTTGTGCATTTTAAGGAAGGCTATATTCGTCCTTCTACTTTACATCTATTTTTCTCTGTGAAATTAGAAGTAACGTAAGGTATTGTGATTTGTGAGCGTCTAAGTTTGGACTTCGTAATATTTCCCTTGGAAAATAATCTAAATTGGCAAAACACTGCTCCAATTCAATCTCCAAAACAACCAAGTAAAAGGGATGAGAGTTTGATGCGTAACCTACTTTTGTGGTTCGATAACAATCTGCCTATATCGTTCTATTGTTATTATAACTTCAAGTTCATTAATTCGAGAAAAAAAAATTGTACCCACTAAAACGTAAAGTTTTCGGTCAGTATCTTAATTACTGTTATTTTGTAGATTCAGGATTCAACTTCGAGCTGTCGACAATATTGTTTTTCTTTTTTTGCTTATAGGAATACCAGAGGCCGAGAAAGAGAATTGCAGGGGATTAAGTAGAACTCGGAGAAGAGAGGGACACAGTTTGCCGCTCAAAACTAACGCCCATCGTATGATCTCTAAGAATAGCAGCTAGTCGTGGAGGCGGATTTTGGATTGCCTACTAAGAAACTACTAAAACATAGTGACAAAATGAGAGAACTATCAGCTCCTCGTCTCCTATAAAACTGAGAAAATGTAGTTACATTTTCAAACTCACTGGTCTCGTTCTGGATTGTTTGATTTTATATGTATTGAAACTGGTCCATGTGTCACGATATGTATAAATAATATGTGTTTCTCTTTGCAATCATTCATTGAGTTGGAGTGGATGATCAATGTAAGGTTGAAAGAATCACTCCATATGTATCTCACATAATCTACAATGATAATAAAACAGAGCCAGTTTCATACATACGTTTGGTCTAGTTTTCTTATTTTTTCGGGTTGTCTGCTTTATGATCTTGAAAAAATGAAGGTTTAGGTGAAACTATAGATAGATGAAGAATTTGGATTCATTGTGATTAGAAAAACACCATCATTTCTTTCATAGATATCATGATGAGATTTTGTTAATTAGATTTGTATGCATGTGAAATAAATCTTTATTGGCCACACTCATATGAAAAGAGAAAGAAAATAGAAGCGGTAAGTTGGTTACAAATGATCATGAGAACATCGTTGGATCAAGGTAGCTAATTCGGGCTCGAATTGATTGGAGCATTCACTAACAACCTGCAAAACATGCGAAAATTTAAGTTGGTTGCCCTTTCTGATTAAATGTATCAAGGAGCCATGAAACTGTTGCTATAAGCAAGAGCCCTGTAACTGCCTCTTAATCATCATCAGAATGTCTGAGACCTGCATAACACAGAAGAGATACCAGATAACAACCAACCTTTAGAACAGAAGAATAAACTATGAAACAAATGACTTGACTCACAAGGAAAGACCATCAAATTCAGCCCCCAAGGAAAGGGAACTGCTCTCTTTTACCTCAAAATGTTGTTGCATGATGGGTGGATACTGGTGCAGAATGTGATATATCTTCTCAAGTAGTCCCAAGAGTGCATCCACCTGATCTCCTAGTAGATCTACCTATATCACAGTACCAAACACAACACTTCAATCTAGACTTCCAGAACTGAATCCGGACTTCCAACTTGGGAGTAAAATGTTTAAAAAAATGTCCATAACCTTGATTTCAACCTTTTTGAGATTCTCGCTATGCCTGATGAATGCTTCTGCATCTCGACTTTCCTTCTCCTCGTCGTTGAGGCGACAACTTCCACCAGTGGGCTTAAGCGTCGTGTTGCCTCGTGCAACCTGTAACAGGCATTAGAGGGAACCTGAAACACATAGGCCATCAAAACTGCAGCTCATAGCATTCTATATGCAGTAGGCTAAATCCAATGGGGTGGGGGAATGGACAGCGGAGACGTGTACCTCGATATGTTGAGTCCTAATCTTGCCTCGACTGTGCAGTTGAAGGTAGTAAACACTTCTGAAAGTCTGACGAGTTGTTCAAGTGCAGCATCAGCCAGTGTTAATTTCACCTCCTCCCTTTTCTCTGGTTGTAGAAGTTCTATTACTATAAGGTCTTCTCTGGTTGCAGAAGTTCCATTACTATAAGGTCTGCATATGTTTCTATCATGTCTCCATCTTGGGTTTAAGTTTTTCAAACCAAGTGGGTTTTACATCGGGGTTTTTTCACGGATAAACCCATGGGTTTAGGTCTATGATAGACACACATTACATACTTTTATTATTATTATTATTATTGAAGAATACATCTAATAACACAAAACATATCCATTCAACGAAAATGGTCGTTTTACTTTATGCATCTCATAACATTCTATATGCAGCAGGCTAAATCCAATGGGGTGGGGGGAATGGACAGTGGAGACGTGTACCTCGATATGTTGAGTCCTAATCTTGGCTCGACTGTGCAGTTGAAGGTAGTAAACACTTCTGAAAGTCCGACGAGTTGTTCAAGTGCAACATCAGACAATGTTAATTTCACCTCCTCCCTTTTCTCTGGTTGTAGAAGTTCCATTACGGTAAGGTCTTCTCTGGTTGAAGAAGTTCCATTACTATAAGGTCTGCATATGTTTCTATCATGTCTCCATCTTGGTTTTAAATTTTTCAAATCTAGTGGGTTTTACACCGGGGTTTTTTCACGGATAAACCCATGGGTTTAGGTCTATGATAGACACACATTACATACTTTTTATTATTATTATTGAAGAATACATCTAATAACACAAAACATATCCATTCATACTTTTTTATTATTATTGAAGAATACATCTAATAACACAAAAACATATCCATTCATACTTTTTTATTATTATTATTGAAGAATACATCTAATAACACAAAACATATCCATTCAACGAAAATGATCGTTTCAATCTGTTAGAAAAATGTCGTCTGTGGGGATCAAACCCACGACCACGTAGTTAAAAGCCACGCGCTCTACCACTGAGCTAAAAAGGCTTCTGTTTCAGTGATTCGACATACCTTAAATATTCACGGATACTGTACATAATAAAGACTGCCACCTCAACCCTGCTTTTGAGTAACTAGCTAGGAACTGAAATCTACATTTGCTTTAGGATTCAGATTTGAAAATTAGTTGAATTCTTGAGCCACTTTTATAATATACTCATTGCAACACATACTCATTAAACATAGTTGAATTCTAATTTATGTATAAAAGAACTTCGACAACAATGGACCCGAGTATCATTAAACAAACTCATTGCAAACCTACTCCCATTTTATAGCCAGGCATGTGAGAGATGACATAAAATTCGTTTTTATTTAGGGTCTAATACCTTAGTTTGGCCCGAAGTTTAGTGTGAGTGACAGTTCTGTCCTCATTTTTCAAATAAGACATTTATGACATACTTTCAAAATTATTGGACAAATTTGACCCGACATTTGGGTTGACCGTTATACCTGATAGTCAAACATTTTCACCGTTAATGACTCAACAAAAACTGATGATATGGCAATGACATGGCTGCCACGTATTTTCACAAAGATTAAAAATAAAAAATCATGAAAATGAAGTAAAAAAACAAAAATTTGAAGAGTGAATGTTGTCTTCTCACTGCCAGTATTGCACCAATATGAACCTCCAAACTCAGTAACCCCCTCCCACCGACAGAACATAATTTTGTTACCATTAAGGAAGCTCTTCAAGCAAAGATCTAAGTAATAATTTCACTGATGATTGATTAATCCCCCCAAACTCATAACCCTAAATTTGAACAACGGGGAGGCAGCAGGGGAGCTTTGTGCGGTCGGCGGTGTAGCGGAGGAGGCAATATTCAATGCTAACTTCCCTAGTTGTTTGGCGGCTGCGCTCCGCAGGGGAAATCCGCAAGGTAACTCTTTGGAGGTTTCGATCTGGTGGTACGGAGGGAGGGCGACGCACGTCGATGACTCTTCAGCTGCTCCGGGAGCTGTCGACTTAGCCGCCGCAATTGATTTTCCTTTCTTCTAATCGAAAACAGAAGGGAAATGAGAAGGGCCAGAAGGTGAGGAGGAAGAATGGAGATTTCCGTTTTGGTGAGGGGAAACAAAGAAGATGGATCGAGAAGGCAGAAGGTGAGTAGGAAGAAGGTGGATTCATTGGAGAGCGACGGGAGGAGTCAGGAGAGTGAATTAGGGATTTCATCCCTCTACCTTCATCGTCTCTAGTTAGGGATGGAGTTGAATGAGATGGCAAGATAGAAGGGATGGAGGTGATTAGGGATTTCATCCCTCTGCCTTTATCATTTTGTTATTTATTTTTTATTTTCATGTTTTATTTAGAAATTTTAACATAAATAATTTAACGAAAAAAAAAATTTAACATAAATAAATCATGTGGAAATGATGTGGACAACACGTCGTTGGCACCTCAACACTAAATGCTGAATCACTGACAGAATAAATATTTGACCGTCAGTTTTAACGGTCAACCCAAATGTCGGGCCAAATTTATCCAATAATTTTGAAAATAGGCAATAAATATCTTATTTGAAAAATGGAGCCAAAACTGTCACTAAACTTCAAATCAAACTAGAGTATTAACCCTTTTATTATTTATTCCAAATCATGCTTTTTCCCCAACAAAAACTACACGCAGGACAGCAGAACAGAGCACACGCAGAACAGAGCACCACCACCATAGGAAGAGAAAAAAAAAACGGCTTGCCATAAAGCTCATCAATTTGGTGCAGTGGCAGCAGGAAGGTTCACGGGTGATGCAGGGAGAGCGTAGTGGTTGACGACGTCCATAATGGCGAATGCATCATTCGGATCCAGATGCAGCTTATAGTTCTCCCCCAGCAGCTGCAGGAATTCATGGTAATGGAACCCTTGAAACCTGTTCATCGCCTCGCTCTCCCCCGTCAGCTCTGCGAACGGCTCTACCCACTTCTCCCCGCCGATCTGATACCCGAACGCGAGCGAGTACCGGTCCTTCTCCCTCGGCGACACCACCCTGTGCGCCACGCTCTTGAATTCGCCGTTGCTCAGCACCTGATCATCGATTTCCGTCAAACATTAACCACTATTGCAGTCAAAATCGCGCTTTAAACCTTACGCTTTTACCGTACCTGGACGACGTCGCCGACGTTGACGACGAGGGAGTGAGGGACGGGAGAGACTGGGATCCACCGGCCGTCGCCGCGGAGGAACTCGAGCCCGCCGACGTCGTCCTGCAGCAGCACGGTGAAGAGGTTTGGGTCCTTGTGTGGGAACGATCCGACTTTCTTGCTCTCGGTGGACTTGAAGTAGTGGTAAGCTAACATTACATCCCACTGCCTCTCGCTGTTGTATCGGTGCAGGAGATCTGGAGGGAGGCCCAGAGCGTCGTTGATCAGAGTTTCTATCAATGGCGCCACCGTCTTGACAAAGTACTCAAATGTCCTCTCCATCACCTCTCTGCAATATAACGTTTTATTAATCTATCCATGTGTAGGAATTTCATCTTGTTGGGGGGGAAAAACAAGTTTTAGTTTAGATCTAATTGAGGTAGCAATGACCAATAGGGTAGGTTAGGTTGGGCTGGTTGCAGCTTTGCAGGTCGAGTTCATGTCGCATAATTTATCAAGAGTACGAGTCGGTAGCTATGTAGTTTAAATTAAAATATAAAAAATATTAATTTTTTTCATAAAAACCAGTTTATAATACAACTGATTCACTATTATAAAAAAAATTAGAAAACAAACTATACCATGATAAATATATTTAAATCATTGTAAAAAATAACATTCTCGTTTATTTATAAATTCATTATAAATAAAATATGAAGCGATAAAAGTAAAATTGTAAGTAAATGTAATAAAATTACATGTAATCTATACAAACCAAAACGAAAAATGGGGCGAAGCTAGTTTGGAGAGGAGACTATGCTCTTCCCGTCCCAACATAGGTCAAACAGGTGGACTAAAACGAATCATGTCAAAATTGTCTTATCCCTAAATTGAGATTGGGGTAGAAAAGTGGTTCGGTTTGGTTTACAAATTAATCCAAAAAATTGAGCCAAATCAAAGTCGTTAAGAATTTGATTCCGTTCTAAATGAATCACAATATGTTTAAAAATTCTGAACTAGTTTTGTTCATTTGTTTGAGCAAAGCATCGCTTCTAATCAAATCGGACCGAAATCAATCAAAAGATATAGGTCTCGAACCATCCTACCGACACATCAAAGAACCTGCGGTGCGGAATCATAGATTTGATGAAAGGAAATGGAACCGGGTCGAACCCAAAACCGGGGCGATCGGGTACCTGAACCGTGTCGGGTCGGTTGGGTAGACAGCGGAGCCAGAGCCGGTCGGACCCATGCTGAAAACCTCGCTATTGTTGCGAGCGAACTCCATCGCCGCCTGATTCACATACCCCATGGGCATCGTAGCCGCCGCACCCGGCTCCGGCGGCCGCGGGCTCCACTTGAGCTTCTCCTCGTCGGGGCCGGCGAAGAACTCGCGGGCGACCGCCAAGGTTTCGTCCAGCACCTCCGCGGGGATGCCATGGTTGACGATTAGAAACATGCCGGAGTCGGAGCATGCTTCGCGGATTCGCCTTATCGCCTCCTCCTTCTCCTTTGCAACAACGAGATCATCGCCGGCGCCGGGAGTAGTGAAGAACGGCGAGAGATCGATCACTTCGAAATCGTGGTCCTGATTCGGATCGGCCGCGTGGTGGGCCATCGAAATAGCCTCAAGGCCCAACTACTCTACTCCGCTCTCTTGGTGACTTGAATTTTAGAAAATATATATATATATTTTTTCATAGGAAAATTTAGAAAATATCAGTGACGGCCACTGGTCGCCTTCTGGATCGTGTGGTTTATATGTATTGAAAGAACCGGTCCATGTTTTCAACGAGATATATATAAATAAATATTTTTCTCTTTGCAATCATTCATTTCGTTGGAATGAATTTTCTACATCTATCTATCTATCTGTCGTATACCTAGTACCTAGGGTGGCAAATAGATCGATCCATGGATTGTTGGATTCATGAATCAAATGGATTGGTGGATTCATGGATTGGATCAAGTGGATTGGTAGATTATCCATGAATCCAAATGACATCCTCAATCTTGGACCAATATGTAAAATGTGAAAAGTTTAGATACTAAAATGTCGTAATGAAAAATTTTAGGTACCAAAACGTAATTTTCCAATAAGATTTTTCGTATAGAAAATTAAATTTTAGGTACCAAATTGTAAAATATATAGGTACCAAACCGTAATTTGTCATTTGGATCCTTGGATTGATCCATGAATCCACTAATCCAATTGGATTTGGATTAAATGGATTGAATTAGATGAATATTTTTAATGGATTGGTGGATTGGATTGAGAATTGTCACCTCTATGTCTACCCACTAATATAAGGAGTAAGGACATTCCACGCGAGGATGAGATTTGATTAGAAAACATGGATCTTTGCATATTTCAAGGAAGGATATATTTGTCCATCTATTTTTCTTTGCGAAATTAGAAGTAACGTAAGGTATCGTAATTACATGAGTTTAAATTTCTTAATATTTTCATTGGTAAATAATCTAATTGGCAAAACAGTGCTGTTCAAACTCCAAATAATCAAGTACAAGGGATGAGAGTTTGATGGATACCCTACTTTAGTGGTTCGGTAAAATATGTCTATATTATAATATTTTTTTTAACTTCAAGATCATTCATTCGAGAAAAAAATGTACTCACTAAAACATTAAGTTTTCTATCAGTATCTTAAATTATATTTATTTTATAGTTTCAGGATCCAGCTTCGACTTGTAGACAATACTGCTTAATCTAACTTTATGGATCTATTGCAAAGGGGCTATGTAATTTTTTTTTTTTTGGAATGCCTACTAAGAAACTACTTAAAGTTAAAAGACAGTGACAGAATGAAGACCTATCACCTCCTCATCTCCTATAAACTAAGAAAATGTAGTTAAATTTTCATATCAACCTCACTGATTGTGTTCTAGATAGTATGGAAACTGGTCCATGTGTTTCATGATATGTATAAATAATCATGTTTCTATTTGCAATCATTCATTGAGTTGGAATGGATGATCAATTTATGGTTGAAAGAATCACTCCATATGTATCTCACATAATCTACAATGATAATAAAATCGAGCAAGTTTCATACATATGTTATTGTCTAGTTTTCGTATTTCTTCCGAGTCGTTTGTTTTGTGAATTTTAGAAATGAAGATTTAGGTAAACCTATAGATATATGAGGATTTTGGATTGATTGTGATTTGGAAAACACCATCATTTGTTTCATAGATATCATGATGAGATTTTGTTAATTAGATTTGTATGCATGATATGAAATGAATCTTTAGTGCCCCACACTGATATGAGAAGAGAAAGAAAATAGGAGCGGTAAGTGTCAAGAACCAGTTGATCCCAATAACTCGAGTTGTTGGGAGAGGTTCCATAATGGATCTTATACCACACATTAACATGCCCCCTCAAACGAAGGTCACTCACAAGGGTTTGAAGTTTGCACAGGTCTGAATACAAGAATACCATATGCTTCACAAATGGGGGATCATTGGGATTCAAACACAAGACCTCTTGCTCACAGAAGGCTCTGATACCATGTCAAGAACCAGTTGATACCAATAACTCGAGTTGTTGGGAGAGGTTCAATCGTGGATCATATACCACAACACTAACACGCCCACTCAAACGAAAGCCACTCGCAAGGGCTTGAAGTTTGCACAGGTCTGAAGACAAGAATATCATGTGCTTAATAAATGGGGGTCACCAGGAATCGAACACAAGACCTCGGTCACAGAAGGCTCTGATACCATGTCAAAAACTAGTTGATCCCAATAACTCGAGTTGTTGGGAGAAGGTTATGCTGGATCTAATACAGGCCCATGTATGGTACTTAATCACTTCCTTACACGCCCACTCAAACAAAAGCCACTCACAAGGGCTTGAAGTTTGCACAGGTCTGAAGACAAGAATACTAGGTGCTTAACAAATGGGGATCACCGGGAATCGAACACAAGACCTCTCGGTCACAGAAGGCTCTGATAGTGATACTATGTCAAAATCCAGTTGATACCAATAACTCGAGTTGTTGTGAGAAGGTTATGCTGGATCTGATACAAACCCATGTATGGTACTTAATAACTTCCTTACACGCCCCCTCAAATGAAAGTCGACTCATTGGCTTGAAGTTTGCATAGGCCCGACATACCATGTGCTTGAAAGACAACAGTTAATATTGGTGGTCGTGAGGATTCGAACACGTGATCTCAAGGACAAATCAGCTCGGATACCATGTTAAGAATCAAATGGTCCCAATAACTCGAGTTGTTGGGAGAGGTTCTATAATGGATCTTATACCACACATTAACAGTAAGTTGATTACAAATGATCATGAGAACATCGTTGGATCGAGAATCAGTCGGGCTCGAATTGATTGGAGCGTTCACTAACAGCTTGCAAAAATTTATGTTGGTTGCCCTTTCTGATTAAATGTCTCAAGAAGCCATGAAACTGTTGCTATAAGCAAGAGCCCTTCTAGTTATGTAACTGCCTCTTAATCATCATCAGAATGTCTGAGACCTGCATAACACAGAAGAGAAACCAGAGAACAACCAACCTTCAGACAACAAGAATAAAATATGTAATAAATGACTTGAATCACAAGGAAAGACCATCAAATTCAGCCCCCAAGGAAAAGGAGCAGCTTTCTTTTACCTCAGAATTTTGTTGCAGGATAGGTGGATATTGGTGCAGAATGTGATATATCTTCTCAAGAAGTCCCAAGAGTGCATCCACCTGATCTCCCAGTAGATCAACCTATATCACAGTACCAAACACAAAGCTTTAATCTGGACTTCCAGAACTGAATCCGGATTTCCAACTTGGGAGTAAAATGTTTAAAAAAATTGTCCATAACCTCGATTTCAGCCCTTCTGAGATTCTCGCTTTGCCTGATGAATGCTTCTGCGTATCGACTTTCCTTACTCCTCATTGAGGCGACAACTTCCACCAGTGGACTTAAGCGCTGTGTTGCCTCTTGCAACCTGTCAAGGCATTAGAGGGAACCTGAAATACATGCCATCAAAACTGCAGCTCATAGCATCCTCTGTGCAGTAGGCTAAATCTAATGGGGCGGGGGGAAATGGACAGTGAAGAGATGTACCTCGATATGTTGAGTCCTAATCTTGCCTCGACTGCACAGTTGAAGGTAGTAAATACTTCTGAAACACTGATGAGTTGTTCAATTGCAGCAGCAGACAGTGTTAATTTCACCTCCTCACTTTTCTCTGGTTGCAGAAGTTCCACTGCTGCATGATCAACATATGTTACTATCATGTCTCCATCTCGGATTCCTAAACCACCTCTTAGTTCACTCAAGTGTCTCTTACTCACTGCTAAATGTTCTATGGCTCGCGTAACTGAACTACTCACTGAACTGCAATTGCTTTTCATCTCGGTGAGCAACTTTCCAGATATCACTTGTTTGTTTGCTTCTCCTTCTTGCAGGCCTCCAATGCACAGGTGGTCTTTCTGCAACTTCATCTTGGAATGGCCAACCGGTATTAGATCCAGTGAACTTGGTTTCTGAATCACATTGAATTCTGCACTTGCATTGAGTCCATCAGCAGAAACGCACCCTCCTTCTTTGCCAATTTCATAAGCTTCACTAATGACCTCTGTAACAAGCAATCGGAAGATCTCTTCCTTTAGGAAATCCTCATAACGATGAACATCTATCTCATCCTGCCAACTCTTGCAGGTTTCTCTCAGGAAAACCATACAAATGTCCTCCATCACTGCATTCTCTATACACTCAGATGAATATAAATATTCAGCCCATTTCAAGTTCCTTGCCATATGATTTCCGGTTTCAGTAATGTCTCTCAGACTCTCTCCAAATACAGTCAGAGAAACCTCTTGGCCAAGGCCTTCTTCAGCTTCGTGTCTTTCTACAACATCGTTCCAGTCTCTACAGGTTCCCCTGAAGAGGACTTCATTCATTTCTTCCCTCAGTTCACCTTCCAATTTGCATTCATAAACGACATCCTGAGATTCCATCAGTGTGAACTGAAGCCGAGACCCTATTTCCTTCATCACTTCACTAAGAACAATCTGGTACACTTCTTCCCTGATCTCACCTTCAATTCTATCATTTCCCAGTTTCTGGTTCCACTGATACACTGTTCTTTCAACAACATCTTTGACAATTTCTTCCTTAATTCTGCTCTCAATGTCACTATCATATAACCTGCTGCGGAAATCATACAACATTCCTTCAATTACAGCAAGATAAATCTTCTCCGTCATCGAACTCTGCAAACATGAGTCTTCCATCCCCATTTGCAGCATCTCAATCTCATTAACTAGTACTTCTCTTGATGCATCAGTATCATTAACTTCGTTAAATGCGCCATCCAAACAATCAACCATCGATGCTGGCTTCCTTTCCTGATCATACTCATCCAAACTTTTCACTAAAGAAGCCTCCTGGTTTCCATGGCCCCCATACCATTGAATTAGATTCTCAAGTTTCCCAAGCACTTCCCTCAACTTTCCTCTGGTACTAATAGATTCATCCTGCAAGCATCTCAACTCATTCATCACATCCATCAAACCCACATTCAACGCAATCGAACCCCGCTTTCCTCTCCTGTCGATTTCTGAAACAAACCTCTCTTCCAAATCCTCCATGAACCCTCTGATCAAGACAGCCGTCGTCCCTCGCTCAATCTCACATCCCCACCGCTGCTCCGCTTGCTTCTCCGATTCCGACAACGACATAACACTGTGCATCCTCCCAAACGCGAGATCATCGTCGATTTCAAGATGTCGATCTCGGATCCCATCTGATCGATCCTCAAGCAATCGACGCTCTTGTTCCTCCTCTTCTCCACCATCTTGTACTCAGGGCCGAGCTTCTGCTTGATGTTCATCACCTGCTGATCCACCGAATGCTGAAGCTCCGAGAACTCTTCCTCCGAATTCCCCTCACTACTACTCTTCAGCTTCTCCAGCCTGAAATCCACGCCCAGAGAATCGAGCCGCTTCAACTCTGGCGATTCGTCGCCGAACCTGCACCTGAACTCCCTGTCCTTCTCCGCTATCGCGAGCTCCGTCTCCCTCAGCCGGCCTCGCAGCCGGTCCCTGATCTCGGCTAGGTCTCCGACCACATCCTCGTCGCCGCTCTCCTCCGCGGCGGCGTTGTTGCTGCTGCTGCTGGCCACCGCTTCGTCCCCGACGAAGCGCAGGCAGCCGTCTAGCAGCATTACCGCCAGCTCGTAGAATTTGGATATCTCCGTCAGCCGGAGGATGACGCCTTGTTCGGACTTGACTCGCTCGTGAGACTTGTCCATGGCGGAATGGAGGATCTTCATCATTGTCGAATCCGTTAGCGAGATTCTGAACCTCCCTCCCACCTTCCCCACAATTCCATCCATGGCGGATCTTTCCTTCTCGTCCTCTTTATCGCGAGAAAGTGGCAGAGTGTGATGATGATTGATGGGAGGAAGCTAGGAGAAATGGCGTTTGGAATTCGATTGTTCCTCTGTTTGTTTGTTTATGAGCTGAAAATGTGGGTGATCCCATCCCATCTCAATCTGAACATGAAACCTGTTGACATTCTGAAGACCGTTACATTCGCCAGTGGATTGCTTTCAAAATGCACCATTTTGTGGATATACAATTTGATATTACAATTACCATTGCACCACACTAATTCAAGCTAACATAGACTAATGTAGCTAGCTAGTCTGCAAACCTACCGATCAACCCCTGAAGTTTTTTCAGCAATGACGGAAACAATGCTTTCATGCTCCAGATAAGGAAGAATGATAGCCGAAACAAAGCCTAACAAACGCAATACCATAGTTCATCTGTGCTGTCACAGCACTACTAGTTTTAGGATTCTGTCGATTGTCGTAGAACGAGGATTGCCGATGTGTTCAACAACATGCTGTCCTTCCAGCCACTGCCTATTCAATCCTTTGTGCAGCTTCAGGTCTACGTCTCAATCGACGCAAGCTGGAAAAATCAAATTGTGGGATTTAGCAGGCCAGAAGAGAAGAGGCAATTCCTCTCCAACTTTCAATTAAGACAAATCACATTCATATCTGGGACAGTAAACGTAAACAACAACAACAAACTGCATCAGGTAACACTAATCCTGCAAACTCAAGTTCTAAACTGATGATGGCAATAAAAAACATCTCTCCTGCACATGTTCATAAGATGAGGAATAAGAAGAAACTCCGGAATATTGCTTGCACTGCCAATGCCTATCCGAAAAGGGAACCTTGCACTTATTTGCAACTGGCTGCAGCATAACAAACTAAAACCAAGCTTTTGCCAGGATGAATAACTAGCTCTCTTTTGCCTTGACAGGAACAGTTCAGATGTCCCACAAGAAAACGGCTAATCCAAATCTCAATTGTCAGTCGAAATAGGTATCGTTTAAACTGACTAATGAAAACCTATCTTCTGGGGTGCGTCTTCAGATCGAAACTACAGAGAATCCACTCTTCTAAGCTCACAACTTATGATAGATGGTACCCTATGAATGTGGTTTGTTTTTTGTTGGTCCAACGACTAATTCAGATGTTTGGCTAGCTCTTGGGAGTTGTAGGACAGAATACCTCACATCATATTCCCATCAACAGACCATAACTGGTGGTTAACTTCTACGGGTTCATCCCTGCCTTTCATATCTTTACAATCATTCCAGATACAGACTTAGAATTTCTCAGAAAGTGCTGTAAAGGAAGGCTAAGAGCGGAAATCCATCTGCCCCCCTGTTCGTAGCTAATATCGCAATGACTTTCAGCTCTCGTAGAACTTCTCATAAACTACTTAGAATCTCTGAATAAGTTCGATCCTCAAGAAAAACAATGCCACGAATGGTCCTATCTCAAAGGACATTACTCGTCCACTTGCTGCCTCAAATTGATCGCCATATCACTGAGTAACTATTTTTATTGTTCTATGACTACAACATTTCTCACGAAATTCAATCCGACATATCATACCCAGCGAGCTCGAATGCGTAGCTTTTCATCAGCATTTAGAAGATTGCCCACAAAGGCAGCAACAGCAAAGTATATAAACACCAAACACTATACCAGAAAAAGGGTTCTATTGCCTGCGCAAAGATTTCAACTATACCACGCAGTAATCAGAAACCCACGAATTGAACAAATTCAAACTTGCCAGAAACCCAAAAGCCAAAACAGTATTGAAAACTAACCCCCACAGCAGAAACAGCAGTAGCAGCATGAGAGGACCAAGAGGATCTCTCTGCATACGAAAGCAGCTCTTTCGGTGAACCCGTTCTTTGAACTGGACCCTTCTTCTTCTTCTTCTTCTTCTACTCCTTCGTCTCCAGGAGCGCCGCTCTCCTGGTCACCGCCGTCGTCCAGGAGACGCTGCTTGCTTCTCTTGTCGATTTTCATCTGGTGGAGGTTCCAATCCAGCCGCCGGATGTAGTCGATGCTGAAGGAGTCTCTCAACTTGATTGTAGGCCATAGATGCATATCCGATTCCCAACAGAGTCTTCCCCAGGCTGGCTCAAACAAGTTGGGTGCAGTTTTCAATGGGCCAAAGAGCGAAGGTCACAACTCAGAAGCTTACATCACAGATCATCATACCAATGGCGGCTTTGCTGTACTTCAATCGGAAATGGAGTGGGTTTCGTCTGTTTTTTTTTTTTCTTTCTTTTGGGGCCTTCGATAATGGCATGGTGCTAAGAAAATGTAAGTTGTTGAACCAAATTAAATAGGCCACAATTTCAAACTTTTACACCTAACTTCAACTTGATTTAATGAAAAAAACTCTATTTTAAGAATCACATAGAGATGTTATAACCTGTAACGACTTTCAGTGTTTTTCAATGTCTAAAAAATCACAACCTATAGTTCGGTCGGATCAGACTCTAAATCGATAAGAATTTTACGAGTATAAAACAGTTGGATCACGATTAAATTATGATTTTACCACATAAATACCATCCTATTTTTCCAATAAAACTATGGTACGGTTTCGCACTCCTTAAATTTTTTTCGTTTAATTTAATAATAACGAGACTCACGGTGCATATATTCGGAATAATTCCAGTCTCACTGACGTCTTGCAAACAGGTGATTGGTATAGAGGCATTACAAATAGTGTGAATGACAACAAAGAAAGATATTTTTAGATTAAAAGCATATACGTACAGAAACCGAACAAAATCGAAAGTGAGCAAAACCTAATCCAATTGTAAATCAAGATCCATGTAATTTACAAAGTAATGAAACCCTAATAATAAGCTAGCATAAAAGATTCAAATTGGCAATGAAGCTCATCACGAGACTGACGATCAAGAGCATTCCCAGCTGGTGAAGATCTCTCAATAAGCGCCGGGAAAAATATGACCCATTCCGAGTGAGGAAAGGGCGAGCGGCGACGGTGAGACTTGCCGCCGGCCGTGAGAAGAAGAAGAAGAAGAGGAAGAGGACGAGAAAGAGGAGTAGTGATGGAGTTCCGGTAGCCAAGATGACGGGTCGAGAAGGTCTAGACATGAACACAGAAAAATGAAGAAGGTGGTGATGGGTGCCATTTTTTTGTTTCCTTTTGCTTCTTCAGTGGGAGTTTCGATATAAATATAGAAATGTGTATACTCTCTTTCTCTTTCTAGTGCGCTCAAAACCATATACGCACGCCATCGTCCTTGATTGCTTTTTGCTTCAGTGTGTCCGAAGCAACCCGCACTGAAGAAAAGATTGACAAAAAAATCATAAAAGGGAAGCAGCAAAATAATGGGAAAGAAAAAGAAAACGAATAGGCATTATATATTGTTAGTGATGGCAATGGGACGGGCGGGGCGGGGCAGGTACCTCAATTCCTATGCTCCGCCTCACGTTACTACGGGTCGGGGCGGGTAAAACCCGCGCGGGTACGGGGCGGGGCGGGTCGACTCACTCTTACATGTTGTTCAAAAAAAATACAAGTAAATTTTACTTTTTACAATAAAATGTAGGGAAAAACGCTTTAAGAATGAAAAATATTGATAATAGAATGGATAATTGAGTCTAACAAGTTGAAAGATCGACTCTAACTAGCTGAAGAAAAGTCAAAATAAGAGAAATATGTATAGATTTTGTAAGAAATTGAGATAAAATGAGCCTAGAACAGGGTGGGGCGGGGCAGGGCGGGTCGGAAGTAGATACCCATGCCCCGCCCCTACGCTACTGCAGGTCGGGTCATACCCGCCCATCGCGGGTCAGGTCGGGTAATACCCGTAGGACGGGTTGAAATTGTCATCACTAATTGTTGTGGGCAAGTTTATGATAAGAAGATATTAACAAAAAACACTTCTATTATACTATATAGCATTGTAAAATTTCTCATTAACAAAACCATTATTATTGTTCAGCGTCAGCGACATAGCAAGTTTGAGCACGAAGAAATGTCTAGTTGAGAAAAAGGTAATTTCCTCCACATTCGCTTATATGATGTGTCCCAATTTATTTCCCATATGGTGTTATGAAGAAAACTAGAACCCAAAATACAAAATCATATAAGCTGAGAATTTACGTGGTATTACCTATTTGAAGTGAACATGGCTAATTTACGGAGAGCTCAACGGAGCTAGCTCTCAGCTTGACGATTTTCTTTATGATTGTATTGAGTAGTGACTTACAGCAGCTAAGTTTATATACACGGCACAAGAGATTTAAGCGGTATTGTTTGGGCCGAATACCTTTTCCCTATAAATGATAGATCATGAATCATGATGAACTAGTTTCTTCTAGCCAATGTTTTTTTTCAAAATTCAAGTTGTAAACGAAGGTGACAAGAGAGTGGTAACGAATGGTGTGGGTAGTATGAATTTCTTTTTTGCTCGAAATATATTGAAAAATAAATATCACTTTGTAGATCACAACGAGCCCGTTCCATCGGTGTAAATCATACCACACTTAAAACTAAAGGCTACCTAACCAAGTAATTAGTGTTATGTGGATAAGCAAACCTAACCAACGGCTACCTCTTCTAAAATCTGATATTTTAGGTGGCGTGGCGTGGCGTTGGTTGAAACTATAACTAACTGCTAACGGAGAAAGCTGCACAAAAGACAAGAGTCAGTAAACTGGTAGAACGTGGAGATCAAACTGTGGAAAAAAAGGAACATTAATTCATATGTACGTAGGACATTTACTAATTCAAATATAACCAAATGTTATACACCAAATTTCTGCTCCACAATCTTATAACAACAAAATTTTCTATCATGAACTGTGATTCAACCATTTCATATAAATAAACCTGTTTTCCATTTGAAATCTGGTATTCAGTATTCATTATCGAACATACCAATTTGATAGAATTTCTAAAACATTGTCATGAACTCCATTGTTCACACTATAAAGTGCCAAGATATATATAGGACACGTAGGCAGCCAAGAGTCTTCAAAGGCCCCACTGTCCACGTCATTACAGAGAGTTTTGGCCGCGTATGCATTTACACCATTACGTGTAAGCCACAAATAACCAACGTGTCAACCCATCTTTCACCCTTCACAGTCCAAACTCTGACCCTCCACCGACACGTAGCAAATGGTTGAAATTTGAAAATATTAGATACCGGACTCCAAATCAATAAGCTTGTTATGAAACGGTTGAACCATCAGTTAAATTATATAGTGGGAAACTGAACAAATCTGAAAGTGTACAAAATCTAATCTTTTCTAAACCAAGATCTGGGTAATACAAAGTAACGAAACCCTAATTAAGCACAGTGATTGACTAACTACTGCCATGGAGTGGAGATGCATCATATATAGAGGTGGCAATTGGGTGGATTCGTGGATTGGATTAGTGAATCCATGGATCAAATGGATTGGATCCAATGGATTGGTGGATTGATTCATAAATCCAAATGACATCCCAGACTTGGACCAAAATGTAAATTTTGAAAATTTTAGGTACTAAAATGTCATAATGGAAAATCTTAGGTACCAAAATGTAATTTTCCAATGATTTTTTCGTATAAAATATAAATTTTAGGTACCAAAATGTAAAATATAAAAATATAGGTACCAAATCTTAATTTGCCATTGGATTTAAATGGATTGGATTAAGTGGATAATTTGGTGGATGGATTGGATTCATGGATTTGGATCATAATTGCCACCTCTAATCATATATATATATATATACACCATATATATATATATATATATATATACATATATGGTGCCTTCTACGGTACCCCGAGTGAAATCCAGGGTACCGCATACCTTAAGTATGAAAACACTATCAAGGCCTCGAATCAGCAGGATTTTTGGGCATGATAATATACCCTAATCCTTAATGAGTGAACCCTAGGTCCTAATTCTCTAAATTATAAACTATAAACCCTAAGATTGTGCATTGATTTTTTGCCTATATTGTGACGAATCATAACCGTCGATTATTGTTTCTAATTAAATTGATCTTGGGGTATAAGAGAATTGAGACCTAGATGTTGATCTTTAAGGGTTAGAGTATAGTATCATGTCCGAAAGATTAGTCAATTCAAGTTCTAGATAGCGTTTTCTTACTCAAGGTATGCGGTACCCCGGATTTCACCCTGGATACCGTAGAACTCCCTATATATATATAAGCTACCACAAATCATCATGATGGCTGATGATTAGAGGTGGCAATTCTCAATGCAATCCACCAACCCATTAAAAATATCCACCTAATCCATTTAAATCCAATTCATTTGATCCAAATACAATTGGATTGGTGGATTCATCCATGGATCCAAATGGCAAATTACAGTTTGGTACCTATACTTTTTATATTTTACATTTTGGTACCCAAATTTTAATTATTTATACAAAAAATATCATTGAAAATTACGTTTTGGTACCTAAAAATTTTCATTATGACATTTTAGTACCTAAAATTTTTATATTTTACATATTGGTCCTTGGTTGAGGATGTCATTTGGATTCATGGATATATAAGCTACCACAAATCATCATGATGGCTGATGATTAGAGGTGGCAATTCTCAATGCAATCCACCAACCCATTAAAAATATCCACCTAATCCATTTAAATCCAATTCATTTGATCCAAATACAATTGGATTGGTGGATTCATCCATGGATCCAAATGGCAAATTACAGTTTGGTACCTATACTATTTATATTTTACATTTTGGTACCCAAATTATAATTATTTATACAAAAAATATCATTGGAAATTACGTTTTGGTACCTGAAAATTTTCATTATGACATTTTAGTACCTAAACTTTTCACATTTTACATATTGGTCCTTGGTTGAGGATGTCATTTGGATTCATGGATATATAAGCTACCACAAATCATCATGATGGCTGATGATTAGAGGTGGCAATTCTCAATCCAATCCACCAACCCATTAAAAATATCCACCTAATCCATTTAAATCCAATTCATTTGATCCAAATCCAATTGGATTGGTGGATTCATCCATGGATCCAAATGGCAAATTACAGTTTGGTACCTATACTATTTATATTTTACATTTTGGTACCCAAATTTTAATTATTTATACAAAAAATATCATTGGAAATTACGTTTTGGTACCTGAAAATTTTCATTATGACATTTTAGTACCTAAACTTTTCACATTTTACATATTGGTCCTTGGTTGAGGATGTCATTTGGATTCATGGATAATCTACCAATTCATTTGATCCATAGATCCACCAATCCAATCCAACAATCCATGTATCAATCCATTTGCCACCTCTAGATGATATCAAGAGCTTTCCCAGCTGACACTTGCCTTGAAGGAAGATCTCTCAGTAAGCACCGGGAAAGGAAAGGGCGAGCGGCGACGGCGAGACTTGCCGCCGGCGAGAAGAAGACGACGACGAGAAAGAGGAGTAGTGATGGAGGTCCAGTAGCCAAGATGATGGGTTGATGAGGTCTAGACATGAACACACAAAGAGGAAGAAGGTGGTGATGGGTGCCATTTTACTTTTTCGCCCCTTAATTTGCTTCTTCCGTCGTAGTTTCGATATAAATACGAATTAATATGCATTCACTCAAACACCATAGACGCACTGCATCCATGATTGCTCTGCTTCCGTGTGTCCGAAGCAACCCAACACACAAAAGATTGACAAATTTGGGAAAGGAAAGCATCATATACAATGTGGAAAGAAATGTAGATTCATAATACTTTTCTCCTTTTGCACCTTCCGCAAATTTAATGTCAATTCATATTTTAGGTGGCGTTGGTTGAAACCTTTGATACGTTTAAAAAGTCAGGAAAACTAATTGTATGCTAAAGGAGAAAGCTACGACTCACACAACAGTCAGCAGAAATGGTAGAACAAGAACATGTACGTACATCATAATGTGCAAAGAAAGGAAACAAAGCAAAAGCTGATTCCCGTAGTAGCGGCAAGCGGAATAGGAGCAACAGCCTAATCCGTGAAAAACGGGATTGTGGGAGAGCAATATAAGCGTCGTGTTGCTATGCAAAGCGCGGTAAAGTACCGCACTCTCTATATGGCGAAAGTCCAGTAGCTCCAAAGTATCACTAGCTTACGTTCTGACTCGAGTAGCATCAGCTACGTGGAATTCCATGTGAATATATAAGACATTTACTCTGTAAATAGAATCATGATGATCGAAACATTACATACCAAATTACTAATAAATCCGCCTGCCATATGAAATCTCGTATCCAATATTTCCTATCGATATATAATATACCAAGTGCCAAGATAGATAGGACTCCTAGGCAGCCAAGAGTACTCTACTCGTACTCTTCAGAAAAAGATGGGGGAAAATGGCCCTACTGTCCATGTCATCACAGAGACTTTTGACCGCGTATGCATGTACACCAATACGTGTCAGCCCACAAAAACCAACGTGTAACCCATTTTCAACTCATCACGGCATTTTTTTTATAAAAGATAATCTTATATTAATTCCAAAAAGGAGATAGTTACATTATGGATATCAACCAGACCTAAAAAATTAAAGAAACGACTCATAGTCGGATACAAGGAGAGGGCTTTCCTAGCCACCAAATGGGTTACCCTATTGATACTCCGACCTACGAACCGAACACCAAACCCCGGATGATTGTCAAAATACTGCATTACTTCCTCCAGAACAGCACCCATCCTGTTGTCCCGCGTCTCAGCGTGCCTGATTTTGTCAATGACCACCTTGGTATCTCCCTCAAACCTAACACAGGTTAACCCCTGACCCAAACACCAAAGAATAGCCTCACGTAAGACAAACAATTCCACCACCAAAGGATCATCACGGACCGGAAAATGTACCCCTGTGGCCGTCAGGATGGCTCGATCCGGGGTCATAAGCACCAGCCCTCCGGCTGAATGTGATCCCTTTCTAGTAGCACAATCTCACCCACAAACGAGCCCTGACGGATCCACCGATCCCGATGCCTGACCCTTCGGAACCGGGGCCTGCAATTGCAAAGGCTTATCCATCGGGAGCCTTACCCACTCTTCATATTGCTGCGTGAACTGCCCGCATTAACGCAGGAAGCCCATACTATTTGCCCTCAAATACCACCCAATTGCGAGATCTCCAGATCCGGCCAGAGAATGGCAACAACGACCATAACAGTGTCGGCTGCTACAAGAACCAGCAGTTCACAACAGTAATGTACGGGACTCTCTTTTTAATTGATTGATGGATTGAAATTACGATTTTTTTTTAAAAGTTGGTATGAACAGAAATGGGACGAGTGTAATAATAAAGAATACACAGTACACGCCTACACGGTACAAATTGTGAATACCAATTTCAATCACAAGCCAAAACCTTCAATCGTGATACAAGGGAAACACAGATGAAGACAAATTGTGAATTACACCGTCTGATGGCCACAGCCTGCCCCTCGTTCTTGTTTAGCCTTGGCCTCCATTCATTTCTAAACTTCCACATCCGCCCTGTAAAATAACAACATAATAGACGGCTTCGGCTTCGACAACATCCAAAAAAAATCGACACAAAATTTCACTGGTTTGATTGAGGAGCAGGTGCACTTGATGAGGACTCTGGAGCTGCAGCAGGCCTTGGAGGTGGTGGAGCCGCAAACTGTTGGTATTGCTGCTGGCTTGCCTGCTGCGGTGGCGGCATCCCTGACGGATATGCTGCTGCTGGAGGATACTGCTGATACTGCTGCGGCGGCGGAGGCTGCATATACCCATACGGAGGAGGTGGATAATGGTGTTGCTGCTGAAACTGACCATGCGGAGGGGGAGGACGAGCCATTCCTTGATAAGGGTAGTGATGATTCTGCTGCTGCTGTGTATCCCCACCAGGATTCTTCTCGCCAGCTGAACTACTTGAAGCCCCTCCATCCTGTGAAGGAATTACAGCACCCATTCTCTGGGGATCCATGGACGGGTAGAAAGCTCTTTCTTGCTGCTGTTGAGGAAGTGGGATGTTGAAGTACTGCATCGGTTGTTGAGGCTGATCGGGAGCTGTACCGGGAGGGAGGTTCTGTTGTTGTTGGGATACCAAAGCACGAGGAAGCATCCCGCCGTGAGCCATGAGCGCCTGCTGCCTGGCTTCCTCGGAGAGGTCAAGATCCGGTTTTGGTGCTTGAGGTCTCCCCCACATGAGCTTCAGCCTCAGACCCTTGATTACTAGTTTGTTCGACAGTTCCTCGGCAGCTTTCTCTGCTCCTTCTCTTGTTGTATACGTCACAAAGGCAATAGCTCGTTGAGTCACCATTTTGACGGATTCAATCTCACCATGTGCATAGAAATTGTCCCTTAGATCCTGCTCACTTACTCTAGCATCAAGCCCACCAACGTACAGGGTTCTTATGCTTTCGTCCTCAGGGGGTTCCAATGACGGCATTTCACCAGCCTTGTTGAGAAGTTTCAATGCCACTGGATCATTAACTCTGAAACCAGGGGGGGGGAAAGGAATATAATTCTTGTTATGAACACATTAGAGATAATTCTGTTAGGAAGAACAAGGTAGAGATCAGATGCCTCAACTAATAAAAGACAAGTACAGCAATATATACTAAGGCAGTAAAGAGACACAATAACTGCACCCAGGTATCAATTTACATTAAAACACAGACCCAACCAGCAAGAAACTGCACTTACCCATAGTAACGATCTTTTATATTTTGCTGCGACAACTCCCCAGTTACAGGCATTTCGTGCCGGTAAGGACATTCAGCACCACGTGTGCACTCACCCCTGATGAAGAAACTGCAAACATGTGCTCGGTTCCTTTTGTAGTACGGTGAAGTTCTTTGAAGCTTCATGATTGTGTCATTTGGCCTAACCTTTCCATAAGAAGATTCATAATCGATCCCAGCTCTGGCCTGCAAGAATTTATAAAACCACAAGTTAGTATGAAGCCTCGGAGCACATTTCAGCTATATACTTATTATTGTGCTAATGACATCAAATGAAAAATATAGATCACACCAAGACAAAACAAAAGCCTTGTATTTCATAAATGAATACAACATTAGCCCAATTAAAATTCAGAAAGGCACATTTTATCTTAAAAAAACAGAAGAGACTAGTACGACTGCAGATTATCTGATTATGATGCAATACTGCAAACAGACTCAGGTTCAAACATCTTAGGTTAATTAGTTTCAGAAGGGCATACAAGAATAAGAGAATCAAACTTCAACATGCACATCAAATGGACCCCCAAAAAGACAAAGTGAAAAGTGCAAGTACAAATTAGATGATGGTTCAACCCATGTAAGGTTAATTAGTTTTGAACAATAAAACTTACCTTGCGATCGTGCTCTTCAGCAAAATACTCCCTGTTTACATCACTCTTTGGAATAGCATCATTTGCATTGATGCTGAGGGCAGTATCCCGAACCTGGACAGGCAAGCCATACTCCAGATCCAGAAGGCAGACTTGACAAACATTTTTTAGCTTACAGCATGTCTGGCAAATCTCAGTTTTCTTATATCTTGCATCACGGCCAGGCCTCCACCTAAAAACTGTGAATGGACGAGTACATATCTTGCACTCTTTATCAAATTGAGCTTTTGTCTGCACATCAGCAACCAACCATAGACAAGGGTTTAGATAAATTGGTTTTACAGCATAACAATAAAATACCAGAGACTACTTTAATGTTGAAGCGAAGAAGCATCATACCATCCGGACATATGGATTGTCACCAAGACAGGACTCGCAGATAATAGGGAAGTCTGAACGTTCCCAACCATCAGCTTCAACATCTCGCAGTAATCTGTGTGCCATTTTCTGACTTAACTCTACATAAGAGAGAAGATGCCCATCAGAGAAGTGTTCAAAGTGTTGCAACGATTACAAATAAAATATATCCAATAGTTTCAATCAACACATATCTACAGAAAGAAGACTTCATGGTTATATAGAGCATATGGTATCTCTTTGAACTGAAAAGGAAAAAAAAAAATGTCTTTCCGTTCTATCAATTTCCTTCCTACGTCCATTTACAACAATTCACCCATATTCTAGGTTAACGCAATTACACTACCATCCTTAACAATATAAAGAAAAGACAACCAAGGATAACAGAATCACCAACGCCTCCTCATTTACACAATCTACAACATAAAAGCTAGTGGAGTTTATGCTGCCATTTTTCCTTCCGTCGGTCTTTTCAAGACTTATATGCCAAGTTGCAGGCACTCAAGCTTTTTTAACGAAGTGAATTTTCAAAGATGTAATTTACAAGACAAAGTTCAACATAGAATAGACAAAGGAGAACTCGTATGAAGTATTGAAGTTTATGGCTCAATGATGGATTTAACCACAGCACTGTCATCATATTACAAACATGAACATTGTCTGCAATTCAGTTCAGATGAATCCAACTCCGGACATATATGGGTGTCCAGCAGAGAGCTTAATGAACATCTCTCACAGCAAGGAATATCCAATTGGCTATCCGAAATTCTAATCCTCCATCCCGTCCATTGCACCCCAGCAAAGTTAGGTTATCGACTTTCATATTCGATTCAAAGAAGCAGCAAAATAAGCCAAACCATGTTCATATTCATCGGGAAGAGCATAACATTACACCTCACGTATCGCCAATATTCATATTTACGCATTCAAGTACCCATGGGCAAAAGAAAAAGAAACGAGAGGAGAGAAGCATGTCAACCCTAAAAGTAGACGAATCTGATAAAATCAATTACCTCAACTCCTTAGGGCAATCGATCAACCAGTGCGCTCGCCTCCTGATTAACAGATTCGACGATCAAATCCCGACCGCGCGTGGGTGGCTCGAACCAGGGGTTTGGGTTTAACGACGGGGAAGCACTGAGGGGTTATCGGCGACTTGGGTGTGGGAGATAGAGAGAGAGAAATGGCAGGGTTCTTGTATCGAGTCGAGACTCGAGATGGAGGCGGTGAACGGACAGGAAAAGCGACGGAGGTAGCGCTGGGCTGTCCGTTTGGTAACTGATCGTTAGTGGGCTTTATAAAGGGGCAAACGTAAGTCGGTGTGGGCTTTGTAAGAAGAGCCCAAAAGAGCTGCAACTGGATGATTGGTAGGATAAAAATTAAAAATGTATTACCTTAATTTTAAGTGGTTAGATTGGTTCATATGCATTGTAATGGTTGTAATCTACACAATGATATACTTCTTTTATATGTTTCGGAAAAAAAATTTCATACTATCCTCAATCAATATTTCGTCATGATTTTGACTCGAATTTTTTTTTTTTGGTAAATGGATGCAACGCATCTCATCTTTCATTCCCAACGAAACGTGGCACAGAAATGCCTTGACAGTCATTAAGAGTAAATTACACAGGGCAGGATCTGAAACCTCAATCCTATGGAATCCAAAAGATAGCGAATGGCCCCTATTAGCTAGGGCGTCAGCACACTGGTTTCCCTCATGATAAACATGGGAAACAGACACTTCCCAATCCCGGGCAAGCAAATCCTGGAAACGGTCGATCAGAGCAACATGATGATGGTCAGGTCTATCCCTGCTCCGTAGGAGCTAGACCGCACACCTGGAATCGAGCTCCACCCGGACTCGACGATGACCCATATCCCAGGCCAACTGAAGACCTTCCACAGCGCCTCTCAATTCTGCTCGGGTAACAGAACAAATACCCAAGTTTATAGCGAAAGCTGCAGAACAGCTTCCTGTATGATCTCTAATCAGGCCACCAGCTGCAGCGTGACCTGACTCCTGAAGGACGGAGCCGTCTGAATTGAGAGTAACCCACTCTGGAGGTGGCGGCTTCCATGAGATCTCCACCTCCGTTCTAGCAGGCAGATTAGGCGAATGAACAAGCCTATCTTTGTCCATGGCAGTCCGCACGACATTAATCCATGTCTGGACGCGCTGTAAGAACGCTTCAATTGTAACGACTTTGTTCTGAAACACCCTGTCGTTCCTGGTCCTCCACAGGGACCAGCAAATGATGCCAAAATCTAGGCCTGTGTGCTCTAGTTACGAAGAATCCACTCCTGTGTATTACTGTCAAAAAAGTTCTGATGATCAGAAAGGTGAGGGAGTTGCAGCCAAGTTAACCTGGAAAAGGGGTAGCCCCGCAACACATGCAGGACTGTTTCCTGCTGAGTCTGGCAAATGGAACAATGGGGAGCTTCCGTCAAATGCCTTCGGTGCCGCTCCTGGTTCGTCAAAAATCTCTGTCGTATTGCTAGCCACATGAAATGGTTGACCTTAGCGGGACCCTGCCAACGCCAAATAGACCGCCTGTCGATGTCAGCATCTGTGTCCACTTCACCAAATAATTGTACAAAATTTATCAACAAAACTTTGTCGATTATCTCTATGTTTCGGGACGTTTTTTTTTACCTACAATCATGTATATCATCATTTCTACATTATGATATATTCATACCATAGTACATTTTCAATTTTTCATATGACAATGGTATAACTTTTTTTTACTACCATACTCTACCACAATAGTATACGATGGTAAAAAAAGTTTCGATTAAGGTTTTATTATGCTCTGAATATATCAAAGTTAATTATGTTATCTCATATGGGGTTGTTTGGAGAACAAGATTTGGATCGTGGATTTATTGAATCCATAGATTTAGAAAAATGTTATGTTTTTTTGCTACTTTTTGTATCGTGGATTGTAAACTCAGAGATTTTAAATCTATAAAATCTAGAAATATCAAATCTCTCATAATTAGAGAGATTCTACATCTTGATTTTGGTGATTTTCTCCCTCCTATTATATCTCTTGTTTTTTTTCATTTATCCCACGAAATACCCTTACCAATAAATTCTCAAATTTTCAAGGCAGTCTAATTATTTTGGTTAAGGATAAACATGTTATGTGATAAAAAAAAATAGAATTTCTTTTTTCATTGAATGTTAACAATCATAGTTACCAAACAATGAACATTTTTAAATCTTTTTTCAACAATTCTGAGAGTTAAAATCTTTAGATTGTCTAGAATCTAGAAATTTAGACTCCAAGTCTTCAAACAAGCCCTATGGGCTATACGATAATCCAGTTATTCTTTAAAAATAAATTTAAATTTGATATTAAGAAAATAAGATGACCCAAATTTTAGCGTCTCAGTTGAAACTGAAGCAGTCACGCTGCAGAAGAAAGGGAATTGGTACCCACTTGTGGCCGGAGGAGCATGCTTTGTTCACTATATTGATAGGAAGAGCAGATAACAAGGCACAGAAGAAATCCAGAAATGGAAGAAGATCGAAGAAGAAGAAGAAATAATTAAGATCGAATACAAGCAAGAGAGCTACCGCCCACAGAATTCTACAGCAAATAATTAGAAGATCCACTGCAACCAACAAGAATAACGTAACAGAGCCCTCGACCAACTTTGACCTACTAACTCCTTTCTCCGTCAACCATCCTTTCAACTCTTTAAGCACACAAGCAAAATGGCACTCTACACAGCACTGGCGCTGCTCCTGAACGACCCAAGAGCCTTGACAGCCCCGGCTCTCAAGATGAACTGGTGAAAGAAGGCCGCCAGCGCAGCTCCGATGAAGGGTCCAACCCAGAAGATCCACTGCAATCGAAAATTGTACAGCACAATTTAGGACAACAACAATTACATGTTACTGTGTCAGTAGAGAATTCATGGTTGTGTGTACACTTACATGGTCATCCCAGGGCTTCTCTTGGTTGAAGATGACAGCAGCTCCGAAGCTCCTCGCCGGGTTGATTCCGGTGCCGGTGATCGGAATTGTAGCCAAATGAACCATGAAGACAGCAAATCCAATGGGAAGTGGTGCCAATACCTACCAAATTTTGGCCAAAAAAAACCCCGCCATCATTAATTAAACAGCATATCAAACAAATCAGCCCAGAAATACATTGCCTCCAACTACCAAACAAAAAAGTTCACATTAAGAAAGATGAACGAGAAACAAAAGTAGGCACCAACTTTCTTCAATGCAAGATCGATGGACTTCAATGCCAGAAAATATAGACCCACAAAAAAAAAAGAAGCAGGACACTTACAGGGATATGGGAGTCGCGAGCGTTCCTCTTGGGGTCGGTGGCGGAGAAGACGGTGTAAACCAGCACGAAAGTTCCGATGATCTCCGCGCCCAATCCGGTGCCGGTGCTGTAGCCATCGTTAAGAGAATTTGCCCCGCCGCCGTACCTTGTGTAGTAAGACTTCTGAAACGCCTTCACCAACCCAACACCACAAATTGCCCCCAAGCATTGAGCCACCATGTACATCACCGCCCTTATCAACGACACCTTCCTCGCCAGAAACAGCCCGAATGTCACCGCCGGGTTAATGTGGCCACCTGCCGGGGAAAAAAAATTGAATTCAGGTTCTTTCCCTCAATTTTCATCAAAGTTCCCAACTTTAGATAAGACCCAGCAGAATTGGATCGATTCTGCTAACAGGGGAAGTAAGCTCCAGTTGGGTTCTTTTCAGAAACTCCAGTTTCCCCCAAATTGGGGGGAAAAACAGAGTCCTCATTTCGTTAATGATAAAGTAATAATGCCGCCGTTTTTTCATCAAAGTTTCCAACTATAGATCAGACCCAGCAGAATTAGATCGATTTTGATAACAGGGGAAGCAAGCTCCATTTTGGGTTCTTCCGCAACTGCAGTTTCCCAAAATTGGGGGCGGAAAACAGAGTATTCCGTTCGTCTATGAGAAATCAATAATGCCGCCATTTCAAGAGCAACAATTAACGAATTCGAAACTGAAAATGGAGGGAAAGGGGAAGGGGAAGGGGAGACTTTAATTACCGGAGATGCCGGCGGTGCAGTAGACGAGGACGAAGATCATGCCGCCGAAGGCCCAGGCGATGCCGAGGATGCCGACGCCGGCGCAGGGGTCGCCCTTGTTGTGGAGAGGGTCGGACTGGGACTTGTAGCCGATGACGGTGAGGACGGTGATGTAGAGGAAGAGGAGGGTGGCGATGAACTCGGCGATCAAGGCTCTGTAGAAGGACCACTGGCCCAGCTCCGCCGCGTCTATCAGCGGGGCCGGCGGTGGGTCGTGGTAGTCCTTCGCCGTGAAGGAACCTCCTTCTCCGACTACTTCTTTCGTCATCTTGCTGATGGTATTGTTTTGGGCTGGGGAGTTGAAATTGGAGAGGTGGCCGACGATTATGGTTAGAGAGAGAGAGAGAGAGAGTGAGGTTGGCAGTCGAGAGATGGGAGTGAAGAAACAGAGGATATGGTTTTGGGGTATATATGGAGTGGACACGAGCGGGATTCTGCCGTGCACAATCAACCGGTTATTGCCGGTTTCCTCCGTTATTTTGTTATCTTTGTTTTTCTCATTATTCCAGTAATTGTTTCTCCAAATATATTTAAGTAAACTACATAACTATACTATGTACAAAAACTTAGGTTCAATTGCTTTTTTGTATGTCCTACTTTGCAAGTGAATTGCTCTAATGAGTATTAACGTATAATTAATCAGGTTTTGCTCTATAAATATTGTCATGGGATGATGAACCTCTAGTCCCATCTCATTATTATATGCCGAGATTAATTTCATGCTAATTAATGGCGCTTTTTTCCCTCTAACGTCTCATTCTATTATTTTTTTTAGTGATTGTTTTGGTGGATTAATTACGTAAGAGTTTTTTTCCTTGTTACCGTTTGGAAGTAGGTTGTCTTGCACCGGCCCGGCGGCATTATTATCACGGTGGAATTCAAACCGAACCAAGCCCACTACCACCGTCCACCCACCGACTCCCCCCACTCATTCTTGTCCAATCTTAAGCCTCGTTCGCTTTATGGAATTAATTATGGATTTGATACTTAAAAACCAAGCATCATGGACTTTGTACACAATCCGTCGTTTATTTGATGGATTTAGAAGGAATGAATCCGTGGGGCCATAGACTTTAAGGGTCCAAATCCGTGGACCCCATGGACTTGAGAATTTCACACCAAGAGGTGAGATTTGTGTTGAAGTACAAAGTCCATGATGACTTTTTACAATTTTAACCCTACTTATTTCACTAATCACCTATTAATCCTCTTTCATTTACCAATTACACATTTCATTCACTAATTACCAACTTGAAGTGCATAATAATTTTGCATTCAATATTTTATTATTATTCATTGCACGCAAGCACTACATGATTAATCCCAAAGTATACTTTGCAAAATTGAGGAATTGTCTAATTGTGTGTATAATATGAAGTTGTTATTGATTAATGATGTTCATTTATTCCGATTGTGGTAGTGAAATGAAGCTCTGTTGGATGAAAATTGTTTTATAACAAAAATTATAATGTAAATATAAATAATACTCAATAAGGGAACTAAGGTAAATTCCTAATACAACCACAAATATAATAATGTCAAATCCATCATGAAATCCAACAAGCAAACGATGGTTTGTACCAAAAACCAAATGGGGCAATTTCATCATATATTCATGGTTTTGTAAAACCCAGGTTTTAACCAAAACTTTCATTTTTCAAATCCATGAAAGAAAAAAAAAAGGCTCTCAGCTATCACTTTTTAATGAAAACTTGGCTCAATGTAAAAATTGTATATGCACCGGCGGATCCAGGATAGGGTAGAGCACTAGGTCAAATTTGTAAAGAAGTGGAGAGTACTGGGCCGTAAACCATCGAACATTGAAACGAATACCAAAAATAAAAAATCTGCAAGTGTTATACTAGCTCTGCATCAGGGGAGGGTTGGATCGTGGCCCGGGGGCGCCCCCCCTCCCTAGATTCGCCCCTGTGTATATGGGACTGATATTTGTGCTAATAGAGACCGCTCACCACTCGATGATCATCAGCAAATATAAAAAAAATGATGAATTTATGTTGTTGATGCTGAGGTTGTAACCGACGTCGACTTCCTCAATCTTGGGGCCCGAAGCGATTTGAAGTGCCCCTTTATAATAACCTTCTTTCGTGACGTTGCCTTCGATCGCTTCCTGCAAAAAAGAGCCCGTCGGCCGATCTCAGCGGGGGCATCCTTCGATGCTCAAGTTAGTCCCTAGTGTGAGGGATTGAGTAGTTTACAAGGTGTTTGCAGGAGGTGAGCTCGGGGGGTGAGAGTCACTGATTGCAGTGGGCGCTCTTAGGGTACTTCCCCCGGTCTCTTGCCTTACCTTTCACTGGAGAGAATGAGCTAGTTATATAGTAACTACCAGTGGGACAACGGGAGGACAGGTGTCGGCGCCGTAGATGAAGGAAAGACACGTCACAAGACATTTGTCGTCTAGGCCCATCTGCGTCCGCCACGTGGTTGTACACATGTCAACCCTGATTCTCCCTAAGGGGAACACTCTTGTCACATGCAAACTAATTGAGTAGAGGGCATGACACATGTGCAGGCAGAAGTACATGCAATGGATCCAGGTGGGGAGAATAAATGCGGATCCAGGTATTAGGAACAGGGGGCGACAGCGGGCTCGGGCGCCGGGAGGAGGGCGAAACCCAAGAGACTTGGTCCGAGAGCGATAGTCGCCCGAGGGACGGGAACCAGCCGAGAGGAGAAGACCCGGCACCGGAACAATAGTGAGTCCGGGCGCCAGGAGACGGCCGGAGCCCGGAAGCAGTAAAGGGCCCGGGCGCCGAGCAGCGGACGAGAGACGAAGGCCCGGCGCCGGGAGGCGGGGCAATAGCCAGCCTGGGCACAAGGGTCCGGGAGCGATAACGGGCCTAGGAACATGGATCCGAATGAGAAGTGAAGGACCTTCGCCGGGAATTGGGGCAATAGTGGCCCCAGGTGCCAGGAAGAGGGCGGAGCCCGAGAGCAGGGGTCTGGGAATGATAATGGGCCCGGGCGACAGGAACCGGACGAGAGGAGAAGGCCCGCCGCCGAGAGTTGGGGCAATAGTGGACCCGGGTGCCGGGGGGAGGGCGCAGCCCGGGAGCCGGGGGCCGGGAACGATAAAGGGCCCGAGCGCTGGGAACCGGACGAGAGGCGAAGGCCTGCTGCCGGGAGCCGGGGCAATAGTGGGCCCGGATGCTGGGGTCCGGGAATGATAACCGGTCCGAGCGCTGGGAACCGGACTAGAGGTGAAGGCCCGCCGCTGGTAGCCGGGGCAATGGTGGACTCAGGTGTCGGGAGGAGGGCGGAGCCCGGGAGGAGGTGTCCGGGAACGGTAACGGACCCGGGCGTCGGGAACCGAACGAGAGGCGAAAGGCCCGCCTTCGTGAGCCGGGGCAATGGTGGGCTCGGGAGGAGGACGGAGCCCGGGAGCCGGGGTCCGGAAACGATAACGGGCTCGGGCGCCAGGAACCGAATGAGAGGTGAAGGCCCGCCGTCGGGAGCCGGGGCAACCGGTGGACCCGGGTGACGGGAACCGGACGAGAGGCGAAGGCCCGTCGCCGGAAGCTGGGGCAATAATGGGCCCGGATGTCCGGGAGCCGGGCTCCAAGGGAGGAACCCTCAACTTGGGGAAATCGTGAGGCACTGTATGATTTAGTGTGGGCGGGCCATGGCATAATTGTGTACTGATTGGAGCTGGACGGGCCTGACCCAATACTTCAGCGGAGAGAGTCGTGGGCTGAGCACGATTGTCGGCCCATGTGCAATAATGAACTATTTGAGCATATGGTAAGCTGGTGCTGTAAAGATATTTTTACATTGGGTATATTATATGTCCTGAACTAACTTATATCCATGATTTGAGTTGTCGAAAGATGCTCGTTGATGAGTTCTAATAAGTTTCTTTTACTTGTTCTTCAAACAAAACCCAACTCATGAGTTTGAAATCCGCACAGATCCTACATACTAGGGGTGGTTATACGGTCCGGTTAAATTGGACCAAATTGATCCGGCCCCAGTCCGGCCTTTTCGGGGAAATAAGGACCAAAGATTGGATTGGATACACTCTGGTCTTGATCAGGTCCGGTCTTGACCGAGTCCGGTCTCAATTTGATTTTGCTTTTAGATTGAGCTTGTGGGTATTTGAGTATCGGTGTCTCTTATCCGGTCTTTATCCGGGGTTTTTTACCTCAAATCTAAGCCCGAATATGAGATTGGATTGTTTGCTATCCGATCCCAGTCCGTGTTATACGGTCCGGTTTCGGGTAAAACCAAACAGTTCTGGACCAAATTACCAGCCCTACTACATACCCTGTACTTTAAAAATAACTATAATATTGTTGTGAGAACTTAAACACACATCACTAAAAAAACCTTTATACTACAACAACAACAACAGTTTAGTACCCAGTACTGGTGCTAATGGCGATCTCATGCTAGAAGCAGCTGCTGCATGCGTCACGCACGCACTAACCCAATGAAGGAATTACCATGTTTCCTCAATCTGTGTTCTCCCATGAAACAACTTCGATCACTGTAATAAGCATAGATACTAAACCAGAAACCTTAGGAGACAAAACCAACGAGAAAAATACAAATTACGATTCAACTTTAAATCAGCTGCTGCTCCAGATTCCGAAAGTGGGCATCGGTCGGCGCCCACGAGACCCACGAGCTCATTCATTCATATAGACGTGCTACGTAATACGTATGCACCCAAACAACAACAGTAGAGCCCATGACTCTGCAGTCTGCACTCTGCACTGCCTGCTCACTTTTTCTAGACTCTTCCGACGGAACTGTAAAAGAAGAAGGAAAAAACGAGGGGAATTCGGCGCCCAAAAGGGGAAGGAACAAAGTCAAGAATAGGGAGCGAGAAATAAATAGAGAGACAGGTGGAACAGTCCAAACCACTCGATGGAGGAGAGTGTAATAATTTTTTCTTCCCCTTCTAAAAGTTGTGGCCACATACGGCTTGGCGGTGGTGGCATGGTTTTGGATGAAGAAATGAACGTTGGGAGTATGGTCTATGAAATCGTATTGTATTGACGGTTTAACTATTATGATATCAATAGTGAAGGTTAAATTGGTAAGCAGTATATAACATTATTAACGAGAACTGGTAATACAATAATACAATTTCACAAACACTACACGGACCTCTGTTAATTATGGGTATCATGTTGTAAATAGCCATTCGGATTAGGGTTGTAATTACAACCTATTTATATCGTTGTAATCTGTACTCTCAAGTTAACGAAATAAAAAATTCTCGTGTTCTTTCGATTCTGCTTGATTATTTGACAACCTCTTTACTTGAGGTGATACGGTACCTTTTGAATCTATCCAAAAATTACACCATCATAAACGTAACGACTCCACGAATCTTCAAGAGCTAACAACCAGCTCTCTCTCTCTTACTTTATTTCAAATTTGTGCTCTGCCTTCTCTCTTCTCCAGCGCCTCTTGTAGGGTTTTTCAGGGGTTGCCGCCGGCACCTCCTGGTGACCGGCGGTAGCCCAATGCTCTTTCCATCCCCTTGCTTTATTTTCGTGCTTCCTTGTACCTGGTTTCGCCTTCTTCAATCGGATTTTCCAGCTGTTTAGCTTCTCTTGCCTTTTTGGCCTTTCGTTGCCCTGTTCTTGGGTTCCTTTTCTGGATTTGCTCTCCTTGGGGCTGGGTTAAGCATCTAGAAGTCTCCTCTCTAGATGGTGGGTTCATCAACTTGCATGGTGAATCGATTCATTGATTTCCCCTCCGTTTCCCCTGTTGGTAGTTCTCTGCCTCTTGGTCGGCGTCGGTGGTAGGAAGGCGATGTCTGGTCCTTCTGGCTGCGGTTTCAGATCTTGGATTTTTGAGTTTGGGTTCCTCTTCTCCCTTGACCAAGTTCTTGGTGCCTGGTCTCCCTCTGCTTTTTCAGCTCGGAGCATTTCGATCCTCTACCCTTTCCACCACTATGTAATCCCTAACAAGAGATTCACTGTGTTGAGCGTCTTCGAGCGACTCCCAGGAGGCGGCATTTGGCGTTGTTTTCAATTGTCAAGGACTTGGTCGGATCGGACGAGCTGATTGTGCTTGGTGCTCTTTGTTTGATTTGTTTGCAGGAGAGCTTTCGGTGGCTTCTGGATCTGATTCAAGTGTTGCAGATTTTTTGGGTTGATCTTTTCTGGGTTTTGCTTTCCTTGTTGTATTTCATTGACACAGATTGTTCAATCGTGTGCTTGAGTTTGTCTGGCCTTGATCCTTTCTGGGTTCCTTTGTTTGCTGGCCTTGTAACCTTTCTTTCAAAGAGCAATACAAGTAAATCCTTTGTAAAAAAAATAATAATAATAAACGTAACAACTTGCGCAAAAGAGCGAGGTAGCTAATTAGCTATAGTGTTAGTGTAGTGTTTGGGTGTAAACAGGTAGCTAGCTCCGATCCCGTGAAAGAGAATGAGGCCGATCTGGTTCATGATTTGATGATAGACAAAATCGACCAAAAGCAAGCAAGCAAACAACTCTTTGTTTATTTCCGTTTTTCTTCTTATCGTTTTCATCTTTGCTTAGCTAATAATAATAAGCGGTATATGATTCATAATTGAACCCAAAATTTGAGTTATTGAAATTAAGTGGTACGTGGTTATTGGGATTTGCTAGATCATGACATGGTATATCAGAGCCTTTTGTTATCGAGAATTCTTTTGTTCGAATCTCGACAACCCAATTTCCGACAGTGCAACCCAAGATTTTGAACAATTTAGGAGATACTGTTGTTTTTAGTTAAAAAAAAATTCATTGATTATAATTTTTTTCTTCAAATAACATTCAAACGAACGAAAATTATACAGAAATGAATTCTTCAGCTGAAAAACACGTTATTTTAATTTAATTAACTAAAACCAAAAACACAAAACACGTCATTTTAGTTGTTTATGTGGTTGTTTTTTTGCTAATGGAGGGACCAGTTCATTTAGCCCCCTCCTTTTGCCCCTCTCCAAATCAGAGCTATTTTAGCTCCTCAAAACCTCTATTTGGCTTTTTAGCCTTGTGTTTAGCCATGGGTTGAACTAAAAGTTGTGGGGGGGCTAAAATGCCATTTTGAGCTTTTAGCCCTCGAGTTGTGGACAGCTTTATTAGTATCTACTAGATCATGACATGGTATATCATAGCCTTTTATCATCGAGAATTCTTTTGTTCAAATATCGACAACCCAATTTTCTGACAGTGCAAACTTAAAGTTTATATGAGTGACTTAAGTTTAAGAGAATATATTAGTGTATATCATATAATTCATAACTAAGCCTCTCATAATAACTGGAGTTATTAGAATTGATCCATGAAAACAACTATTTATCCACTCACCCAGCCCCAACCCAACCCAAACATAATGATACTCTTATCTCTCTTGGTCTTTGCTTTCCTTCAACTCAAAGCTTTTGAGACTTTTAGAGACGTAGAAAATGCCAAAAAGGATGGAATCCAATGGGTCGATCTCATCACTCTTTTATCTAAACTTTCTCATAATCCCATTAGAGACTAAAGTATTCTCTTATCCAACATAATGGCGACAATTGATCATCCTCCTATCCTTAAACTACATCCACTTGGCGCATAAGCATGCATGATTAATACTCAAATGATAATTTTGATGAATTGCGATACAGATCAAAATCAGATCAGGGCCACAGAATAATTGGAGGACCATCGACCAATATCCATGTCCAAACTCCAAACCAATTTAAGAGATGGAGTGCCGTTAGCCATAACTTTCTTTAAGCTCTTCTTTCATTTTCTCCAATGTTTTTCTTTACAGATTCATCTCGCTTAACTGTCCACGCCAATACAATATTGCAATCTTCTACATTATTTATGAGATAGCAGCGCTTTGCTCTTCATTTTGAGAGGAGGGTGAGGAAGAAGAACAATAACAAGGAGGACTAGTACGTACGTTAATAATAATATATATAAACCTGAAGTACTGTTACTGTTGCGTAACTATTCACATTTTGATACCCCAAATTTATTTAAATCACAATTTAGTCATTTCTTCTTCTTCGTGTTCCCAAAACTTTTATTAAAGTTACTAGCCACCCTCACATGCATACAACCTCAATTAGCTCCATGAATTAGCGATAAACAATAGGGGAGGGCACACGAGTGATTAATCCATGGTTTGATAACATGAATCGCAGTGGGTGTGTGATTGCAAATTGATAAATCTCTTACCCGTACTTATTTAGGTATGGAGATATTGAGATTAGTAAGAGCATGACGATGATGAGTTTAAATTTTTTGAACATCATTATGTAAAGAAGGAGAAGGGTTATGCTAGCTGGAGAGTTTGGGTAGTGTACCCTTTTTCCTTATCCGTAATAGATTTATCCATTACGTGCTAAAATTTTATTCAATTATTTCCTATTTGGCATAATAAATACTCGATATAAATAACTCACAACAAAATTATTGAACAATTATGTTTTGGTATCTAGAACGGGTCCATACACGACTCACCAACAGTCTAGAGAATTAATAATTGAACCATGAACCACTAACTTTTCAGCTCAATGTCGAGTCTAATTAAAAATAAATATTTATGGTTATTACTTATTAGAAATTCGTCATTTTCCACTATTGAATTTGAAGGCGTGAAATTTTAAGCGATTTTCAGTTTGTATTCCTTTTTCTTCTCTCTAGAGTTTTTCTTTTTCTCCCGGACTAGAATTTTCAACAATTATACATGGAATGTTTCGATAGGTATCTACACATATCAAATTAATAAATATATATAAACCTGAAGTACTGTTACTGTTGCGTAACTATTCGCATTTTGATACCCCAAATTTATTTAAAACACAATTTAGTCACTATAATGTACATTTTACATTTTGACACACCAAAATTAATTTTAATGTAAAATCATTGAACAATTATGTTTTGGTATCTAGAACGGGTCCATACACGACTCACCAACAGTCTAGAGAATTAATAATTGAACCATGAACCACTAACTTTTCAGCTCAATGTCGAGTCTAATTAAAAATAAATATACATGGTTATTACTTATTAGAAATTCGTCATTTTCCACTATTGAATTTGAAGGCGTGAAATTTCAAGCGAGTTTCAGTTTGTATTCCTTTTGCTTCTCTCTATAGTCTTTCTTTTTCTCCCGGGCTAGAATTTTCAACAATTATACATGAAATGTTTCGCTAGGTATCTACACATATCAAATAAATAGTTTTCATTTTCTATCAAAAAATGAATAATTATCATCTTAAATACATCACCATAAAAGGAATTAAGCTTTAAGTATGCAAATTACAGTTCGGTACCTAAACTTAACATATCTTTAGATTGATAACCAAAATTTATTTTTTGGCACCTAAACTTAATAGATATTTTGTGTATTACATTTTGGTACCTAATCTTTTTTAGTTCTATAAATCGGTCTAATTTTTGTATGTGTAATTAAAACACCCTCGAATAAATGGGTATCCATACCCAACTCATAAAAATTTAGATTATGGAAGTAAATATCCATATATGGCGGTCACCCATACCCTACCCATAATCAATGGACAATGGGTCTACTTGGGTTTAGGTAAATATCATTTACTAGCCAAAATTTTAAAAAAAAAAATTAAATTGGTTGTTGACCGCCATATATCTATTCGCAGTCAATATTACTAACAAAACTGCTAACAAAATTAATTTTAGACTAATAATACTAACAAAACACAATAACGGACCACATAATACATGCTCATATGCTATCTCCGTTCGCGACAAGGCGCGACATCGCCACCTAGTAGTAGTTAAAAGGGCAATGGTAATGACCCCTAAGCTTGTAGGATCCAACACTATCCATACAGAATCCTAAGAAAGATTGTAAAATCACACCGAAGGTTGTATCGAACAAGTTAGTTAAGTGGCAATGGTAATGATCCCTGAGCTGTAGGATCTACGCTATCCATCTAGAACCACAACAAAAATTGTAGTACTAAATAAGTTAATGGTATGACACTTTGTGCTTAATTCGTAGTTCAACAGTTTTATACCAATAAAATTCTACACGGATTTGCACTCCGATAAAAAAAATTCCAATCAGACTGTCGATACAATATAGTTCAACAAAGAGGTGGAGAAAAAACATCAAGAGAAGTGGCCCATAACCAAGAGATGGGGTATCTTGTCTTACACAACCTGGCCAGGAGGTAATGGCCAGCCATTTGAAGGCCACATGACAAAAGGGAGGAATCGAATTGAACCAGAGATGATGAACAACAATAATCACCAGGAAAAGAAAGATTCCCAACAGAGGGAGTGGTTGCAAATGTTTCCTTTAGCTAAATGTTGATAGGCTGATAGCGACAACGCTAACATTATTGCTTGTCGTTCGTGTCTCCATGTATGCATTAGACAATGGAATTTCAACAAAAAGAAAGGCACGATTCAAATCAGTCTTGTTACCATGTCAACTCAGCTCAACAATCATGATGACAAGAATCCCACAATAAGTTTCCAGTGTCTTTCTCGTACCCCCAAAGAAGAAACTAGAGAGAACCACAACAGCAGCTGCTGTTTTCGTCGCCTACAAGATTACCAGAACGCTGCACACAGAAACAAACTGCAGGCATTCAGACGAATTAGAAGACAGTGAAGCTTCAACCACTAGGACTTTAAGAGTTCTCCACAAAGGAAAACATACCTTCCAACTTCCGCCAGATTCCTAACATGGTAATTGATCACAACTGCTCCATTTTCAACACTAAACGGGATGGACTACTGTACAGGATTTACACGAAACCCATCATCTGGAATTTGCTGACACGAACCAATATACATCAGAGCTAACACGTTGAGGACGACTGGGGAATGATGGCAAGCTAGCGGTAATACATGTCAACTGCTCTAATCCATCTATGTAAGCATAGATCATTTACAGGGCGGAAACGGGAAGGTCATGAGAAACGAGCTTCAGCAGCTCTGACGATTGCAGCTTTGTCGAATCTGAAGTTTCTGAAACTCTCGCCAGGCCCCGTGTCGGGAGGAGAGGGAGGAAGAGGATGATGATGATGATGATGCTGTTGATGATGAGCATCGGATTTGGGCCTGGTCAATTGGCTATCCATTACTGCTGTGCTTGTGCTGCCTCCAGACGAGCTGTTCCTTGCTTTCCACATGGATACACCTTCATACCAAGTGGGGAAATTAGAACTCTTGTATGAGCAGGAACTATAATGGAACGAAATCAAAGAGGTGCAGTGAAAAAGGTGCACGAAGAAAAGTGGAACCTTTGAGAGGGAGATCGGGTCTTGGGGCCATAGAGGGCGGATGTGATGAAATCCACGATTTCAGAGACCTACGACACAAGTAGTTCGTTAGAATGGGAAAGGACTTTGACTAATTGAGAAAGACCTAAATGCATGGCCAGAGTACTCACGATAAGAATGGAGCAACCATGTAAAGTTTGAGGCCGATGATACTACGTGATATGACATTATCATTTGCTGGTTGGAGCTCATCCAGTCGCTGCCAGGCAATTTCCTGCAAGCAGGATGCTTATTTAGAAAACATTCCTCACTATACCCACCGTTCTATTCATTCTTTCATGCTGACATAAATACCACAAACTCAGAGATTGTAAAGGTTATCCTTTGTTCATCCAAGTCCAACACAGATATCTCAGAACTTTGGCATCTTCCTAATCCTAAAGAGGGCCATAATATTCTAGGGCTTGCCCGTGAATGATGCAGGATATGTTGGCAAGTTCAATCACCAACCAAGTCACAAAAGCTAGGAAGTATGAATAGAACACCACCAGAGGGAAGAAAAGCGAAGGGGGAAAAAAAAAAAAAAAAACTCAGCAGCAGATGCATATACTCGAAGCCATGAAAGAACACTTTATCGATGCTATTTCTTTCTAGGTATCAGAATGCTTTCAGATCACATAACAGGAGACTGAGAGTGCCAGTTAATGACATACACTTATCTCCTTTTTGGTCTGTGGAGCAAATGTTGTATCATCTTTTACACCAGCAATTATGTAGAGCCGAACCCTCTGTTGTCCAAATATTTCCTCAATATACTCATCTTTGTTAAGAAGCTCGGAAACGTCAAAACCTGTTTCCTCGAAGACCTAAATGTTGATAAACAAGTAATTGATGATATGAGTTAGGCATTCAAACCATTATAGCTCGAGGAATAGCTTTAAGATCTACTACTCAAAGCCTCAAACAAATTGGGAACTCAAGAAAAAATCATACTTCTCGGATAGCGCATGCATGGTCTTCCTCATCTTTGTTCTTTTTACCACGTGGGAAACTCCAACTTGTCCCTTTCCACCCTTTCACCAGCAAGCACTGTGCAGAAGAAGAAAAATGTCGGTTTACTCTATAAAAATATAACCGTATATTATGTATAAAAGCTACCTAACCTAAATCCCAAGACTGAAGATTAGACCAGCCTGATATGGATGACATGCAAATTAAAGAAAGCAATAGTATTTTACCCGACTTAATGTTTTTGTCTTGCGACCAAATATTCATCTATTAGAAAGTTAGAATTGTATACATGGTGATACCTCAAAAGTCAATATAGTTATCTGCCAATACAAAATGCATACTGATGTCCCTTCATTCCCTCATACTTATTAAAGAATGATGAAGCAGTAATCAGACTTGTTATTATCAGGATTGTACAATGGAGAAAGGTCAGATAGAGATTAATGCAATCCTAACTACATATGTTTCGTCCCCTTTATTAAGTCAAGAGGAAGCTTGGGATGACTGTAATAACCAATGACATAAAAATGCATTAGCCACCATCATCGACCATATCAAAATTAACAGGGAGTTTCTTAATCACCAATGCCAGTTCACATCCACAAAAGTAAATTAGACAAGAGTTGATGCTTCTTACTCACCCGTTCATAGGTCTCATCCAGAATAATTGCCCCAGTTACGGGTACTCGAACTTTGTACGAGGTGAAATCCTTGAATATGTTTTCTATATGAGGAACATATGGTCGTAGAATATCACAGCTGTTAAATACTGTAAACCATTAAGGAAAAATGGTCCAATAGACAGAAAAGTGACGGTGCGGAAAAAAAAAAAAAAAACAGGAGAAATCCTTAAATGTGTCATCTGCAATGAGGAACATACGGTTGGTAGAACAAATAAAAACAAGATATTGAGAAAAATAGAGAGTAGACAAAATAACTAAAGAGGAACATATTACTGAGTGTGAAATTAAGACTTGGCATGCTTTCAAACAACCCTCGATAACTACCATACATGAAATTAGTAAAGAACAGTGAAAAAATGGGTCACAAGAAATATGCAAGTCAATAAGATGCAAGCGACCATAAAAATTAAAATACTCCTAATCCAATCACTACACTTTAGCGAGTAAGACTTACAGAAGCACCATCTTTGTTTGCAACTGAGCATACTTAAAAAGAAAATATGCAAAGCTATAATCGTATAGACTATAGACCGTCCGTAAAATCATTTAAGAGAGAGAAACGGATAAATGACTCTAATATTCTGGGTATCGAAAAACGGATAACCAGCGGACCTGCTGAATACATAAACAAACAACACTTGCATGATACATAACGAAGGATACACAAAGTGGTGAATTCCTTCAAGCTGAATGACTTCAATGATGGATTCTTCTCCACAGAATTGTCCTCGTAGAACCAATGTGCATACTCCACAAGGAATAAAATTCTCTCAAATGATTGCTGATCTTCTTGAGGAACATTCAAAACGAAACGGCTGCAATATGAAAGATCAATATCAGACACAAATTTGTCAAACTTAATAAAGAAAGGCCTCTCATGGGAGGAGCAGAAGAGCAAAGTTTCAGCATGAATCGGGTTTTCCACCACATGTCATCAAACAACAGATCTCAGAACAAGTATAAACTCAGAAAAGAAACTAGGCATATGCTTATCCAGGTGATGAAACTAAACAGCCTTAACACACTGATCCAAAGCAACTGAACTAGCACCATTTGCTCTGAACTATCAATTGAAGATTCCATTTTCCTAAGTTCAAACAAGTTCAAGAGAACCACGGGCAATTCAAACAAATCTGCAAGCTACTAAACCAAGCTCAGTTCACTTCCTTCCATTTCTCTCGACTCGTAACAGAATGAAGGCAAGAAGCTTCACAATCTTCACTTCCAATACAACCCCAAAAGAGGGAGCTCACAGCAGTCTCTAGCATTGACAACAAGTACATAGCAGCTTTACGGGGGAAAACCGAAGAAAAAATTCGGACTTAAGAAACAAACGAAGAGGAAAGAGAAGAGGCGAGTTTGGGGTCTAAACCTGCAGAGGTCATCGAGGAGCTCTTGAGGAGGAAGGCCGCCATGGCCGTTCTTCAACGGAGCGCTGGAAGATCGGTGCAGACCTGACATTTCACGCACCTAAAATTTTCTCTTCTTCGTCCCTTCTTTTGTGCTTCTTGCAGTGATTTATGAATGAAAAGGAGCTCTTCCCGTTTTGGCGATGGCGATCGTTTAAATGGGCGGAAAGGGAAAGAAAGAGCTCGTCTCTTTCTTCCCGGCGGCAGCGGCCGATTTTGGGATCCAACTCCCCAATTGAACTCAACACCTTCCTCCTCGCCGATTCATCTTCTCCATCTCTCCAGAGTGTCTCTTCTACAACATGGCGAAACTCCCCTTGTTGGGCCCATCTATGGGCTCGCTCCACTGGGCCGACACCCCGTTTAGGTCCATCATAAGTTCATAGCCCAATTGAGAGAAACAGGCGAGCGAAACAAAGCAAGACATCCTCCGAGGAAAAAAGATCAGCAGTTTATTAAATTCTGCTGGGCAGGAAGAAAAGAATCTGGGATTTTGCTGGCGTTGCTGAGGAAGGAGGAAGGGGAAGCAACAAAGGAAACAAACAAAGGCCAAAACAGAATCTCGGGAAATGCGGTCGTTGCCTTTGGGAATCCCTCTTCCTCCCACCTCTTCCTTAACCGGCAATTCCGTGGACTCTAATCCCACTCTCACTCTCAAGCGCCCTCATCAACACTTCTCTTCTTCTACCTCTTCTCTAGGGATTTCTCATGGCGACCCCTCTGTTTTCATCCATTCTCTTCCCAAATCGGGTGGGTCTCTGTTGTTCGTGGTTTACAAAAGCAGGCTTTGATGCTTACCCTTTTCCTCTTTCTGTTCTCCTGTTGTTGGTTCGATGTCAATTGTGGGTTTTATGCTGCTTTCTACTGCAAAGATCGTTCCTTTTTCTCTTGTTTTCGATCTGGTGAATTTCGCCTGCATTAACCCACATGGGGCAGTTTAATCAGTTTTCTGATTGCTACTTTGGCCATTAATCTCAGGTTGAGCTAGTGCTGAGGAGAATTGAGCTTTCCATTGTTGTTTACTTGCTTAACCTTTATGTTGTGTAATTGCATGCGTGTGGATCACCTGGCCATTTTGGTGTTCAATGTCAAGAGCATAAATTTGTTAATCAAAACCCAGTTCCTGCTACATGGTTCTTTTAGTGCTGGCCTTGCTGTAAATGGTTTATGTATTGTTGTTGCTGAGGATGGCTGGTTTCTTTAAGCTGCATTCCTATGCCTTCCCCACCATCTCATTTCCGTTTTTCCTTCTTTCCCTGTTGTTTCTGTACAACTCAGTTCTAGTTTTGGAGCAAGTTGCATGTTAAGCTTTTTCTTGTTTAGCACATTCTATTTTCTCGGTTTGTTTTGGGCTGGCTGGTGTGGGATGTCATTCAGGTCGATTCTGGTCACCAAACTGCAGGAATATGCAGAGCAAGTCAAGTGGCGGAGTTGTTCCCAAGTCTGTCTCCAGAGATAACGGTGAGGGAGGCAAGGGTTGAAGACTGTTGGGAAGTGGCAGAGACTCACTGCAGCTCCTTCTTCCCTGATTACTCCTTCCCAATGGATTTCGTGCTGAGAATGGATAGGATAGTTGGAATGCTGCTTGGCTTCTCTGTACCTGCTGGTTGCAAGAAAATCTGCCTTGTGGCTGTTGTTGGCAGCAGCTCCATTGATCAATCCTTTTACATTGGTAGCGAGGATATCAAGATCGGAGGGTTTGATGCCAAGTTCACTCTCAACAAGGGATATGTTGCCGGGATCTTGACCGTGGACACTGTTGCCGATTTCCTTCCTAGAAAAGGCCCACTGCGCCAAAGAAGGTGAGCCTTCTTGTGTCCATCATTTCCCTTGTTAATTTGGCTTAGTAACTCAGGTTGGCTGTGACAGGACTGGAATTGCGTACATATCGAATGTAGCAGTTCGAGAGAGGTACCGGCGAAAGGGGATAGGAAAACAGCTTGTAGCCAAGGCAGAGGCATTGGCTAAGACTTGGGGCTGCCATGCCGTTGCTCTTCACTGTGATCTGCGGAACCCTGGTGCTATCAGATTATACAGAGGGCAAGGTTTCAAATCCATCAGGGTGCCTGAGGGTGCAAACTGGCCTCAGCCTAGAACCTCCCCAGATGTTCAATTCAACTTCATGATGAAGCTGCTAAACTCCACAACGAACTAGCACTTAGCATCTCCTTGCAACAAAATTACACGCAGATACTTGTAGGTAAAAGGGGGGGAAAATGTCAAAAGTAGGAAGGATCCTTATCAGCAGCTGCTCTTGTTGTATATAAGTCATCTGTATGGAATGGGAACTTGTCTAAATGCAGATATGTTGCATAATATAGTTTGTATCTTGATTGTAAAAAGCTTCAGCAACCGCAGTCTGATATAGATGCTTGAATATGGGCAGCAGAAGTGTGCAAATGGGTTGGGGTTGAGGCCTTCCAGACCAGTTTATTAAATTCTGAAAGTATATACCAGTAAAATGTACAACAACGATTGTTTAGGTACTACATTGTACTTCAGATGTGTCTTTTTTCGCAAATATGTAAATGTTAAGGTATTATGGTGCCAGATACAAAATGTTATAGTAAATGACAGTTTCTGTATAGCACTCATCAACCAAATGGATTATTTGCTGTTGCTCCCTCTTGGCCAGTTTTGCAGCGACATTTTTCTACTTTATACATCTGGCTAAAGGTTGAGAATGGAAGAAAGGGAGGGCCATGTAGAGCAACAATCAAGCTCGGTTCTTTCATAAACGGATGGAACTGTTACAAGATGTTTGTATTTTTTTCTTTTATTCAATCTTCTTAGTTCATATATAAGCGAAATGCAACTTTCCCGGCTCGTCCACCATCTAAGCAAGCAAAAAAGTGGCTCACGAGCACCAAAAACCAAAAACAGCCCTGCGACTTACGAAGCTTGGACGAATTTGTCCAACACAGATGTGTCCAGAGCAGGGAACTCCTTCACAGCAGAAGCCACAGCAAGTCCCAGTTTTACAGCATCAGCGTCGGTTGGTCCCTGCAATACATTTCACTTTCAGTTACATAGGAGCTCCATAATCCTGCCTGATTATGCGAAGAACATTGGAAGGAGCAATGATAGACCTCAATATTGAGAGGAAGGACAGGATCATGAAGGGAGAGCCTGAGAAGGAACCATCCACCATAACCAGAAACCCGGAGCTGCGTATAAACATGACGAGTTAAATGGAGTGATCGAAGTCTTAAGTCACAGCAACTGTACAAAATCTCGGCAGCTACTAATCAAGATCAACTCACCCCTTCATAATTAACTGGAGCTTTCTGAAGCTTAGGGTCAGAAGCTACATAGTTCTCCAGGTGCTCGAGAACTGCCTCTCCATATTCCCGGAATGGTCTGGAATTTTCCCTACTGATTAGCTTAACTATGAAATAAGACATGTATAGTTACACATACAAGGGAATTAGAAGTAAAGATATACCTTCCTTTAAGATCTGGATGATTCTGATTGATTTTCAGTCTTAGTTCTACTGCAAATCCAGGTTCCTCTAGGCCTTCAACCAGGTCGGTTAAAACTTTGCTTCCACCCCCATTTCCTGATGCTCTGGCCGAGGCAAGTTTGTTTAGAAGTTTGACCTGTGGATAAACAAAGCGGGACTTAAAATATTCCGTGCAAGAAGTCGTCTCACAAAAGTAACAGAGTGCAGCCTACTACCATGAGATATGCACCATCATCAAGCCAGTGGTTTTCCTTGAGAGCTCCATGTCCACTGGTTTCAATAGCAAGATGTGATTCCTCACCAACAGCGTTCTGTGAGCATTTTGGCAGAGGATGGTAAATGAAATGTGAGAAACAAGATATGAAAGCACGTTTTGCTAACGATCCAAAAGTAACATGAGAAACTCAGAGGTTTTATATTGAATTTGGCACACAAATAAAGTGAGTATTTGGGGTTAAATTAGCAAGACGACAACTAAAAGGCCAAAAGAATCAAGAGTCCGCTAAAAGCCTATTTGGGAAACTCGATTGCTACAAGGGAAAATCTATTCATCTATGTGCATTTCCAAAAGCACTACTATTGTCGCATGTTAATTAATCTCACACTACAGGAAAAATATCCACGCAGATTATTGGTTTATCATTCAACTACGAATGCAGGTATGTATCAATGAATCTGTCATGTTACTAGATTGTTTTCTCAATTGCTGATGTCAGTTTTAACCAAATCTTAAGAATAGTATGAGAAAGAGAGTATGTTTACCAGACGAATGGCTTCATCAATCACATTTTTGTAGCCTCTTTTGAACCGATGGTGCTTTCCACCTAAAAGAAATTTGTGCAGGTGTGAACTTAACGGCCATATAATCAAGGTAAACCTGAACCTTTTCATGGTGTTGGCTTACCAAGTTTCCTTTCAATAAATGCAGTCAACCCGTCAGAAGTTACACTGTCGGTAACAATAGTTGTTCCTGGATGCTGAAATATATACAAGACAAGAACACTCAAAGTAAAAACCAAGGAGAGAAGGAATTTCCATAAGAGAGAAAGGCACGCGGAAAAATTGAAAACAATGGGAATCGGAAGATTCGTACCTCCTCCAGGACAATAGCAGACATCAATGCAATTAAGCGATTGCGGTTCAACTCGCGTCCAGTAGAGTCCACGGCAGCAGATCTTAATGAAAACGAAACGGCATAGCATTGATTATCACCATGTTATTTAGCATGCTGATAGACTGGATAGAATCAAGTCAGCATCTACCTGTCAACGTCTGTGTCGAAGATGATCCCCAAATCAGCTTTGTTATCAAGGACAGCTTTGGTGATAGCTTTCATTGCCGCCTTATCCTCCGGGTTGGGAATATGATTGGGAAACATTCCTGATCCAAGCGAGATCGTTACTAGATATTCACACTCAAACCCGTAATATATTTCCCATCATTTTTAAATACTAACCATCTGGCTCTAGGAACTGACTCCCAGAAGTTATTGCCCCAAGAGGCTCCAGAACTTTTGCCTGATAAAAGAAAATTAGAACAGAAATTAATTAAATGGGAATATTCAAAACCATAGAACGAAAAGTGCAGACAGCTGTAAGAGAGAGTGTACTAGGTGAAGCCAGTGATATTATCAAAGCTCTGACACTGAATGATACAACTATTTATCAGCCCAACAACCAGCTACTAACTATTGTTGTAGAAGCTAAATCCTTTTCCATAACACTGGAAATAAAGACATGCAGAATCATCTTGTAAGATTCTGAGAACTTACAGCAAAGAATCCTCCTGCACCATTTCCAGCATCAACAACAATGTGGAACCCCTCCAATGGCTTCTCTATGAGCATATCAACAAAAGAAAGAAATGCATGTCACTGGTAGTTAGGAAAAAATATCTTTTAGTTTGTCATTGAACTGATAGAATCACGGAACCATAAAAAATGTCTGATTGAGAAATAAATAGAGCAATCATGCTTATTATGTCAACGTTTCATGTCAGAGCCTGTGCATATATTAACCCACAACTGCATTTTATGTTGATATCAAATGTTATACAACTACCTATATTTCCAGCAGCTTTGCGGACAGCCTTCACGAGGTCAGAGGTATAAACAGTCATGTAATCAGCTTTCTTCACGGATTCAGATGCTCTCTTCTTTGATTGAGACAAACATTCTTCTGTAAAGCTTTTATATATGTCTGCTGCTCGATCCAAAATGTCTTTAATGTCAGGCTTCCCAAGCCCCCCAGCATTAGTGAAAAATTTGAACCCATTCCTGTTGAAAGGAAGATGACTAGCTATATGCAAAAAATAAAAATCAATCAATTAAAAACTCATCAGTGCAAGACAACCAAACTTCGAAAATGGTCAAGAAACTCAAATTGATTCAAAATGTCAGAAGGAAAAGATACATAGTATCCATTACAGTGAAAGGCTACCAATACCAGAACTGCCCAAAGGTAAAGAGAAGATGAATCTTGTAATGACCTGTTATCATGATAGCTCCATCAACTGGACAGAAAAATGCTTCATCTTCTGTCATTGTGCTATTAAACATTGCTGGTGTAGATGCCAATCTAACAGAGATATTCACCAAGTAAGAAACAAGTAGAAAAGACACTGTTAGTGTGGAAGCATGAATTTCAGACGTTACAGTTTATTTGAGCTCTTTTGGCTTACAGTTTACAAAGCACAGGTTTCAACGACCCCTTAGCAAAAGCAAAATATCCATTCCAGTCATAGCAAGTTGAAGATGATCAACTCACCCATATTGAATTACTTCCAATCCTGCACCAGTAATGCCTCGAGAAACTGCATCCTGGAAGTTTCAAGCATCAGCTCCTTGCTAACACTAGTATGATGATGTCAAAAACAAAAATATTCTGAAGCAGGGTAACAGTCACATTCATCACTTTCCTTATTGCCAATGCCATTCCTGAAACATATTAATATTATTTGTCGGGAACATTTACTAAACCTATGAGATTTCCTAGCTCAGCGAAATCAAACATTCCTTAGCCACCACAAGATGGAACAATGTATTCAGTTACAGAAGTGACACAAGGGATTAGCATTGAGATTTTCTTTTGTGTAAGCTCCGTAAGCCGCTTATGCATCATGAATGGCCAAGCACATGGATACAAAACTAGTTCTCAGCGAGTACACCAAATACAGACAAATGTAAGCATATTCAATACCTGTAATTTCTGGGCTGATATGCGGGAATCATGACCAATGGAAACTCTTAAAGGTCTGGTTGCATCAGCTTTTCTCTTATCACATAACCATGCAGCAAATGCAGCAGCTATTGCTTCTGTAACTGGTTCAGTGAGACTAATAGGTTCACCCTCCACGCCAGGAACAGCCACTCCTCGGATATCACTACATAAACCAAAAGGAAAAATGATAATACTTGATATCTTACCAAACGAAGTTACAAAAAAAAAAAAGTAGCAACAAGCTATAGCACCCAATTGATTTACAGAGCCTTCCCCTACCTAGAACCATTTTCATAGCATATGGTACCAAGAGGTATTAATCAGAGCAACTGCACTGCTCCTCAAAGGGTGGTTACCCAAATAAGAAGCTACAACCAATAAACAGAGAGAAACAAGACACACATAGACAAAATTGGATAAAGTCCCAAACAAGTTACCATTCTGTTAGTATGGTGAAAAGCTACCGGGTGCATAATAACTAAGGAAGTAGAAGCCGTGTGGCTTGATCACATCCGAATTACAGAGCTAACAATATGAGCAAATAAAGAGAGTTGAAAAAAAGAAGAAGGAATCAATGGTTTTCTAGAGCCTCGCATTATATAAAGTTGTTACCTGCCATTTTGAAGTTTCAAAAAGTCCACTTTGTCCAGATAAGGGACAGCAGTGGTTGTAGCAGCTGCAACACAAGTAGAAAAACCACCGCGTAAGAGCTCAAGAGAACACACTAGGGACAGAAACAAATTAGAGATAGCGTCGCAGCTTACAGGTGAGCATAAATCCATAGAACAGAAATACCTCTAACTAGTAAACAAGCACAGCAATGGAGCAGGTAGAATATGAGAATGAAACTTCCATGCACTCTAAAGGGTTTTTTAAATGCAATCCTTTCATTTGATATCAACCTGGGATATGAGAGTCTAGAACGGACCATTGCAGAAAATAGGTCTTCGGTTAGCAAAACCACTGTGGAATTTTGACCATGTGTGCATGTGCATGGAAGATATGCCAGTCCATGCCAACTTCCCATGAAAGGGAAGCAATTTGCAGGTATTAGGGGCAGAACTGTCCCTTTGGAACAGGGTTGCTATCTGCCTATTCTGTGCTACAAAAACATTTTGGATAACGTTCGTTGACATTGCTGCATAAGAATTGGGAAAGCATTATCAGATACCATAAGCCTCATCTGAATCTTGAGAAAATGGAAAAGGTAAATGCAAAGCCTATTCAGCTACTTCTGCTGCTCCCCGAAACAATGGCATGGACTCATCAATACATATTTCAAAGCTACTTTCTTCCAAACACCGCCATAATAGTTTCCCCTATACTGAACAGAACAACTTAAATCCACATCCACATCTCCAAGGATAGAAATTGAATCACTTTAAGACTTCCAGGGTGACAGACCCATTACTTTTCAAGAGACAACCATACTCATAAAGCAAACAGCCATACGAAAATCATAATCCAGAAGCATGAGGTCAACTTAACCAATCCTCCATTCCAAAGAAACTCAGAGCTACCAAATCATAGCTAACTCCACAAGCTCAAGCGACCAAATTCGGCAAAAATCAATCAAAAGAAAGCTAGTACATAAAAGAAGAACTAATTAAGCGAAGTGCCATAGCCCATAGCTCGACTCCGAGAATCGGCAGCAAACCAAATGGGAGAGGAGGGGACGAGTAAGTAGTAACCAATAGGCAATAACTACACTCAGTAATTTGGAAGAGTGAAAGCAAAAGAGAAACCGCTCAGGCGGATAACAGTGGAAACAAGATACATCGACAAGAAGAAAAATTTACCAGCCATCGGATGAAGGGGAAATTTGATGGGATAGCGTCGCCGGCGGCGGCGGAGCAGAAATGGTCGGACGGAGAAGGCGATGGGAGAAAAGCGGAACGTTATGGAAGGACGACAGTTGGGTTTTGGAAATTTATGTTTTTTCCAATGATGAAAGTTCAGTTGGTTAGGTGGCTACAAAGTGGAATATGCCCACAGCTCTAGAAGGGCCTCGTAAGTGGGCTCACCAGTTCTGTAACTTGTGGACTGAGATCGGAGTTTTTTCTATAGTGGCCCATTAGGTAGCCCAAAACCTATGAACAGAAAGCTTCGACATTTTAGGCTGTGTCCAGTCCAAAAAGATGCATCCAGGAACAAATATTCTTTTTTATTATCACCAATCGTATCCCGTTAACGGTATAACCGATAACCGAATCGGATCTGGTACTTAACAGTTACACCGATAACCGATTACATGATAAACGGTTGGTTCTCGGTAGCCAAATGTAGTTAATAACTACCGATGGTTAACCGACTAACCGATTACGATCATTCTCATAGTTAGAACCGAAAATAAAATACCTTCGTGAGCTGCAAACATAGGTCGCCAATTAATGAGGTGTTTGAAGGCTTACAAAACTCATTGCCTATTCTAGTTGTAATAGTGACTTAGACTCAAATGATAATTATTTAAAGGAAGAGTTTTAGAAGGAACAAAGTAGAAAGTCAGACTTGCGCACAATTGCTCGACAACAATCGATAACATTAACCTACCATGTAATTTGATGGGGTTTACGAGTTGAGTAATTATTGTTGAGTATCGTTTTATACTTCTTTAATAAAGTTTGACGGTAAAATGGTATTATTGTATACTTGTGTTGGATTGAGTTGATTAGTATTGATATATATCTATGTAAATTATTTTTTATTCATTGATAAAAACTTAAGAAAAGAACACGTGCATATGTATGTAAATTATAGAAATTTTCACAATTGAAAGAAGTATGTATTGTGTATTGGTTAGCTTATTGATAAGTTATTTTGGTATAACCTTGTCGAATCACTTGGTTAATGGTTATTTGGTTAACCGAGAACCGACTATACGATTACAGTAAATTGACTAATTTAAACGATGCATTTAACGGTAAGCACAAAGTGCTTAACGGTTAACCGAAAACCATCTAAACAGTTCCGATTATAACCGAACCGATTATCAATCTTATCACCAACCCTCTCTTATTTTTTTTAATCGAAAATGGGTCCATAGGAGTTACATTCACTACCTTAAAATAAAATTTGTTGAGGTATAGTCCCTCCAAACATCTCGTACATGACTTAATCTTTAATGTCAATCAAACAAAGAAATATCAAGGGTACCTAGTGGTAGGGACATACTCATATGAGCTAAATAGTTGCATAAACAGTTGTCTTCTTTATAAATATGAATGAAATAAAAATTTGGTTTAATACACTTGTATATCCAAAACTCTAATGGTTGTGTCAATAATATCCAAATTTTCTGAAATACCACTTATATCCATGTTTTAAAGTTGTTCTTTGCAAAATCTATCCATTCCCAATATATTTTTGATTAAATACACTTGTATATCCAAAAACACCGTTAAAGAATGTGAAAGAATTGGATATAAGTGTATTTCGGAAAATTTGGATATTATTGGCACAACCGTGAAAGTTTTGGATATACAAGTGTATTTAACCTAAAAATTTCAATCACGCACAGAAAGGGAGCGAAAATGGCGAACGAGGGTAGGCATGTTGATGATCAGGGTCATCCCTGCTTTGAAGAAGGGTCGTCGTACGTAGCGGTTGAGTTGAACTGTGCTTCCCCTTTCTATGCCTGGGTGCCAACTCATCGCTAGTTCTTCGATCGCGCCTCTGAGTTCGACTCTTCTGATGGAACAGCTCCCCAGGTTCATGGCATAAGCACCCAACAAGCAGCCCTGCGAATCTCGCACAACCCCTTCGGTGACTGCTCGAAGGGAAAACGAAATGGCGGATTCGTGGAAGCTAATTGTGGCCAACTCCTACGGTCTCTATCTCCACCCCACGTCCACGCCTTAGCGCCGGAGCAGCACTGCAATTCCCCATGTATAAATGTGCTCCTTGATTGTGCTTGTTAGTGTTGTGGGATATGATCCACGGTTGAACATCTCCCAACAACTCGAGTTATTGGGATCAACTGGTTCTTGACATGGTATGAGTGGTATAAGATCCAGCATAACCTTCTCCCAACTACTCGAGTTATTGAGACCAACTGGTTCTTGACATGGTATCAGAGCCTTCTGTGACCGAAAGGTCTTGTGTTCGATTCCCGAGGACCCCCATTTGTTAAGCACATGGTATTCTTGTCTTCAGACCTGTGCAAACTTCAAGCCCTTGTGAGTGACTTTCGTTTGAGGGGGCGTGTTAGTGTTGTGGTATATGATCCACGATTAAACCTCTCCCAACAACTCAGAGTTATTGGGATCAACTGGTTCTTGACAGTGCTAACGTGTGACATTCTCTCCTATCTTATGTAAAGATCATCTGAATAATCTCATTGATTGCCGCAACCAAACCCGTACAGATGTTATCATTCCGAACACACCATACATAGAAACCAAAAGGAGAAGCAATTCAAGGACAATCAACATAACACATTTTCTCATAACTATTAACATATAATGAAAGATAAGAAAAGAAATAATGTGAAGAGTTTCTCACAAAAAAAGGTGTGAACAAACTGAGCATCATGGCCAAATTGAAACCAGGCCGAAGATAAGGATATGTGAAATCAAACAAGTAATCAAATCGAGTTAGTAGAAGTCTAATCCCGGGAAAGTGGAAAATCAATACCAGAATCCTTATCATGTGACACCATGCAGTTTGACCATCTTGATCAAGGTGACGATGGAAACAAAAAACAATGTCATATGACCCATGACTTGCGAATCTCTGTCCCCCACTTCCACTCCTTCTCTCTCCCTTTGAATACCATATATAAATATCAGGTCGGTTAACAGAAACCAGAGAGAGAGAGAGAGAGAGAGAGAGAGAGAGAGGGTGCGACTTTTGCTAGTTTTGACTATCTCAAGTCTACAGATCTGCAATGGAGGAGCTGATAGTCAGACAGTAAATAACATAATACTATTGTGTTGCCTGGCTTAACATGTTTGAAAATCCCGATACAAGGAATTCACAAATCTACAGCTGCCTCAGCACAACCTTTTTTGCGCCAGCAAATTCGGTTTTCTTGTTGGAAGTCCATGTTAATTGCTAGTGTAGTGTGGTTGTTTTGTTTTCGGAGCTCCAAGTTTATGACATGAATTAACTACCGTTGACTTTAGCCAGATCTTAGATCTTTTGAGGTTTCACAACTCTGTGTCAAGAATTGATATTCTGAACCTCGTTGAATATAGGAGCTAGGCTACTGCAGAACTTAAAAAAGAGTTCGAGGGTAGATGCTCGTTGGAGTATTCGAATCGTGGAGAGCGATCTGAGATCGAATTCGTCTGAATTAATATGGTAGGATGAAATTAAGCAGATATATAATATGGAGTCTTTAAGTTGAATCCTCATCACATCTCATGCTCATGGCTAAAGCAGAGTCATGGCCAAGAATATGCCAAAGAAAAAAGCTTGAGATTTTCAGCATTTTATAATGTACATTTTGAGAGACTCATTGGACAATCCCTCCTCTTCCTCCTACAGTCCTTCTCTTCCCCTGATTTCCTAAGATGTCGACCCCAAATTCGCTGGCTTTCTCCCCATCTTCGAGAACTCGCTGCAAAGATCATCATCAGTCGAGAATTAGAGGCGATTTTGGAGATACATATATATATACTAGTCTATAATGATAGATGGAAGGGAGAAGTTTGTACCAAGGAGCAGACCCTGTGTCAGAGGAATTCTCCAGGGGGGCATTCTGGTACACCGAAGAACCAGAAGCCTCCGAGACATTCGTGGTCATCTTCTCTGCATTACTGACAGAGGCACTGTTGCAATTTGACTCGTCGGAGCAGCTATGATTAGAACCCAGGCGATCAGGTAGAATGAGCTGACCAAACAAGAAAATGTGAGGAGAAGTCTTTGTTGTTTCCTTCGGACTACTGGTATATTGGGTGCTTCCCATTGTGAGCAGGCAAGATACATTGTCATCGTCGCTATCGGTCTTGGCTGGTGTGAAGGGAATCTTTGAACCTGTTGCAACTCCATCAAGTCGCTGCTGAGATTCGAAAGGTAGCGAACCCATCTGCAGCTGCTTGTTGAAGCGGAGATCTGAAGGAGAAGAAGAGGACATGTCGAATTGCGGATGCCTGGCTCCCTGTATGCCTGCAGGAATGTTGTTGTTTGGGACACAAAAGAAGGGACTGTTTGGCATAATCGAGTTCCCGGGGGTAAATGATGGCAGCAGAGGAAAGTGGCCCATCATCATGGAGAAATCATCTGGAGTCTGTATGAATCTCGGCTTCTTTCTTGGCGGCGAGAAGGGTACTGCAAGGTGGTGAATGGCTGACATGTGGGAGACTAATTCAACCAACCATGGGTTAACACGCTTCACATTTTGAAGCAACTCGGGCTCATCCCATGCTACCTGAAAAGCAATTACAAGCAACTGAATCTTAATATCTTGATGAGTTCAACATAACAATGACTTCCAAGTTCTAACCCTTCACTCACAATGACCATAGTAGCACCCATACAAATCCAAATACAAGCCCTGTAGCATATCTTGCATAGCAATCAACCTAAGAGTCTTTCCCAGTGAATTGCTAAAATGATTAGCATGAAAAGGTTGAAATTTGGTAACTGATGCAAGGAGTTTGTCATTTCGGAGAAAGAAGTTCCCAAATATTTGCATAGCATATCTACAATGAGCAGCAAAGGCACCACCTACTGAAACATCCAACAGACCAGTACACCAGTACATACCACTTAAAATAGTTCAATTCCTAATTATAAGATGGTACTTAGATTCCATCCCAATGTTCTCTTCTAAAAGAGGCAGTCAGTGATTGAAATGTTAACACAGGCTACTGAAAACTGTCCATATATAAAGATCTTTCCTAGTAAACAACTTGGCATTAGTGAAGTACCTGTAGAAGGCGCCATGGCGAATTCGGCCACCGAATGGGCTCAGCAACTTGAACAGCAGATATGGTACCCATAAACCAGCTAATCCTCGACGAATCCTCGGTCTCGAAGGGCATCTTAAACCGCATTCCAGAATACCACTGAATCCGCATCGCAGCTCTAACCGCGGAAGCTCTAACACAAAACTCGGGCGAATTCCCACTGGGATAGTACACAACCTCGAAGGGCTGTCCCTTGGCAGCAAGAGTAGCAGCCTCAACAACCGACTGAGGACTAATTTTACCTTTCACCTGCTCATTACTCAACTTGTTACAGTCATTCTCCCTCATAAACCCTGGATACCCTCCATAGGTATTCCACCCGGATGATGATTGACACTCATTCCCACCTCCGATCCCTCGCTTAGCACGTCGAATCCCCACGCAGAGATCGCCATTGTCCGCCCTCAGAAACACAATGGAATCCCCAACCACAAGCTTCTTTTGATTCACAAAATTACTCCATCCAGTGGTCAACAGATGCCTTCTAGGGGTTCCTCTATAGATATGCCTGAACTTCCAAATCTGGCCATGAACATCCTTAGCTAGAATGGTCTGCACAGGAGGTTCAGCATTGTAATCCAGCCTTGGAAATATGGTCTCAGCACAATATCGAGGCACAGAGAATCCCCCGCCGTTATTTGCATCAGATTGAGTTAGGGTTTTAGCAAAAGAAGCGGGCTTTTCTTGAGAGGAGTCACTATTATTAACCCCACCGAACAAACCATCATCACCATCATCTCCAAATGTCGCCAAATCGGCGTTTGTGACAGATGGGTTTAGCCTGATTTTAGCAAATACCTCGTCGGTTTCGGGATCTGCCATGTAATTGATGGCAGAGACCTCGCAGGGGACCATGGCTGGGATTTGGAGGTGAGGGCCGAAATCGACTCCATTGGCATGTGCATGCTCGGCGTGTCCCTGAGGAAAGTAGTAGACTTTGGAGTTCAACGGCGGCATTTGGACCATCCCGCCGGCGCAGGCGTGCCAGAACTGCGAATCCAAACAATTTTCCGTTTGTTTTCTCCGGGAATTCATTATCCCGAAGTCTCTCATCATGGTTGGGAAGGAGGAAGTAACAGCCGGGTGGTTGCCTGCAGGTGAAATTCAGAGGATGAGTAAGGTGGGTGAATTTGTCCTCAGGCGGAGAAATGGAAGGGAATCCATGACTAAGGTGAAGAGAACAAAGTACCCATCAGCTATTTTAGACAAATGGAACAATTTTTTTGTGAAAAAAGATGAATATTCCAAACAATTTCTCAACGAAACAGAACGAGAAAGAAGGGAAACAGAACGAGAAAACGCGAGGAAAGGGGAAAACCAGCTCACCCCCTAAAGATCTCTCAGAGCAAAAACGAACCCAAGAACAGACAGCGCAATGTGGAGTGAAAAAGTAAAGCCCAAATTTCCCCAACCAACAAATTAGGGAGTAAAGGAAGAGCCCTTTTCTTCTCTGAAGCTCCAAAATTTTTAAGAAACGCAGCAGGGGAATTGAATTCAACCAGTGAGAAGGGAAATCGCAGAGACCCAGATGGAGTTTTTGATCGATGAAAGAAAGAGTAGAAGATGGAAAGCTATTCTCAAAGGTAGTGAGGGAGAGGGAGAGGGAAAGGAGGAAGTTGAGTACTGAAGTAAAGTCAGCTGGAGTGAAACAGAGTGTTTTAAATATAGGTTGGAATGGAAGAAGATGTAGAAGAAGAGAGGAGAGGAGAGTGAGTTTTGTTGCTTGCTGGCGGCTGCGGACAGCAGAGAAGCTTCTTCGGAGCAGCGGGATTTCGGATCACAAATGAATCCACTACCGCCACAGTCCACTGACAAATTTTCAGGTGAAATAGAATAGTTCTTTATCTTTTTCCCTTTTCATTTTGGGCTTTGATTATTACTTGTCTGCCTTCGTTATCAGATCTTGTGTTTGCAAGAAAACAGAGGCCTTCGTCTTGTAGCATCGAGTTCGTTGCGGAACATTGGCATTGCCGCGCGTCCGTAGACTCTGCTTTTCTTTTTTTCTTTACTTGTATCCATGGTAACAAATTATAATCCAAATTTCCGGGAAAAAAACAATTATATTCAAACATCCAAACTTCCAAATGATCAATTTAGCCCGACTTTATTATTGGGCGTTGATATTTATGCTTAATCTGGTTTTTTGTTAACTACTCAAATAGGATATCCTCTAAATACCAAGGCGGGAACCTATATCACAAGAAGATCGATTCTAATAACAAAAATAAAAAAATTTGTAGTCAATCAACTCGTGATGGAACAACTACCCCGATCAATAACACAATGAGTGGTCGAGGTGGGAGAAGTCGTCTACGAAAATAATCATGTATGACACAACTCAGTGATGGAGCCACATTTAATAGCAGGGAGGTTATAGCCCTCTCAACTCTCGAAACGTAAACTTGATAATAAGTTTGAGAAATATAGTAGTTGATGAAGTTTTAAGCTCTCTCGCCATTTGAAGTTCTCTGAACATGGATACTGCAAAAGTTCAAATGGATGCAAAACTTGATCGAACAATGAGTTTCTGGACAAGTAATCATGAGATATACTAGATGATCGGTCAATTAAAGATATATAAAAGTTATAAACACATGGATTGAAAGGTAGAATGAGATGATCGAATGATCTAATTGATTGTTTTTTGCTCGATTGGTGTTTGTACATGTCAAGAATCGTGACTTTCTTTAGTTGAGGATGACTTCCTTCTTTGATCTGAAAATTTTCAATTCCCACAATCTACTTGAACTTGAAGTGACCCAAGTCCTTGATAATGAATTTATCAAGTCCTTGAAATAATCGGACGACGGGATGGGCTTTTTTGCGTTTTTGTCCCGACCCGGTTATTGGGCCGACGGGGCAGTCGCTGTCGCAGTGACGAGCAACAAAGCTGGCCAGGACGGGCCACTTTAACTTCTTGCCGCCGGTGGCGCCGTTTAACGGCGGCGCAGAGTTGGCGGGGCATTGCCGAGTCGACGGCAGGCCGGATTTTGCTGTGTGAATGTCGCCCGCTGTGGCTGTTTGCGGCCGGGTGTCCGAAATCCCTGTCGTTAGTTGTAGCTGTGTTTGACTGTGTGTTTTACTGTCGGAGATACTTATGCGAGAAGTTACCGGCGAATAAGTGGGCCGGGCTCGTCTGATGTTTGGGCTGCATCTTTAACTAATTTGTGTAATCAAGCTATCGGGTTCTTTATAACAAACCAAAAGAGCTATTGGGTTTAAATAAAATTTATTGGGCCGTCAATCTGAGTTAGCCCAATACAATAAAACCATATTTGATAGAATAAACGAAAACGTTTCTTGTATTTGCCTAAACTCACAAAGTTGAGAAATTGTTTCATTTCCACTTCAAACGAAATTAACTTTGCAAAAAAAATATTTTCAGCGTTAATTTCACAGTTCTGTTGTGATCTTTTCGAATGAATTGAGATCTCTTTATTTTCACGATTTTTCAGGTATTTCATGTTCTACTGAAGAAATTTTTTGCTACTTCCTTCGGGGGTTTATAAACTGTGACTATAATAACATTTCTTATGTACTAATATTACTAGCTTTTAGGGGTTTTTTCTCTCCCAAGTCAAGTGATAACCATGACTCGTCTCAAACATTTAAACCGAAAACGAAAATACTGAAAATTTTAAACACCAACAAATGAAGAAGTTGAGCTTCTGGGCTATTTAATACTAGAAGAATTCAAGAGGTGAGGCTGTTGATTTCCAATTGCAAGGGTCATTTTCATCGTTTTTCTGTCCTATAGGGAAGGAACATGAGCTCAAAGGTTACCATCAAATGAATTAGTTTTGGTTCCAAGAAGCCTTTCAAGCACTTACTCAATAGAAACGGACACCAAATTCTCTCATATCATATTCATATGCATCACATTTCCTCATTTTTCTCGTCTCTTTTATATCTTATTCGGTATACTTTTGTCATGTCATTTTCAGCAAATCAAAACTATAATAATGAATGAAGCACACATAACGTAAATTTACACTTTGAAAGAAGGTCACACCTATAATCATTGCTATATATTTCAATTGACCGAATTATTTAATATCATAAATCAAAACTTGTAAAAGTATAAGCAAGCAAACGCCAAAAAAAATAAAGACTATAGTGTGAGATGATTGATACAATCAATTGCCATAATTGATCCACCATTGTAACACTTCAACTCATTTGTTTTGCTAACAGTGACCCCATTTTGGGAGAGATGTCTTAAAAGAAAAATGCGTGTAATTAGTTGATTGAGACACATTGCCAAAACCCTAACCATAACAAATGCAAATATGATTATGGTTGTAGCCTCAAGTCTAAGCGAGCTTTAGGCCATTTGATTGGATTGCATTTCTAGGTCAAGCTCATCCATGTCTTCTTCCCCCTCCTCCCAACTAATTGTTGTCTTGCCTTATAGATCAAGTTTCCCTTAGTTAAAAGTTCACTAAAAATAAATTACCGCTTACCAAACTATTAATCTCTAGCGATGGTGTCTTTCATAAGCAACGATAGTAGTCAAGACACATGATACAAATATGTCTGATGTCCAAGAACACCAATTTCCTTCTTCGTTGTATATGTTTAATCTATATACTTGTTTTCTGCAAAGTGCTCCAAACATATCTTATATATGCATTTGGATACACATACTTCTCGAGTAACTTATTTTGAACACAAATCATAAATTAAGTCCCTTTTTTTTTTACGTCCGCACTACAATCAGGTCAAACCCTTTTAATTAAAATAAACTTAATTTCAGTTGCTTCATTTCGAAACAATCGGTCCAAATTGCATCATCTAAACTTTGTTCAAATTTCACAACCCATTAGTTAGTTATAGACATATTGATGATTGTTTTGAATTTGTGGAGATTGATGGCCATTGGCCATAAACCACCACCAATTTCAGCCATCTCTTATTGGCTATGGCGTCAACAAACAAATCAGCAAGCAATAGACAAAGTCACAATCGCCAACTCAGCCCAGATAATCTCACTCCACCAAAGTTCAGTTGGTAATTGAAAACTCCAAGCCACCACCACATCTTCCATGGCCTACCCTTCCATCCCTTCCATCTTCATTCTGCACCGACGATTAGGGTTGCTGTATCGTAGGATCCACAATGCACTGGAAACAGAGCACCGACAAGCCACTCTTCTAGACTGTAAAATACTAAAGAAAACCTGAATGAATTGTTCTGAATATGGAAGAGATGGGAAATGGGATGATGAAGATCAACCATCACTTGATTACAAAAAAAGAGAAAGGTTCTCAAGAACCCAGAAAGGAAAACCAGTCTACCATAAACGAACTACAAAAAGAATAGACTCCAGAACCCAAAAAAAAAAAAAAAAATTATGATGAAAACCCAAAGAGCAAAAAACAGAGTCCCCTGCATCATGATGATGATTATCTTCTCAGAACCTAAAAATATAACCTTAATTAAGGACCTATTCCTTTCCTACAATAATGTGATCTGATCTCTCTCGACTAATCCCTTTCGCCCTCCTCTGCCTCTTTTACTGTCCTCCCTACTTACCTACAAATGTTTGGTCATCTCATCTATGCTATTTTCTCCACAGACCTTCTTCCCTCTTTCCATCCCCTCTGTACAAAGAACCGATGAACAAAGCAATGAAATTCCCCACTCTAAAACCCTTAGTGCATTCGACCGATCGATCATCTGAGGTACGGCTCTGCCTCTCACATGTAATCCATGGCAGGGTTGCTGTGATTAGGAATCAGCAGCTCGGGCGAGCCAGGGACCATGGAAGCATCATCTCCTGTAGCCATACCAAAGATCTCGCCACCAATGGGGGTCTTGGTCCTCATCTCGACGACCTTCTTGTGGGAGTTGGAGTGCAAGGCTGGAACAAAAGTCGGGCTGGCTGCTGGACGGTACTCGGGGAAAAGCCTGCCCGACTTGAACCTCACGCCACAGGCATTGCAAAGGGACTTCGGCCCCATTGGACCCGCCCTCCATTGTGGCGTCTTGGTCACCTCGCAATGCATACATTTCCTCACCCCCTGCTGTTGCTGCTGCTGTGTCCCCGACTCATTGTTTTGCTCTTCCATACCCAACGGCGGAGGAGGAACATTCGCCTCGACCTTCTTCTGCTTCTTCTTCTTGTTCTTCTGCTCGGATTTGATGAGGTGCTTGGGGATTTTGATGAGCAGCCGCGACTCAGCATGGTTGTCCGAATCACGAGGAGTGAGCTTGGTTGGGGTGACAGGGCACATAGGGGTTGTTGTCTCGGTGATTGATGATGTCGGTGAGACGATGAGCTGCTGCATTGCCGGCCTAGGAGTGAACGTAGCTGGGCGCGGGCGCTTGCTACGAGCACGCCCACACCTCCCACCAGGACCACCCACATTGACCTCCGGGCTGAGAGGCGCAGAAGCAGGCTTCTGTTCCCCCGAGCAGGAGCTGCTGCTCTCCAGGACCGAAACAGGGCTCGAAGTCCTGAAATGTTGTTGTTGTTGAGACAACGTCGTGGTCGACGAGGACGACGTGGAGAAGTCCTTGTCGACGAGGAGCGAACACTCGTTCTTGTTCATGGTGAGGCTTCCTCCGGAAAAGGAATCCTCCACGAAGGTGGACAGCCATTCCAGCTGCACAATGTCCTCGTACTGTAAACAATCAAACAAACACAAACCAAAAACCTGAATTAGAAACCGAGAATTCTAGCGTCAATCACTGCAAAATTATCAAGGCAGAGATTAGGTAAACAGGACAAACATCTACTGCTAGTATTCACTGTAATGTCAGTAGACCACCACCATTGCACAATGCACATGGCTCTTCCAATTTTAATTAAAAGAAATTTGGATCTGAATCTCAGTCTTAACTTAAGGATGCAATTATGATTATATTAATAATGGAGGATTGTAATGGGAGACAAATGATTAATAGGGATGTGACAAGAAATTTTTAGCAACCACGTGACATCCATGACTAAGCACTAACATGGTGACTATAACAAGCAGAAGTCCACGTCATCACCGACAGGCAAGTTGGAGGTACTAAAATACCCCTCTCTCCCCACCATGGCCCACAATTTTTGACTAATTTGCCCCCCCTGCCGTTATGAAAGAAGAAATAGAAAAAGCAGAATTTTCGAAATTTGAAGTTTGTATTTTTTGGACACGGTAACGCTAAAATCCAAACCCGTTTTCGCGCGGAAGAGAGGCAATCAATCAGAAAGCAACAAAACGGAGAATGCAGGTGACGTCACAGTGAAGAAATCGAACGGCAGATAACAACAATTCAGTAATTGGATTGGGAAACGCACCGGAACGGACAGCTCGGCGGCGAGGTCGGGGCCGCCGTGGTTGGGGAAAACAGAGCCCGGGTGAGCGGCCCAAATGCTGGGCGGCGGGAAAGACTCGTCGACGGCGTCGTTCTTGGCGGCGGAGATGGTTCTGTCGTTGTCGTCGACTGGACAGGAGGTGAAGACGGCGTCGAGGTTGTCGGAGGGGAAGTCGATGAGGTCGTCGATTTGGTCGAAGAAGCTGCCGCAGTCTAGCTCGTCCATGAAATTCGGTGTCGGTCCAACCATTGTTGTTGCTACTTTTCCAAGAAAAAGAAAAAAAGTCTTTACTTTCCTGGGTAGGAGAAGAGAAGAAAACAGAGGAACAATTCCGGCGGAAAACCGTGAGCTTGGGGAAGTTCTGAATAATAATAAATAACAATGGAGAAAGTAGTGAAATTCGTTGCGTCCAGGTTAAGGAAATTGGAGAAATTTTTGCCGACTGGACTTAAAACTGACGCGCAAAGTATTAAAAAAGGGGGGAACAAAATGAACAGTTCCCCTAAGAAATTCCCCAATTGCGTAAAGTAGTCACCTTTATTTGCTGCTTCAGTCACTCTGTTACAGTAAACCCTTGGAAGCTCGGTGGGAATTGCGAATTTGGGTGCCTAATTAATTGAGAATTCCTGCAGGGGAGGGAAAAGCATAAGCGCCTAACTCATGAATGCAGCAAGCAATAACCCTCCAACAATGGCGTCAGAGAGGGAAAAGAAAAATGTAGGGACGGAATTGAATGCAAAGAGTTGTGTGTGGGGGGTAGAAACGAAAATGAAGGGAGAAGGGGGGTTTCGTTCTAACTTCAAATTCCTCTGCTCCCGAAACGGAAAGAAGAAAGAGAGGCGGAGAAAGGGAGAAAGGGGGGTGCGGTCCAATTTGGTTTCGGTTTCACGGGAAACAAACACTCTCCCTTAGGGCATTATTATTATCAATTAAATGGTGGAAAAGGAGAAGAGAGAAAAACTCATGGGTTTCCTCCTCTCGATGCATGGCGTGCCGACACTGCCAAATTAATTCTGTGAAGGAGGGATAAGGATAAGAAAACAGAGGAACGACAGTAGCCCTCTTTTCTTTTGTGTAGTTGGGTTAAACAAAATGCAGAGAAAATGCACCTGAAAAGGGTTGAATTTCTCTAACTACATGCAACACTCAATTCAACATTACAAACCCACAAAGGGGAAAAACTGAATCCCCAGTAAAGATTAGAGCTTTAGGGGAAGGGAGAGTTGGGGGAAACAGGGGAATCACACAACCCAAGGCCAACAATTTCCCTCCAATTGTATATCCAAATGAGACAAAAAAAAAAAACCAAATTGCAGAGCAATGAGCAGAACAGAGTAGGGAGAAAAGGAACAGTAATTGGGAGCAGGGGGGTTAAGGGTGAACAGTACCTTCAGAGAAGCAGTAGTGGTGAAGATTAGAAGAGTGGAAATGGAAGGAGAAGGTTTTTGGTGTTTGGGAAGGTTTGAGTTGTGGGAAGGAAGGGGAGAGAGAAGAGAGAGCTAAAAAGGAGAAGGGGGAATTGTACACACTAGAGAGAGAGAGAGAGGAAAGGCGAAGGAAAACGGTAGGTGAGCCTCAACCTTCATTGCTAGCTGTCTTTTACTTTCATCTTCCTTTCTCTCTCTAACCTCTCTCTTTCCAATTCACTACTGTCTTGATGTTGAAGTCTTCTCTTCTTCCCTCCCTCCCACCACTCCTCTGATCACCTTACAGGGGACCCACCACCACCTCTCCACCTCCACCATTTCCCCCCATCTCTCTCTCTCTCTCTCTCTCTAACCTTTCTCATGCGTTTGAATTCAATAATCGGAAAGAAAGAAAAGGGTAAAAGAAAAACCAGGCAACGAACAGCAACAACAGCAAATCAGAAAACAGAGCCCACGAGACCAGATCAGATTATTATTCTATTAATCAATTTTCAGTTTTTTTTTTTGGATTACCTTTTTGCTTGCTTTCTTCTCTACTCTGTTTCTGTTCTCACTCTGCCTCCTCTGTTCCTTCTTCTCCTTCTCGGGTTTTCGCCTGCTCTGCAAATTTACCCCCAAGTTAAAAAAAAAACAAGTCTGACGGTGGGTAAGAGTCTCGTTTCAGTCCGCGAAGATTCCGTTTCCTAAATCCGTATCAAAGTAACCCAACAGAGTAAACAAAAGAAGAAGAAAGGGGGGGAAAAAGAATGGATTTTTCAATTGTTCATACCCTGCTTTTTTGCTTCGCTCAGTTGCTCTCTCCCTGAATTTCTTTTAAGTTATGGTTGTCAGAAAGCTTTAACCGCCCGCCTGCCCGGTTTCTCGCTCGTCGTCCTTTTTTTTTCTTCTGAACTTATATCTTCTTTCCGTTCTTGATTCAGGTTTAGGGTTTGGTTGCCTTACTTGTTTAGGTCCAGAGAAGGTACGATGTTTAATGATGAAACCCAGAAGAATTATCTAATAATCACCACGCGCGTTATCCGGCGTCTGTGGCTCACGTGCACCGTACCCCGTCCCGTTTATTTTGACTTTCGCGGGTCCTTTTTTTCGGGCCCGCTAAGTTGTGTCATTCCCGCGTCCCGCGGCCTGAGCTGTGGCCTGATTTCGTAGCCGGTGGGAAAAAGTTGGACGGTTTATTCCCAATTTCCCCCCGTTGTAAGAGTTGGCCCGCGTTTCCTGATTTCTAGACCTTTTTTTTTTTTTTGTAATCGATGTAAAAAACAAATAACAAATTCAACTTCACAACCTTAACCCTCCTTGCCCTTTGTATCGAAAATTGCAGCAAAAAAAGTGAGAGTGATATGATGTTTTATATTGAAATCATGATTTGATCGTAGTTCAACCGTTTTGTACCGTTAACTACCGTCTATTGATTTAGTATCTGTTATGAGATTTTTTTGATCGAACCGTTTGTACGGTACCATTTTCAGTCCTTGCAAATTCGGGCCTAGAAATACGAGTATGTACTTAGGGTATCCGACATGTCCCTATTTGTTAATATTCCTAATCGATAATGCATTCGTTATTTCTCTGTTATTTTGAATTCTCGTTACTGTGTGTATAAGAAGAGTGTTTGCGCATGACGAGAGCATCAGGCGACTGTTGAAAATATAAGTACCAAAAATGTAATTGTACATATTAAGACCTTAGTCCTTAGGGTTTATGAATCCTCTATATATATGTATATGGCTCGTGTATGTTGTGTAACAAGAAGAATAAGATTGACTTGGAGAGCTTGCTCTCTCGTGGACTAGTCCTGTTGATCAGGGAAACCACGTTAAATCCGGTGTTCTTGTTTTATTGCTTGAATTTGACATGGTATCAGAGCCTTCTGTGAGCAAGAGGTCTTGTGTTCGAATCCCAATGAGCCCCCATTTGTGAAGCACATAGTATTCTTGTATTCAGACCTGTGCAAACTTCAAACCCTTGTGAGTGACTTTCGTTTGAGGGGGCATGTTAATGTGTGGTATTAGATCCATTATGGAACCTCTCCCAACAACTAGAGTTATTGGGATCAACTGGTTCTTGACAGTGACCACATACGATATGGATTGTTCGCGATACCTGAGGTTCATTAACTACTCATAGCGTAGTTGCATTGACTTTCCTTTCTAGAAATGGGAATGTAATTCATCTACCGAGTAAATGTGATTAACAAAAACTCTACTCACAAATACAATGCATATATCCTCTATTGGCGTACAAGTAGCTGAAGCAACTACATTACATATGATCCCTGCACCGATATTAAAATTGCCATTATGGGACCTTATGGCAGCTATATTCAATTTCTTCTGCAGTCTGAGCAGCCGGAGAAAGCTTTCTTTTCATCAGATGGCAAAACATCGAGTAATTAAGGCACTACCTAGTGGGTACTCTGTTTCACGTTCTGGGTCATTTCTCATCTCTTAAAAAGATTCAACATTTGCCATTTTGATCACCAACTTTCCACGGGATGACATTTCTGGTCCTCAAAGTGACTTATCAGCCATGAAACCTCAGAGAAAGAAAACAGGGAAAGGAAATTTGATGTGCCATATTCATATTGGTGGCTTCATATATGAGGAATGAATGAATGATGATGATGGAGTTGGGATGTGGCATGTGGCTGTGGTCTATCTATCTTGCTCCACTTTCACAACAACACTCTTCTTCAGTCTTCACTCTCCTCCAATGGGGGAAAAGTTGGTTGCTAGTTGCTGCAACCTCTTCCCTCTTATCTTTTGCCACTCAATTCTTTTGGCAAATAACTTGAAATGTATTCTTTGCATCAAACCCTTGTAAAATACTCTCTGTTTCTCAGTTCTCACTCACTACCCTCAACAGACACTTCCCCCCACTAAGAAAAGGGGTTTTTCTTTTTCTTCACAAAGAGAAAAGATCATGAAATATTCTAAGGGAGCCATGGTTTGTAACCCTATTGTTTCCTTTTTGTATCTTAACTTGGGTTGCACTCCATGGATCTCTCCCTTAACAAAGACTTCTTCTTTATTGTATCTAGCCAGTACTACTCCCCTGTCTTTTTATCTGTGTTGAAAAGTTAGAGAACAAAGGAAATTCCTTTTGGTCCAACCCCAACACATGTATGCTTTAAACAGTAGTCACTCAATCTTTCTCAATTACCATAGAAATGTAACGACTGAATTAGGAATGGCAATGGATCAGGGTCGGGCCGGATCGGGTATTTCGATACCCATACTCGTTCCGTGGCAGGTCAGGTTCAAGTCGGGTAATATTTGATGGGGCGCGGGTCGGGGTAGGTAGATCCAATGAATATGTAATTTATGAGAAAAACTTAACAAATATTCATTATTTTCATTAAAAGACCAAGAAATAAACCATAATATGATAAAATATAGTTAATGTATTGGACAAATTGAGGTTTTCACTTATTTATAAATTTATTATAGCTAAAATATGAGGAAAATTCTAAGTAATTTGACTAAGATTATATGTAATTTAGGCAAGAACGGGTCGAGAATGGGGCGGGTCAGGGCAGGTCGGGTCGACGAGAGGTACCCATTCCCGCCCTGCCCCTCCTACGAGACGGGTCGAACCCGTCCCAAAACAAACCAAACAGGTCAGGTAAAACGGATCAGGTCGAAATTGCCCTAGACTGAATATATATTGTAAAAAAAAAAGGAAGAGCAATTAGCTACGTGGTGACAATCTTTGCAATCAAGTTACACATTCTTTTACTTGTCAGTATCACAAACAACATTACACACTCTCTCCATTACAATCCCCTATGGCTACCTCAATCATCAATCATGTATGCGTGTGTGGTTTTCTTTTTTCCCCCTTGGAAGAAAAATGATCAATCTATGTGTCGGTAATGAGGAAAATTGGGGGAGGAAAGTGAAGAAGAAGGCGACATTGACCCTCCATGCATGTACACAATAAACAAAATATAGAGCCAGCAACCCCATGGCATGGAGGTTGCACATGGAGTTGTGCCCTAACAAGACCATCAAGCATGCATTTATTGAAAAAGATAGCATGGGGGCTTGGAGCTACAATTTTCTTTCTTTTATTCTTTTTCCAAATCTCATCAAAAAAATTTCCCTTTTTGTGTGAGAGTGATTGTTATAACTTATAAGAAACGAAGGAGATGATCGGTTGGACACATAGAATCACCAAATCAAGTTACAATAGTGGTTGGGTGGTTCACTGCTTTGCGTTCAAATTGATTAGTTATAACTTTTGATGGGTATAGTATAGATAACAGTTAACCGTTAAACCATAAATCACTACCTTTTTCGATTCATCGTCTGGTTCGATTAAGAAAACTGAAGTAATCCCTCATCAAATTCGGGTTCCCTTTTTGTGAAAAGTGATCACCAAAGGGAAAACATAATAGATACAAAAATACAAAATATTTCAAGTTCAAATCACAAAACAAAAGAAGAAAATATTGATCCCGATTCAGCGATACAGGAGCTTATTTTACCCCAATTATGAACAACCATGTCCTTAACTTAGACTCTTGCTTATGTATTGCATAAATATATAATAGAAATTCGAGTAATTGTTGCTTTGATTAGTAGCAAATCCCTCCAGACATGGACATAATTGCACAACAACAGCAACATATATCGTTTAATTATATAATTAATAGCATGTGAGATATCATCATTGTTATATTAATGAATATCTGGTTTGGTCACTTTCGTGCCACTTGTTCTGTTTAAGGCTACTAGCCCAATTTAAAATGGGCTAGAGATCTAAACAAGCACCTAATCAAACTTTTATTTATGGGCTCCCCCCCTCTTGTTTCTGTTTTTACACCGACACTCAAGTGCCCAACAAGTAAGCCCATAAGGCCCAATCAAAAAGAATGCGAGATGAAGCTCAAATGGATGAGACAAAGCTTTCAGCACATTTGATCACTTGGCTACTAGATTTCTTACACATCTGTGCATGTTTTGAGACATGATAAAACACAGCACATGAAACACCAAGAGTCATCGCTCGATTCTGTCTGACAACCAGATCAGTCCCTGCTCAATACAGAATGTACAAAACGAAAGAAACCCATTTAAGGACAAGAAAGATGGGGAGGAGGAGAAGGGAGTGGAGTTGGCCATGGCGGGTTTTCACATACGATGGTCGATTCTCTGAGCAGATTCTTCTCTGGGTTGTCCAAAACTCCAACAACCTTCAAAGTCCCGCTCCTTAGGTCCAACAGGCCAACCGACTCCTGAGTCTTGAGGTACACCAGCTCTGGATCATGCGGGTTCATAGCCAGGAATGTGTTCCATGTAATTGTGGCAAATACAGGCTCCCGGCCCCCTGGCCTGTAAATCTGCATCATATCAAACTCCTTTACCATCTCCCATTCCGTCCCTCCTGAAGCTCTGTAAATCTCCAGCGTCAACCAAAAACGGAGCCTCCCACCCCAGAGGCAGCCATTGCTCACACATACAGCATCCAGAATCACCACCTTTGGAACAGTCCTGCTAATACGAACAGTCCTGCGAGTGGGACCAATCACAGCATCAACCACATTCTTGACGGGGTCATATACGATTGCCTGGGTTCCCTTCAGCAACCAACACAGGCGGGGGCCGTCATTCTTCTTCGACAACAACGTGACCGCGACAGTGCTGCTTAGCGGTGAATCATCATCATCTGGCCCAATCGGCCGTGGGAGAGACGACACTGTGACAGCCGTCCACTCCCAGGACTGAGACGAGAACACCTGCAGCTCGAGGGAGCGTCGACGAGGAGACTTCAATTGGAGGCGCACGATCTTGAACCAGCAATTACCACCGCTGGAATCGAAGCCGGAGACAAACCCCGCATCGGCGGCGTGAGGGGAAATCGAGTGCTGCGAGGAGGGGAAAGGGGGCGGCGGCGGGACTTGAAGCCACTGCTTGGTGTGCGGGTTGCAGACCACATAAATGGTGGGAAATCATCAAACACCGGCTCCAGATCGAATTTGGATCGTGGGTTTGGTGTGTGAAGGAGAGGGGCGCAGAGGATTAGGCCGTTGGATGAACCCAGGATCAAATCCCTAGTCGTGTAAACACCAGGCGGGTGCTTCTCCTGCTGTTTCCTGTTCTCGTCATCGGCTGCTGCTCGTCGGAGAAGACGATGGTACTTACCAGATCCGTACAGTTGTGCGAATCCCGGGACGAAGTCGAGCGAGAATGCGAGCCTCTTCTTCTTCTTCTTGTCCTGGTTGCTCCCAGTAATGGGGATCAAGATTGGGGATCTTTGTTGGGGATGGGCTTTGAGGTGGCAACTGAGGCTGCTGGTACTGCTCTGCTTCTTCTTTGTGTAGCAAGAAGGAAAGAGAGGGTTTTGGATGAGAGACCGCCAGAGTTTGCAGACTGATTTCCCGCGGAAGATATGATCCAGGGGAAGGCGTAGCAAAATCTCCGTCAGTAACTCATCCCCAAGAACATCGTTAATTGAACAGCAAGGATGCGCTCCTCCTCTGCTACTCTTCTTTCTTGCCCTTCCCTCCTCTGCTTCTTCCATCCAACCCTGGGAGGAAAGCTAACAAGTCTTTCGCTGCGATTTAAGAAGAGAGCGAGCGAGCAGAGAGATTGGTTCGGAGGAAGACCTGGAGAAGAAAGAAGACGGAACAAATCGAATCTGGAAAGTTGTTATTTTTTTATATAGAGGGACAGGAGGCGGGCTGGACAGCTAAGTTGTTCTAATCGGACTAGGATTTCATAGTAGGCCCGGCCCAGTAATTAGCCCAACAGCTAGCCGCGCATACTCGTACAAACATCTTGCTAACATTTATTAACTAGCACAGGAACAGGCCCGTTGACATTTTGTCGAGAAATATGATATATAATAATGAATAGATAATAGAGGATTTGAAATGCAGAAAATGATTGTTTTCTAACTTAATTATGCACATAACATTTTTGAAAGTGATCCAACTATGCATAATGTGTTTATACCTCCATGAAAAGAGAAAAATATAATATAAGCATGACTTATAATTATTGAATGAAAAAAAATATAACTAATTCTCATCCATTGCTTAATTAAACTATATAGTTGAATATTAGAGTTGTTTCTCATAATACATACATAATCAACCTTTAAGATGAAAGAAAATGCCTCTCATAGTGTTTAGTACGTCCTTTAAGTTTTTCACAATAGAGAGCATTCTTTTTTCCCACACCATTGGTAATGAATCTGAAGTTGTTTGATTTGAAATATATAGGACATGATGATAAATTGTCGTTAATAGTTGGTTGGACAATGTGTTGTGGATGGATTTCCAAAATTATTCTCAGATCACAGACAGGTCTAACAACAGTGTAGTAATTTTCATGCAACAAATATTTTTTTCATGAAATAATTCAATAAATAAAAACCATGAAAATCATATTACATGAAATACATAGTACTCATTAAGTTGATGAATGAGCAAGGGTATAAGTAACATACATTTATTTTAAAAATATAGAAGTTGCAAAGTGTCTTTTGGGTTGAATTATATCGCATATTCTCATTATCGCTAACTGACTTATGCTTTTTTTCAATAGATAGTTCAAAATGTGCCTTAAAACTTTTGTTTCCGCCAGTGTAAAAGAATTGTTTGAACCAAATGATTACAGTAGTATAAAAAAATTTGTTAGCAGAGTATTTTATACTGAAATCATAATTTAACTGTGGTTCAACCGTTTCATATTGCTAAATATCACCCATCGATTTAGCCTATGGCATGAAATTTAATGGTCGAACCACCAGTATGTACAATCTTTCAATTCAAAATTTAAATAAAAAACCACTAAAATATTGACATGATCAAATACCCTTAAATCTCATAAATTACCATATTCGTATTAAGGAAAAAAATCATCCAAATGATAACACTGATTTAGGATTTTATGGGGTCATTTGGAAGTTGCGATTGTTAAGTTGATATTTTGTTGTGAATGCATGTATAATATTATATATGTATTGTCGTTTTAGATGCATTGTGTATGTCACATAAGCTAAAAGTTGAGACAAAACAATCCCAACTCAACTATCTCAACAATAACAACTAAAAGTTGAGATATAACAATCACTCATTTTGATTGATAGTTTCGGTCACATCACATACGTAATCCATGTATTGGTTCTACTAAAAAATATAAAAAATGATGCATTCTAAACAATACATGTATAGTAACAATTTCAACAAAACAATCGCAACTTTCAAACGACCCTTAATTGAAATGGAAAAAATCTATCAAATATAATGTCATCTCCTAAAATAAATCAAAACTCACAGAGCCAAGAATACCCAATAAGCAAAGCAGACAGACAATTATTTCACACTACCTCATTTGCCCCCTCATTTAAATATGTCCTCTCACTCTCTCTTATGCCTCGTTCACTTGCCATTTTGTTTTCTGTCTTCTGATGTGACAACAAAAATAAAAAATAAAAACAAATTGTAAGAAATATGTTCACTTGCAATTTCATTATCGTTGGAAAAAATCACGGGAAATAAAAGAGGCAGTTGGGCGGAAACAATAAAACATCCTTTGCTGGAAAATGAGAGACGGATTTCCCCCGTTGCCCATTGGGTTATGCCCCCATTCCTTTTAATGAGCCCAACATTCGAATCCATCGGCCACATTTTTTTCTCCTTTTGTTCACTTAGACCAACAACGTCGTTTTGCTAACCCCAGATCCCATCGTTCTTCTCCCAGCCTCCCCAAACTCGACCTCCCCATCGAACGAAGATGCTAAAGTCCGCCTCTTCTTCCTCTAGCGGAGGGAGAGAAGATCGATCAGGCGAACTCCTTCTCTAGTCGGCGAAGCTCTAGCGGCGAAGGACGGGTTTGCTTTGAGATGCCAGCAAGTATTACCCTTCCACCGCTAAGTTAATCATTCTCAAGGGCTTAGATCCTCGAGGTCATATCAACAGGGGTGTGGATTAGGCTGGATGAGACAGTGATGGCTACACTTGCATAGCGGGTCCTCGATAATCCTCTTTGTTTTTCCATTTGTTCTTCCATCTCTCTCTCTCTCTCTCTCTCTCTCTCTCTCTCTCTCTCTCTCTCTCTCTCTCTCTCTCTCTCTCTCTCTCTCTCTGAGTTTTGTATCTCACCACTCTCCCCCTTTCCTTCCTCTTTCTTCCCACCGCCTGGAATTGAGAGAAACCTAGAAACATCCCAATAAATTATCCAATTTTGCGTTCAAAATGCTTTTTCTCCATTCACAATCGATAGTGTGAATCAAAGGACCTGAAACCTAGCAAACAAATGGCCGCTTATTCCTCTCACATGGCGCATTTCTCCCTAAAACATGAGTGCACCAATATAGACTATGTGGTGCTCGCACTTGTGCGCGAGCGCTTGAAGTTTAAGTCAGGTACGACCCATGAAGCATCCATACTTGTATAGGGCCGGTCCATATACATTGTCTTCATGGTATGCTCTAACTCTGTCATGCTAGCTCGACCATGTGCCTGCGTATAGTTACATGCATTCTAATAATTAAGTTTTTATCTATTCGCAATACCAAGATAAAAAACAATCATAAATGCACCCATTATTTGATTTTGACTACATGATAAAATACTACATTTGAACCAACTACCAATGATGCCACAAATAATAAGTATATCATTAAATCATATATAAAATATTTCAAACATCACAAATATTAAAATTAAATTAATTATTATAAAGCGTAAAAATTGTATAATGAGGTTAATTATAACTCATTTATATGTTAATGCCCTTAAATTGATCAACACACCCAAAAATGGAAAAATGAACATCACATTAAACCTAATATCGTCTCATTATTGTTGGATCCATTCATGCCAAATTAGCAAGAGGTTTAATGTAAAGCAATTAACCAGGCTAAAATTTTAGAGAACCAGTCACCTATAGTTTGTATAAAATATTATTGCTTCGTAGTATTTCTGAAAATTTATATTAATTAAATAATTCTACAACTTGCATATTCAATACTGCAATTCGATATGCAATATCTCAAGCATTGAAATTTGTGTTGCAATTTTAAGATTTACCCGTCATTTTATTGGTTATAAAAAAGTTATAAATCACGTATTAAACTTTGCTTTTAAAATATTTAATAGGCTAGCTAATCGTGATGGAAAGTTCCTATACTTTTCAAATATTCGTTAAGTGTATGCTTAAAATTCAAGAAGATAAAACAAATTTGTTTAGTGTAATTGGTTGTGATTGTTGTTTTTTTAAGAGACCATGGTTCAAATCTAGATGTTGATACTTTTTTAGAGGAAGTAGATAAATGATTGCGTTGAAAAAAAAACTCTTCCTACTTTCACTCTCGTTTCACGAAATTGGAAGTGAAAAATCTTAAAACATTGAATATATCTTATAGAAAGAGTTTTTTCAACAAGGTAAGAAGGGCATTTTATCTGAAATTATTATATCTTATAGAAGTGATTAATTGTGAAATCGGAACTCAAGTAACATTGATTCAAACATTAAATATTAAATGTATGTGTGGTACAATTTAGATAAAATACAAGTGTGTACTGTGTAGCGAAAACATGGGTATTCGTGACATATATAGTAACTTTTTGTGACAAATATACACATAATATAAAGATAAATTTGGCACTATGACGAAAAAAGAGGTTCGTAGAATCACTCTCAGTCCAGGAAATTTTAAAAAAGACTCTCATTTTCCAATTTTATCATTATATTATATATAGATTTGTTACAAAAAAATGGTTATACTCGTTACAAAGGTCCATGTTTTGGTTACACTTCTGTATTTTGCCTAAACTAAACTACACATTCAATTTAATATTAATGTTTGAATCAATACTATTTGAGTTTTGATTTCAGAACTAATCTCATTCTATAAAATATAAATAACTTAAAGATAAAATATAAATATAGAAGCATCATCACCAAACATATTCCTAGAGTTTAATCAAAGAAATAACAATAAATAAAATATAGCCTAGTTGGTTATAATGCTCTTTTTCGTTTAATTGACCCAGGTTCGAACTCCAATGATAACATTTTTAATGTATAAAGATAAAGTGGGTGCAATGACAAAAATGACCTTCCTAAAATCACTCTCAGGCCACGAAATTTGAAATGGGAGAATTTCAACCCATGTTTTGCTTTTATGTATCTTGTAGATAAATTACTTAAAGATAAAATATAAATATAGAAGCATCATCACCAAACATATTCCTAGAGTTTAATCAAAGAAATAACAATAAATAAAATGTAGCCTAGTTGGTTATAATGCTCTTTTTCATTTAATTGACCCATGTTCGAACTCCAATGATAACATTTTTAATATATAAAGATAAAGTGGGTGCAATGACAAAAATGACCTTCCTAAAATCACTCTCAGACCACAAAATTTGAAATGGGAGAATTTCAACCCATGTTTTGCTTTTATGTATCTTGTAGATGAGTGGATGGTGGGGTAAATGCAAAGTTTGGTCACTGAATTTTCTAAAACATGTCATGTTTAGTCACTGGAAAAAATAAATATCAATTTTAGTCACTCGAATTCTTAAAACGGTCCACATTTAGTCTCTCTCCGTTAACTTTAACTAATGTAGCAGTCAACCCTAACAGTTGATCGTTAAATGTCTGACGTGGCAATTAAAAAATTAATAAAATTTAAATTTTTATTATTTTCACAGCATTAAAATAATAAATTAACTTAATAAAGAAAAAAAATCCTTCGCTTTTCTTTCCACCACCGTTGTTGAAGGAGATGTTTTCTCTGGTGCGATGACCGACAGTGTCTCCGAGAATAATGCGGTCAAGGTCACCTAAAGAGGGATTTATATTAAGTAATTATGTAGGTGTTCCCTAGTCACGAGGAGAGAGAGAGCTCCCCCTATAATTACCGGCTAGCTGCTACTGCATAATCTACACTCGACTGAAGATCAAGAATGCCATTTAGGCAACTGAGCGGCGCCCTCCCCTGTTTCCTCTCTGTCGCGTGCTTTCCTCGTGCTCAGCTCCTCCTCCGGTGAGACCCTACTTCTCCGCCTTCTACTCATTCAATTTTCATAGGGCTATACTATTATTCCAATGTTTGATTTCTGATTCAGCTTTTTTTCATAAATGCATTCCTCCAGAGTTTTGTTGGCTCGGCGCACGGTGCTGCTGCAAGGGTCTTAGTCTCGGCTTTCAGTTGCGGCGAGGAGACATAAGGCCGCAAAATGGGCCGTCGACTAGCTCTCCACCGCCACCGAGTGGACCGCCAAAGCACGGACGGTGGTGGACCGTATTGTTTACCTCTTCAAACACTGGCCGAAGCGCACCGCGACGAAGTGGTGAAGGAAGATTCCTGGAATTTTCCAGATCCGGCGCTGCCGACGGGAACGGTGATCAAGCCGTTGCAGCCCTCTTCACAGACCACCAAGAGCTCCGACGCCGTTGGGACAAACAGCTTCGTCGCGTCGGGCGGAGGACTCTGTCGGTGTCGTTGCCTCCACCAACGCGGTGGAGCTCACTACTACCCAGGCCTTTGAAGCCGCCAACAACGGTTTAGAGATTTTGAAAGGTCATTTTGAGGATCTATCGCCGGGTCAAGAGACCATTTTTGCTCTCATCGGTCACCGCACCGGAGAAAAGATCTTCTTCAACAACGGTGGTGGAAAGAAAATCGGAGGAATTTTTTATTTATTTTAATTTATTATTTTAATGATGTGGAAATACTAAAATAATTAAATTTATTTTTTATAATTTTTTAATTGCCACGTTAGACATTTAACGATAAACTATTAGGGTTGACTGTCACATCAGTTAAAGTTAACGGAGAGTGACTAAATGTGTACCGTTTTAAGAATTCGAGTGATCAAAATTGATATTAATTTTTTCCACTGACTAAACATGACACGTTTTGGAAAACTCAGTGACCAAACTTGGCATTTATCCATGAATGGTGATAGGTGTTACTGAAGCGATTCGATATGGTATGTAGATTCTAAACATGATCTCTTGAGAATATACAAAATTGTCCCACCCCAAGAGAAGATCGTTGGCAGAGCTACTACAACACTTTTTTCTTAAAACAACTTATTGAATTGGTTACCTCAAGAGAGGTATCAAACCGATCATCATTAGTATGTACAAACAATTAGCTAGCTCAACATCCTATAAGAGAGATTAAGGGAGAAAGAGAAACGTTCTTTCTTCATTTATCTCCTCTTCAGGATTCATAGTTTCTCCCTCATGCTAAGCCTTAATCACCCATAAAACATATACAGAGGATTTACCATGAATCAATGATGATTAATACATTGATGTGAATTGATGATTGTCGATGATGGTTACTGACTAGTGTGAGATCATTAGATGGTGTTGGTGGAGGAGAAGGAAAAGATGCACAATTTTGCAAAATTTGGGAAAAATAAGTAAAGTTGAACTAAAGATTTGAATGTAAGATTTTAAAGATTTTAAGGATTAAAATCGGGAATGGAGTAGGATTTTAAGGTATATAGATTTTATAGTGAAATCAGAATCGTAATAAGTTCATAAAATCGTATGATTTAAATCGGGATTTTGACTGCTTTGGTTGAGTGATTATTTTGTAACTGACCCTACTCTATAAAAGGAGAAATCAACTACTGTAACTGGATGTCGAATAGAACTGGATTCCAATTATCCAAAAAAAAAAAAAAAGAGGAAAGAATAGAATCGAATTCCAATTCTTCCTCCACCCTTCCATTTGTTCTTCTTTTCTTCTCCTCTATATCGATCCTTACTTCCTTCTTCAAAGCTCTCAATTCCTTCTCAATTCAGCAATTGTCATCCTCATTTGTCAAAATTGATTTCGTCATCCACCGAGTCATTACACAAAATGCCCGCAGCAAGGAAGCCCTCATCTTGTCCTCCTCTTCTCACCAGTCAGCTCCTCCGCATGATGGCAGGTTTATTATTAACGTGGGAGATAATGTGTTCGCCATCTCACAGAATTTGTTTAGTGTCAAAGAGATGTAACTGCCATGGACATGTAACAATTAAAAAGTAATTTAATGTCAAACCAAAAAATTACGAACATAACTTCAATGCTAACGTGAAATATTTTAGTTACTTAAAGTCCTTTCCTTTTATATTTTCAAAAAATATTTATTTATTTATTATTAAGAGATCAAATGTGCATCCACAAAGTTGCTTTCACGTCCTTCCTCACCATCGTAAGAAATCAAAGTCACCTTCGTCCTAGACAAATTTCTTGACCAAGATCCCCTCACCAGTCTCCTCAAGATTCTTTTACCATTTCACAACAGTGTCATTATCCGGAACTCGATGGTCTTCGCTACAACATGGTCGGCGGCGAAGTAGTGATTATTAAAAGCACAAAACAAAGTAGTGTTTCGCGATCTTACGTGGAAGACAGTTTAACAGTAAGTCCACCGAAGTTTACGTGGCAATGGATATATTCTAAAACGATTTTAATATATATTTACTAGCTTTGTACCCGCCATTTATAATCTTTAAAATTATATAAAGACTTTGACATGATGGTAGTAGTCCACGTACGATTTCTCCAGTTATATATGATGGTAACTATTTTCTTTTAAAGGTGGATAGCAAACTGATAACTCAAAATTTTAATCTTTAATCTTGTTAGTAGTAGCTTTCAAACAAATATCAACCGAAGAGGAATAAGTTTTGTAGTCACAAATTGCTTCTTTTCTTTTAGTTGAAATAGAAAGGTCTTTCAAATGTTTGATAAACTTGAAAAGATTTGGGCCAACTTGAATAGGATGAGAAACACTAATTTGTCATTGGTTTTTTCGACAAAGTATTTAATTATTTTTTTAAGAAACCCCTTATAATTTTTCTTCTTCATATATCTAAGTTTTGAGGTAAAAAGAAACTCAGCAAAATAACGAATATAATTAAGAGCATCAAAACCCATACAATTGAATATGTTGTTCCCATTGTTACCTCTCAATTTATGCAATCAAACTCATGTTAATTTCTTAGTATCTATATCTAACACAAAAGAAGATCCCGAAGAATCCTCTTCTTTCGCATCTTTATCGTCGTTGTCCGAAAATTACAGAGGTAGAAGCAATGTATAATTTTTAAATTAGTATTAATTTTCAGCTCGGTTGACCACTTGCCTTAAACCTCTTGCTAATCTGATATGATTGGATCCAATACAGTCAATTTCAACCTGCGATGATTCGAGATGGTTTGGATTACAAGGAGGGTAATTGATTATGGCGATTAATAAGGGATGAGAAAATATCAAGAAAGATATCAGGAAAATATGAAGAGAGAGAAAGAGGGTATGAGTGTAGGAGGCTAGTTGGACTTAGATATGGAACGAATTCAGGTTGTTTTTTTTGACAAAAAATAATCACATATATTGATTGAGAAAGAGATCATTACATCTTGGAATTTAACTAGACCATAAAATAAATAAAAACGACACGTAGTCGGATAGAAAGTGAAGGGCCTTCCGAGCCTCAAAATAGGCTACCCTATTGTTACTCCGACCTACAAATCGTACATTAAACCCAGTGTGAGCAACCAAATATCACAAAATTTCTTCAAAGAAGGCACCCGCTCGACTGTCGCGGGCATCAACTCGAATGACTTAGACAGTAATAACTTTGGCGCCACCTTCCAACCTTACCTCCGAGAAGTCATTCCTGAGGTACCATCAGATAGCCTCGCGGAGAACTAGAAGCTCGACCACCATCGGGTCATCAATCGCATCAAATTGAACCCTCTTGCCAAGATGACCACCCTCTCCTGGTTTTTTATAACCATCCTCCCTGCCGAGTGAGACCCACTCTTTGCTGCCCAATCCCACATGCAAATAATTGAATTAGGATTAAACAAAGCCACATGACTCCCTCGTGGGATGGAAGGTCGTACTATGTTGTCCTTAGGCAAAATGTGTATTAATTCATGCTCTCTCTAGAGACTATGCCAATATTTATACTAGGAGAGTCAAGTTAAACATCATTAATGCTAAGTTCAGGCACATAGTGTGATGTCTGGGCGCTCTGCGATCATTTAATAATTGTTCATGTGCATGTCTATTTGTGGCACTCTATTTGTCATGTTAAGTGGTCTCAATATTCGTTATAACTTAAAATGTCTGAACATCAATCTGACGAACCAAACTGACATGTGGCCTTACGGTTCAGGAGTTTCCTATTACTGTTTTTTCCGGTATAAACTCCGATACGACATCACAATCTTCCGTTATTGGTATTAGTTCGTTGAAATTTAGTAATGCATGTGATAATCAAAGTTGGATAACCAATGCATTTATTAGGTGCCTCTTACATTAATATTAGGAATGAGACAATGAGTAGAGACTTATTTATCAGAATGTGAATAACTATATAATTTTTAAACATTTTCATTTCTATTTTGATTATTTAGTCACACAATTCGAGGAATAAGTGTAGGACAATCAAGTGCAGAACAGTCGAGCAAAGAATGAGCTTCACGATGAAGTTCATACGAACGAACCACTCAACCTATCAAGCTTCCTCTCGGAATGCCTCTGGAATTCGTCATTGGTAAGAATCGCGCCACCACTTTCCAAATCAACCATGCTGTTGCTCCTCAACACGCGTTTATTGAGATGAAACTCTTTGGATTCGAGATTGGGGGAGTAACAAGTTTGTAAGAGTTTGAGGGCGCGCGGAAGACAAAATCTAACAATGTAAGACGATGAATGGAGAGCACAAGAGAAGATCGTTGGCAGAGCTAAACATGATCTCTTGGAAGATCAATCAAATTTCTTTCTCTTTTCTTCTGGGCAAAGCCCATAAAAGGAATCAACTAAACACGATCTCTTGAGAATATACAAAATTGTCCCAAGAGAACTGTTTTTTTGTAACAACTTACTGAATTGGTTAGCTCAAAGGAGGTATTATACCGATCCTCGGCCTAAACAAATAATTAATTACCTCAACATCCTACAAGAGAGATAAGAGAGACAGAGAAACGTTCTTTCTTCATTCATATCCTCTTCAGAATCCATTGTTTCTCCACCATGCTAGCCTCCATCACCCATAAAAACATCTACAGAGGATTCCCCATCACAACACAGTCACTTTTACACAGCAACTGCTTTTCCCACGTCGAGATTGTTGAGTCGACATGTTCCCAGGAGGAGCTCTGGTAGCTCTTCCTCGGTGTTGGCCTGCAATCATGAAGAGAATAAAGATCCTACATTTCACCCTTAACCCACTTGAGAAACTGGTATAAGATGATGTTTTGATAAGCAAATTTACCTGAATTAGGAATGCCATTTCCACGACCAGATTGGTCATGTAACCATTAACAAGGCTGACCACACCTCTAGCAACAGTTGATGATCCCACATCAATTGCAAGCTGCATGCCAGTACAATGATACATTAATTCGAATACGTTTTCAGCCCGTCTGTGTTAAAATCTCGTCACATTGGTATCACTATCAGTAATGGCTTTATTACCTCCAAGTAGTTCTTGCCACGGTGGTAATGGATTTCAAGTGCTTGGCCAACCAAGCATGATTTCTTCCCAACACTCTGCTTCACAATCCAAGATCCCTGCCACAAACAAAACAAATTCATTACAACCATGCGTGTTTGTGTGTGTGTGTGTGTCTTGACGAAAAGAAAGATCGTAATTTGACTTGGGAACCAACCTTTGGGATGAAAGGAATGAGCTTGAACCTGGAGTTTCTATAAGCATCATCTCCATTGACAAAGCTGTTCAACAATGGTTGTTCTTCCAAAGGTGTTTTCAGCATGTAGTATAAGGCTAGGGTGTAAACTGGTACACCAGGAACCTGATTGTTCATGAATAAATGTAACAAGGATTGAGTAGACAGTGCGATTAATGTATGATTAAGGATAAATCTGGCATTTTGTGCATCTAACCATTAGAGTACTCTAATTACCTGAATGTTGACAATGAAGAAGAATTCTGGCCTATCCTGTACTGCATACTTCTGCATATACAAGCCACAACATGAATTAGTAATTTACATGCTTATAATTGAAGCTTCTTTTAGGATCATGTATAATATACCTGAACAATGCCATCGGGTCGGCTTCCAAGATCTTGCTCCCACCGGTCCGACTTTAGCCAGTCTGCACCTACCAGCTGCATCAGTGTTCCTTTTGCCTTGACCTACAAGCAACCAACAAAAGAAACCAGTTCACTAATTAAGTACAATTAAGAGTCTCGTTGTTTTTCAAAACATTCAGACAATGTGAATATTTTATTAGGAGTAAAACCTTTTGATTGTCTTTTAAATAGTTTTGGCCACGGATCAAGAATGTCGAAGGATCAGCAGATGACCAACTGCATGGGCAAGAACCATTTGCATCCTTTTGCAGAGTTGATCCATATGAACAGAAGTTACTTTTATCTTCAGATGCTTCTTGTAAATCCACATAACCCTTCTTATGAGCTGCATTAGATTTTTACCACAAAAACTTTTGTTAAAAAAAAAGTTCACAAGCATAACACATCAGGTTATCATCCCTACTAACTAACTACAACATGTTAATCAAATGTCTAGACTAGAAGAGGGACAACAAAGAAAGACTAACCAGCAAAGTCATGCAATTTCTTCACAAGACCAGCAGCAGACGAGAACGCAGGTGTGGGATCTATATCCTGCAGAATACGGCAATGGAAGGGCTCAAACTGTGGTTTATCATATAAATTCCATATGCAAAACAAATGTTCCTTTTTATTGTGAGTAACTACCGGGGCACAATTTGTTGGTGTCTCTGAGGAAGACCACTCAACCTCTGAGTGATCAAATTCAATGAGTTCCTGGTCAGGAACATCAAAAAACTCATCGGAGCAATCGTCGAGAGCCACCAAGCTAGTGTACATGGATCCCTTCTTCTTCCCAGATTCCACATCGGTTGAAGTACCATGATCCAGCTGTGTGTTGTTTTCTAAAGCGTTGCCTTCATCTAGAGTAGCTTCATGGGGTTCAAAAAGGGACACGTTGCGAGGAGGGCGCTGCAGCTCTCTGGAGAAGGAACATTTGCCTGCTTTGGCTCTATACATCTCTCTCAGTGCTGCAACTCTTTCAACCATACGGATGGTTATCGATTTGGTAGAAGCTGGACGTAGATAGAGTTTCCAGAACCTCCAGTCCGCGGCAAGCATGTGCTTTACAAGCGTGCGGTTGCCTTCGTCTATGGGAGTGATCACATATCCACCACCTGCATATTCGAAAGCCACATCAAGATGTTAAAAGTATTAAACTTACAGATCAAGAAATGTGTACTCTTTAGAACGTATGACTCCTACTTTTAAGGCAAGCTCGAACATAGCCCTTCTGTGGTGGACATTTCTTGTGAATCACGGAATGGTATAGAATTACTGCAATGAACCAAAAGTCGAGAGCTCATTAGAGATGGAATGATATGATCTTTTATGGCAACATTATGCCATTTCTGCATTATACTGTTTACTTGGACAACAAGGTACCATATGTTCCATCGTCCTCTCTTCTCCAATATCTTCGCAACAACAAGTCCCTTCGTCGCATCCCCCTTTGAAAAAGAAACAAAATAGAAAAAACAGGAAGATCAGAAACACATTCACAACATATACAGAGGTTCATTATGCACAAGACAGGTTGTGGAGTTGTGAGTTTAACAACCATGGGAGCCACTCGCTGTAGAGCTGTTTATGGATTATATCTGTATGACCATCCAGATGTTCGACTACACTGCCTCTATAGAAACAAAAGTCCCATCTACAAGAAAGAAAGGTCGATTTAGTAATTCGGTGCCTCACAGGGAGACTACTGGACTAGAACCTGAAGCTTTTCTCAGGTAAGCCCAGCTGCTCAACTATTACGATTACAAACAAGCTTGCTGTTTATGTGATATCAGATCTTACTCTGATCTTGATGGACCGAGAGACATCACAGACCGGAAAATGGCTTCTGATGTTGCATCAACCACACCAACTCCCATGATTGCTGGATTGTCATCCCACCTCTAGATATAAGAAGCATCATATTCAATTCCAAAAGTACACAGTAAATCTCAAATGAAAGAAACTAAAGAAGAAGGCACAGTACCCCGTCTTGCGAACATGTATCTTTGGCTTCTCTGAAAAGGCGCAACCCTGTAAAATAAATGTTCAACTTTGGTATTAGAAAGAAGCAGATTTCACCAGAAATGCATAATCTCCTGTCCCTGCAGAAGCATGTATTTCACACAAACGACCACAGCTCTTTACCATTTTGACAGCCAAATATTTTCCAAGGTGAGGGTGCAATGACATCTGATGTCATTGCCTCAGTACGCAATGTTGAGTAATAGTCTATCGACCTTTTCGACTCTGTTCTTCTCAAAAAACTTAGTCTGCCATGGAGAAAAGTTGCAGAAAGACATAAGACATTTAGTCAATAAGTCCTGGAAGCAAAGCAATTTACGATATATACCTCAAGGGAGGCCACTTGCTCTTGGAGATGGCCACAAATTCCTGTGTTGGATGTGGACTTTCCTTTAAGACAGCATTCTTTAGGGAAGAAATCCATCTTGCAGCTTCTTCTGAACTACTAGCTCCCAACTGTTTAAAACCATATTGCCTCAAAGTTAGTTATGCAGTTCGATAAAAATGCAGTGTTGGTTGCTAGAGGCTACTTACAAAATTTACAATTACCTTAAGCTGGTCATTATGGTTTAGGGTACTGTAAAGTGTGAAAATGTAGAAGACCTGCAAGTTGAGTAACAATTAGACACTTCTGTTCGAGGCGCAATGAAGGGTTCAATCAACCTGATAAACAAAAACAGGATATGAGACATCACTTTTCTGTTGATGTTCTCTCTTCCGTTGTCTGTGACCCGAATGCAAGAATCAATGGTTGCACTTCTAGTCAATTCCTGCCAAAAAAAAAAAGGAAAGTTTTAGCTAGTTATTTGCAGTTTCATTATGGAGGTCATATTGCTTTAGGATGGATTAGCCTGCAACAATGCTACAAAGACGCAGTATTAATACGAAAATGCAAAATGAAAGGGGAGAAATGTCAAATGTGGTAGAAGCAACATGAAACCATGCATATGAAGCAAACACTGTGGACAAAGGATTGGAAAACAAATGAGAAGAGAGAAAAGGAATAGAGAAAAAGTTGGTGGGGCACCTCAACTTCTGAAGTGGGAATGGCTTTGTAGCACTTGAGACAGTTCTGTTCAAGAACATAATACCTCTTCCTGGAGAATTGCAAACCAAACCTATTGGACCTAATGGTGTACAACCAGCCCTCCATCCTTTCATCATTTTCTTGGATACCCATTTGAGAAAACCAAGGAAAGATGCAAACTTTGCGAGTTTCCCTCTGAATCAAGCACTGCTGCCAATTTCCAGGGAAGGAGAAAGAGCTGGCTGTATATTCTTCTTGTGCTGGTCGTTTACAACATGTAATTGTGCAGACGATGATCACAACTACTTGAATAAGCCTTCCACTTTGTTCTTGTTGTCGTTCTTCCTCTGAACAGTTTTGAATGATGAGAATCAATCCACTGATCCCACCCGAGGAAAGGTGGGAATCAGGGAATTGAATGATCAGTAGCTGGTTTATTTGCAGGACACCAATTTGCCCTGTTGTTTCTCTTCACTCCCTTTTTCTCCTGTTTTTTTTTTTTTTTTCCCTTCCGCGATTCGTTTATAAGAACAGAATTTTGTGTTTTTGGGGCTGTGCCAGTTGGAGGGAAAAGAATGTTTCTTCCAGTTTACTATTTTTTTTCCTTTTCAATTTGTGGATCTTAATTCTCAGGAAAAGTTGCCTAAACTTGAAACAAGAACTATCTTTTATTTGGCACTTCCGTTGCAGTTGGAGGCGACTATATCTTATACCATATGTTTGGTTCCCAAGAAAATTTCTAGCTCGTTTGCTCGTGAAAAGTCGTTCTTTAGCTGGATGAGAGGCCGACGAATCTATCTTGAGAAAGGCAACAAAACCCAGACCCTTTCCTCAACCGGTTGTTTCCCTGCTTCTTAAACAGAATTAGTCAAATCCAAATCCAAACTGAAAAATAACAGCAAGTTAGGCCATTCGTTTGTTAAGAGAAATATTTTGCATTACCGTCATCATGAAAAACTATATGAGTGTTGTTTATAGCCGTAATTTTATATTTTGCATCACCGTCATCATGAAAAACTATATGAGTGTTGTTTATAGCCGTAATTTGGCTATATGAGTATATGCATTCTCTATCGTGCGTTTCGACGATTGAATGGCTGTGATGCATACAGGATGCAAGAAAAATAGATGCATTCGCGTCTCACAGGAATCACACCATTCATTTCTCGATCAGACAACTGAGTACCGTCGTAAGGACATACTCACTACTACCCTTCAATCAACCCTGTAGTAATAGCCGAATTATTGCGTCCAGTACGGTTCTATGCTGAATGCCTGACGTCGTCTAGAACATACATAATTTGATGGTTCGAAGCAGGATTCTTTTGCATCTTTGGTAATAGAGTTGGACAAAACTGAAATCAGCCAATCACCAGGACTATCAACCACAGGAAATATCAGACTCGGCAGTTTACTAAAGATATCGAGGGAAACCGTGTATGCAACATTGTGCTATGTTCTATTATAAGAGTCATTTCCTTGCTTTCTAACGATACAACCATGATTCGATGGTGCCCTTAAGGATAGAGGATCTAGAAGTACAAACTCAACGCATGTCTTTTAAAGATCAGCAACCATTCTACAAAATTTCAGAAAGAACCTGCAGTCAGTGCATGAGAAGTCCTATGCCTGAATTGGTCCAACTTTGCCATTAACCAAGCCAAGCAGACGTCTAACAAGCTGCTGCATGAGAGGCATGGAAATGCCATTAATCACTGTCGAACTAGGACAACAATGATGTCAGTTGCATAGTGGCAGAATACCTTGGATGAACAGCTGGATTTCTATCCCTTGCGTATTGAGATATCAATATGTAGGTAAGCTACACAAGACGCGAAGAGGAAGAAAACTGTAGAAACCAACATCAACGGCTCTGCTAGCATGAAGATTGGGTTAAAGCTATAGTACACCTGTCAATAGATGAGATGAAAAATAGAAAAAAAGGTTAAGTCGCATATAGAGGGTAAAAGTAATGCTAAAGATCAACAGAATAATATAAAAATGTCACCTAGCTTAATGATTTATAGTTCGTTAAGTCAGGCATGGAGAATCAAAACTTATTGCTCAAGAACTACAAGGTTATGTGTCTACATAATATCACGGTTCTAGCCACAGAAATGAGCAACCGCACCTAAGTTACAAATAAAGAACTTGTGCTCTATGTTCCTAACTTCTCACAAATAATTACATGTCATGTAACTAAGGAATCATGCATTCAATGCTCATCCTTTATGCAAATCGATCATGCATATGAACAAAGTTTGAATTGCTAACTCAGGTCAACTTGCTCCAGTGGACTGATGTATGAGATTACCAACGTAAAGGCACAGGTGCAAGCAGATTGGAAATTACCTGAAAAGGAATGTTGTGCTCCGGAACTACATTCTTCTTCTCTAAAACAAGAACTGGCCTTCCGACAACATCAAGATATGAGTACTTTGTCTGCACACACTCGCGTTTCAAAAACATTAGTTCATAATATGCATACTCCAAGGTCTGCAAATGCAGTTCAATAATCTTTTTTGCATGAGGATTTTACCAGGTTAATCACCTCAAGATGTTTAAGGTAATGCAACTGGTAGAAAACTGAATTTACTACTTTTGTATGCATGAAGAGAGTACTTAATGCATATGTACACTAATTGAAACCCAAAGTCATCTTCAATGGGAGCAGTAGTTGTGCATTTAATTTAGGACCCCAAGACAAATCAAAGGGTTTGCGACTTCTTACCTCCATATGTTCCTCTACTGGAAAAGGAATGATGGCTGTCGGATCTTTGGATCCCTCTGGCAACACGACCTGAAATACATATCCATGTATCAGCTACACATATAAAATACAGCTACAGAAAGATTGTGATTCTTAAGGAAAATGAAATGATAAACCCACCTTCACAGTTAACTTGTCTACAACAGTCCCAGAAAGAGGGCAGCCAAAGGTAAAGTTGAGATATCTCTTGCCATCAGTGGACTCAAAGAGAAAATCTTCCAACGGAAGGCCATATCCGATTATAAATGTGGATTTCCATCCTCCAAACAAAGGATACCGAGGTTCAATTTCAAGTTCTGACTGTAAACAGTGTTCAGACAGTAGACATGGAGATCAGAAGTCAGGCTACACTAAAGAAAAGGCAAATACTAGCAAAAAAGCAGGAATGATAACTACAGGGTGGTGACATTGGATTGTGGATCTAGAGATTTGATACCTTGCGAGAATCTGTACGAAGACGTGAAGATGAAATGTTTCCGATTTCATCTCGATAGTATACAGAGTGCACCCTAGGCGGCAGTCTAGCTAGAAGGTTTTTGAATGAAGACACACCACTAGCAGATGGCCTGGATTGATACTCAACCCTGCCAAACAATAAAGAACACATTCAGAACAGCATGCTAAGATCATCTAAAAGCCAGGTAAACTATATAACTCCAGTCAGATGAAAGGAATGGAGAAAGAAAGACAATGCAAATACAAGAACCAGATTGGGAGTTTTATCATTCATGCATATATTATTAGCTACTTTTGACAGCTTGAAAGAGGGTCGTCCATGGATGAAACAAGAAAAAGGCAAGTAGCAGGAGCAATTGAAAAGATCTACTAACAGAGGCTTCGCCCGCTAAATGCCTCATGCATATGGGAAAAAAGAAGATACGCACTCTGCATATGAAAAATAAGATGCAGGAACAACCCTTACCTAGAAAACACGCCTTTAAGTTTAGCGCCACCGTGAGCTAATGTATAGTGCTCAGTTATCTGAAGGTTTCCCCAATGCGAGATTTCCACTTCACGTACAAGCTCCTCAACAACGGCAAACGGGTTGTTATTCTCAAAATGAACAAGCACTGGAGCGTACGAGTATGCGGGGAGATCCTCATAGGGCCCATACTTAAGTTCCATACTAGCCCTATTGGTTGGTTCCACTCTAGAGAATGATTGCACATTTGTGCTTGGCGTCTTGATGAAAGTTGTCTGCTGCTTAATACGATATGGTGACAATATATACGCACTATCACGATAGTATACCAGCTGTGGATCTGATTGACTTATCTCGGCAGGGAAAGGTTCCATAGAATGGGTCAACATATAAAGAACTTCAATGGTTGATGTTTCGCCAGGGCTTAAAGGATTAAGCAAAGCTACACGAAAACCCTTAGCGCCATTTGGTGCGTCAGGTACATCTGTTGGCTCCACAATGAGATGAGCATATGTTTTCTTCCTTTTCTTTCCCGAGGCCGCTTGTGCCTTCACTTCAGCGAGATGGTCAGCTTCAGTGGGAGGAAATGCAAGAATAACGTCAGAAGCAGCAGCCTTTCCCGTATTCTCGACCTGAGAGAGAAAGATCCCAACCCCTAAGTCGCTTTTCGGTTCGAAACAGATCCACGACAGAAACAATCGCAATGGATAGTTAAAACTTAAAAAGACTTGGAAATGCTAAAATGGTCGTACCTTCAGAGTCAAGAATACAATCGCAACCTGTGAACTCAAGTCAATCTGCACCAATTATTACCGGACAGCAAAAACATGGCGAGGATCAGTCTAATGGGGTTTCTTTCGTCTCAACCAAATCAGCAACCCAATTGAAGAAAACACCAGTACCAATCACCAGTCGCGGTGAGAAATTTGGAACTAGTACAGCACTTGGAAGCAGAGAAAACACGTTTGATGGAATGAGGAGAGCTTACTCGACGCTCGGCGTTGAGAATTTGGATCTCCTGCGCGGCGGATGATGAGACGGCGATAAGTGAAAGAAATGCGAAGATCAAGAGGGCCGCAGGTCGATGTGCTCTTAGCGAAGCCTCCATGGCAGCTGCTCCAAGTTGATCGGAAGCGTCGTTGCCGGGCGAGTTTCAGCCTGCGAGACTTTGAAGTCTCCGGAAAGCAAATACGCTGTAAGAAGAAGCAGTAGCCGTACGGCAGTAGCATCAGTCGGGAGGCTCGGAAGAAGTAGACAGAGGTGGTGGAGAGAGAGAAAAGAGACTGGCGGAAATGAGGCGTTATTACTTTACTTATTTGGGCAATGCCGGCCCACTATCCTCTCGATTTAGCCCACTTTACTGGGCTTTTGGCCCAGTTATGGGTTGATTGATGCCTTCATCTAGGGGTGGTTATACGGTCCAGTCCGGTTAAATTGGCTCAAATTGATCCGGTCCAATCCGGTCCTTTTGAAAATATAAGGACCAAAGATTGGATTGGATACAGTTCGGTCTTGATCCGGTCCAGTCTTGACCCGGTCCGGTCCCAATTCGGTCTTGATTTTATAGCGAGCTTGTGGGAATTTGAGTGGCCTAAGGCCTGAAAGGGTGAGGAGTTGGTTAAGTTTTGTACTAAGTGCAAAGGTTTGTGACCTTTTATGCAAATTATCATTAAATTTTGAGTGTTGAGCTCTCTTATCCGGTCTTTATCCAGTTTTTGATATGGTCCCGAACGGTTTTTTACCTCAAATCTAAGCCCAAAGATTGAATTGGATTGTTTACTATCCAGTCCCGATCCGGTCTTAGTCCGGGTTATACGGTCCGGTTTCGGGTAAAACCAAAAAACCCGGACCAAATAGCCCGCCCTACCTTCATCCTTGCCTCCTTGGTCCAATTTAGACCTTTGCAACAACAATGTAATCAATGTTTCGGCCGACAACCCAACTTAGCACTCTGTTTTTTTTTTGGCTTTTGAACGACCTAATCGTTTGAACAGAAGTATCCACGTCCGGATCAAGGACTTAGATAGATTTGATGGCAATTTTGTAAATAATATCGTCATCGTGTCCACAACTATAATACACTCTACTGCGGCCTTGGGTTGAAGGAAGACACGCGGGTCTTGTGGGCTTACACGTAGTATTGGACATGCATATGCAGCCATTTCATTTCAGTTACTCTATTAGATTTTAGGCATTCATCGATCGCACGTTTTAGAGTGTAGCGGAAATTTTTTGGATCCAATCCGATTTATTTGATATATTTTGGGATAGGTAAAACCCGTCTGGTATGTTTTTGCCTAAATTAAATTATACGCAATTTTACTCAGATTATTTAGAATTTTACTTGTATTATCTCATAATTCAGTTGTAATAAAATTTTAAATAGATGACAGCCTCAATTTTTCAAATATTTTAACTAGATTTGTTTCTTAATTTTTTAATGAAAATTAATTTTTTAATATTTTTTTAATTGTAACCTCATATGAGCTAACCTGTACTAATTAGGGGTGGGCAACGGGACGGGACGAGATACCCGTCCCATTTTAAACGGGTACCCAGTCCCATTTGGAGACCAAAGTCCATCCCATATCCAAGACCCATATGGGAAACGGGTACCCATTACCCGTACAGGACGAATAACGGGTACTCATACTACCCATAAATACCCAAAGCTTAAATGACATTTTAGCTAAAGACAATTAGTCAATTACATCCCAAAGCATTCATTTCAAAACACAATTCTGTACACATCCATTTCAAAACACAATTTTGTACACATCCATTGCCCTTAGTCAATAACGACCCTTACCAGCTTCTCTCATCAATTGCAGACTGAAGAAGTACATAGAATATGGACATTCTATACACATCCAACCAAATGCAGGTAAAACAAAGTACATAGCTTACTTACCAGCTTCTTCTCATCAATTGCAGACTTAAGAATGATCAGGCAGAAGGAAGCCTGGCTGCTGCTGGCCGTCGGGTGAGAAGAAGGAAGCTTGTTGCTGTTGCTGCTCCGCTGCTGGTCTACGCCTCGACGGTCGCGGAGTGGAATGGAGGCGGCGGCTGCGCAGAGGAGAGGAGAGGGACTGAGAGGGAGAGCTCAGAGGCGGCGGCGGCGATGAAGGCGCCGAGGCGAGCTAGGTTTCGTCTCTTCTCTCTCGTCCCGAAGACGACTCCTCCAGCCAGGGACAAGAGAAGCTGCGCGTCGCGTCTGCTGCTAGGGGTGCGTCTCAATTCTCACGGTCTGAGTCTCTTTTGGGTAAGGGCCGAAAATGGGGTTTGAAATTGGGCTGGGCTTGGGCGCATGGGCTGAATTAAATCTATCTTTGTAATTTGAATGGGTACAACGGGTACCCATATTGCCCAAACGGGTATTTGCGGGTAACCCGCGGGTACCCATATTAGAACTGTATAATCCCAAGTCTCATCCGTTTAAAATATTACGGATAATATGGGTACCCGTAACCCTTAAAAACGGGACGGGTATACCTAAATACCCATTTTCCGTTGCCACCCCTAATACTAATACAGTGTTCAATATATTATTCCCGGACCTAAACTCGACGTGTCACGAAACAAGAATGAGTGTCAAGATACCGTGACGAAACAATTATTACCATACCTACCAGCCGCCAATAAATTTTGGAGAAATTATTAGCTCGAGTGAAAATTCATAAAATTAAAAGTTTACTGACCGAATTGACAGTGATGCAAACTTAATTGACCTTACTCGGCTAAATTCCATTTAGGTACCCTTCCTCACTGTTAGGGATGGCAATAGGTCGGGTTGGGTCGGGTTTTGTCAAATCCAAACCCATGGGTTTATTCGTGAAAAAAACCCGGGGTAAAACGTAAAACCCACTGGGTTTGAAAAACTCAAACCCAACCCGCTGGGTATCCGCGGGTTCATGGGTACCCACGGGTTTTTGTCGTAAAAAATTTACAATAACATGTTCCTATCAAAATTAAAGTCAAATATCAATCTCTCAATACAAATTATCCATATTTAAAACACCGTTCTAGAAAATTCAAACAAATCACAAATTAACTATACAAATTGTTCAACACCAATCTAGAAAACTCAACAAAATTGAAGTAAATCATAAATTATCCATAAATAACATATTAATTGAAGGCGTCTTCCTTTCAATTAAGTTTCTTCACTCTCCACTCGATAACACAAACTTCATTCTACACAATTAGAAAGAAAAAATTAGACATGTCTCCACAAACATAAATAAGATTAGTTGTTTAAAATATTAAATATACCTAGAAAATTAATTATATGTGTGGGCGGGTACCCACAAGTCGGGTTTACCTAAACCCAAACCCAACCCAACCCGGTGAATAGTGAACGGGTTTAAACCCAAACCCAACCCAAAACCCGTCAACACGGATTTTACCCGCGTTGACCGGATTGGGTCGGGTGGGTACCTGTGGGTTCGGGTTTGGTTGCCATCCCTGCTCACTGTCTCCCTGCGCTATATCTCTTCTTCAACGCCGGCGCATTTAAAAACGAAGGCCAAAGACCCTGGAATTATTGGTGTACATCAAAATCCGATCAAGTAGGTAAAAAGGTAAAGCTGCCGCCCGTTGCTGCCATCTCAATCGTCCAGGTACCTCTCTGCTCTGCCTTTGTTTTTAGAATCTAGCTTCAAAGACGGGTACTTTTTCCCCATCGGCGGCGGCGGCGGCCGCTCCTATCTGTATCATCCGACGGTTGGATAACATCAGTTCATACTCTGTGCTGCGCGGCTTTTTATGTTGTAATTAGCAAAAGATGACAACGATAGAATCAGGCGCGAATCGCCCTCGTAAAACATCCAACAGCGGTATGCCTTCCGCCGCCGATGCATCAGCAAAAGCTCATGAGAGCGCAATTGGGTCGTTCAAAAGATGGGGTAGGAGGCATCCGTTTGTGAGATATGGGCTTCCCATGATTTCCCTCACAGTGTTCGGTGCTCTTGGCCTTGGTCATCTCTTGCAGGGCAGGTTAGTGCCCTCCCTAATTCAGATCACTCTCTCTTCAATTGAATTTTCCGATTGATTGTTAGATAAAATAACTGAACTTCATATGTGATGGAACTTACTACTGGATACCTTCTCTAATCTGGATCTTTTATGATCAAATTTCAAGCTCGAGCTTGTGAGCTGAGTTAGGAATTGAATTGATTTTGCTGATTTCCCATCGAACCATAGCTAGCTAGTTCATCAAGTTAGGGAGACTCTTGAGAATGAGCAATTATACTGAGACAGAGTAGCGTAAGTTTACAGTTTAGATGAGATTCTTTGGTGACTTAGTAGTGCTGAACCTGTAGAACAGTAGAAGCCAAGCCAGCAAGGTCGGGGTTATTAGTAATTGTTATTGTGTTATGGGATTCGAAAGGTCAAAAACCTTGTAGCCGGTCCTGGTTGTTATTGGAGGTATGAGAGCTTGGGGGAGGCCTAATGTCCCACCACCATTACCTTATATAGTTCTTATGACAGTAGTGCATAGAAATTGGGATGTGCCTGGCTGGGAATAATGATAGTCAATTTTTTTCGACCTACTGATAACGTTTCCTATGTCTTATGTGTTTGGAGATATAGCTTGGTCAAAACCAGTTCTGTGGTCACTGGGCAGCCATTTCCAGAAGAAAAATTGAATTTTTTCATGAATTACGGTTATTGATTTTAGTAGAACGCTATTTAGGAAGAGGCAGCACCTCGTTTAGTCGCACAAGAACTTCCGATGTTTTGTTGTCTCTTCCTACACCATGAATTTTTCTTGATTGATATCAAGTAGACTTTATGTTAAATGTATGTAGAGATGCATAAAAGCAGATGGTGAAGGAAGAAGAGGCGTAGGAGTATGGGATCTTGAGCTTTATTCTTGTTTCTTTTGTGGCCTCTCTGTTGCACATCTTCATAAACAGAACTCTTTTATTAGTTTTTAGCATTTTGATGCTTGTTCTGAAGCAGCAGCAGGGCCATTTTCATTCTGTAACTTGCCTGCACTAGATGCATAGTGTGCACCAGTTGAGAGATTACTTAGGCAATCTCTATCTAAGCTCTAACTTCCAAGTAGAAACATCTGGAACTTTAAAAGCGGGAGAAAACATTGAAGAAATCAAGAAATTAGTTAGCATGTTTAATAAACTAAGCAGTGACAAATTTTAAGGAGAAGAGCAAAAATATGGAAGACTGCGATTGTGGAAACAAAGATAATATTTATCTGTCTGTATTGAACTTAATGGTCCTTTGAGCTTCTGAAATCATTTTGCACTAGCAATTGCCAGCAGTCTTCATAAAATTCATCATGTTGTTCTGAAACATGGCAGTTTCTGTAGTTCAGCAAGGATATTGCTAAAGTAAAAGACGATCAAGAATGGGAGATCCTCGAGACTAGGAAGGCACTGTCGAGGACGGGCCCTGTCAATGCATATAACCCCAAAAAGATTTCGTTGGAGGAGGAGCTACAGGTATTCCACTTCCGGGCTTTAGTTTGCAACTGCACAATGAACCCGAGGGGACTCACAGTACAGACTACTTATTCTCCTTTCTGATTGATACTTATCACAGGCTCTCCAACAGAAAGTGAATATCGACGACTACGAGTACAAAAGAATTCCAAAGCCAGATGAAGGCAAGTCAGTCTAGTCTGAAGCTTTCCTACCCCGTGCCAGCCTCACAAAGCAGTGGGACTTCAGACATTGTTCTTGATCTGGGTCCTTCGCACCTTTTGCTTCAGCCGAGTGAAAAAAGATGGATCCAGGCATCAAAATTTTGGCTCGAGTATTGTTGATTAGCCCCTTCTAGTGAAATTATCTGTAGCTTTATCTGTCCAAGTTTTCTTGGCAAGTCGGTTGAATCGTAGGTTGAACTAAATTGGAGCTTTTGGCAGTTGTTTGGCAATGTTGAATGTTCTATGGAGCAGTTCTGGCAAATATTTAGTGCTTTATTTTTGTGCTATCTTGTCATTGTCATGTGTGCTGAACCTGTCTGGGCCAAACGAGGTACGGAGACTCCAAATCAGACTCATACTGAACATTCAACAACGTGAAAATGCTACATTTGACAGAACAAACAATTGAATTGAGAGGTTGTAAACTTATATATAATTCAGGTGAAAAGATTCACCACACGATTCTCAAATTACAGGCTTTCCCCCACCCATTGCTTTCCTATTTACACCCCCCAACAACAAACATGAAAAAGTCTTCAAAACCCTAACATCTGCTCTTCCCATTTCCTTCTTTCCCACCCCCAATCTCATATACCTTCGCCATTTATCCCACGTTATTCATTTACACAAAATGAGGCAACCAAACCCAAAAGTCCAGAAAGGAAAGAACGGGAAATCCACCTCAGATTTTCCTACCAATGATAACCCAAACAAAATGCAGAAAGCCGTATTTAGGCATGGCAATAGAAGCTCATGCTAATGAAGGCCCTAACCCGTCACCTTGGTTTTGGTTGTGACCCAATTGACCATAACGGTTGGATAAGCCTCTGAGTCGATGGACTCCCCATAAATGTCGCCTGAGATCGAGTCAGCATCTCGGTCATCGACGGTGTTTGGTACGACTGAGCAAGGCTCAAACTGCCGCCCGTCGAGTCTCCCCTTGCTGTGGCTCTTTGCCATGAATGTGAGCTTAGCCCGGACAGTATGTATGCTCTACCTGAGGCCTCGTACACATTTCTACTCGTCATCCTCTCTTGCATCTCCTTCATCTCTGCATCTAGTGCAATGCACAACCGGTCATTCGACCTGCCCGACACGGTTTCCCATAGGTCCTTCCGGCAGTCCTGAAGGATGGAAGCTGCACCAGTTAGGTTCCCTTGCTCAGCTGCAGTTCTTGCCTGTGACATTGCCTCTGCTGCTTTCAACCTATTACGCTGCCTGTCCACTTCTACTGATACAACTACTTCTTCAGGTACTTCAGGTCTCTGAAGCCTTATTTCTTCACTTACTAATGTGCCCATTTCTTTAGTTAACGGGTCCTTGAAGGCGCATTTCACCTTGAGCAATGATGTTGAACCTTTTGAAGGTTCTGCTGGTGGAACATTGAGTGAAACGAGAAAATTCCTCTCTTCATCTGCATACAAATCTCCAACATCAATGAACCCCGTGCGTCCATCGGCTGATATCCGACTCGAGTAACTTCCTGCTTTCAACGACTGGAGTTTGATGTTAGGGTTCGCACATTCAACACCCACTTGCAGCTCCTGCACCACAACACTCAAGAGCCCTCCAATGCACTGTGCAAATGCATCCTGGATAATGGCTTCTGTCTCGATAAAAGAAAATGTACCACCCGAAATTTCTGAAATTGAATGCATTGATGAAGCATCATGATCCGCCCCAAATCCAAACACATGCACTGGAATCTTCAATCCAGCTGTCCCACCACCACCATCAATAGCAGAAAGAGGAAGTAGCAACCTGTAATTCGGTTGTTCAGGCTGCTGGTTACTACCGCTACTAACTGTATAAGTATCCTGTCCATCCGACAGCAATATTATGCTTGCAACTGGATTCTTTTCTTTCCTCTCTTCCATCACCTTAGCTCCCTTTCTCAGGCCTTCAGCTATATTGGTCCCACCATTGGCAATCAAAGAGTTAACATCTTGCAGCGCCTGCTGGCGCCCTGCATCAGACATTCGCCTCAGGGGGAAGAGGCGCCGAGCTGTGGATGAGAAGGCAATAACAGAGAGCCGGTCATTGGAGCCAAGGTTCTGTATCACGAATCCCATAGCTCGTTTAAGCAATGCCAGCTTAGTTCCTGCCATGCTACCACTGATGTCGAGAACTGTCACCAAGTCAACTGGAGCTCTAGGAGTTTGGGAGAGTTGAGGATAGCTGCTGGTCTGGTTTCTTATCATGCTAGCAGCAGCAGCTTTAAGATTAATAAGGACAGCGAAGTTCTCATAAGAATTTGAACGTGATGCTGCTGTAACTTCAGGATGCACAGTGATGTCAATTGCTCTACCAGAACTGCAACTGGCGCCATTTTCATATCCTGGCTGGATGTCCAAAGTTTCATCATCGTTAAATACAATAGGCTCGGCAACCTGAAGTAATGGTACAACGTGCCTCCTACTAGGGTCCCGACGAGGGGGCGGTAAACGACGAACCACAGTCATTAAAGCATCATTGTTAGGCCAGCCTCCAGCGTTGATTGAGACAGCTCTCCCAAGCGGAGGATCTAAATCTGGAGCCTGAAAGGGGATCTCTTTCCATTTTGCTCTGCAGACTGGACAAATTTGATTGCCATGCTTCACATTAGAAGCAATGCAATTGAAATGGAACGAATGTGAGCACTCTGCTGTAAAAATTGCATGGCCAGCTCCTTGTTTCATCTTGGTCAGGCAGATTGAGCAGGTTTGCTGTAATCATTGAGACAGGACAAAGCACAAAATAAGTTGGATGCATTATGGAATGTGAATAAACCCCAAACCAGTATGGGATTCAACAGCGTAGAAAACAGTAAAGAATCATGGAATCGCTCATTAACTCGTTCTAAAAAGTGTTTATCAAAGCTTTATGAATTCAGATAGCCATAGAATTTAATACTTTGATGAGTAGTTTCCATCTAATCCAGTAACATTCAAGGTACGATAACAAATAGTGGGAGAAGGTAAACAGAGACAGCTTGCTTATAAATGCACAGATTTCATGTCTAAAGACCAGGCACGCTGCTAATATGCGAGCCAACATGAACAACTGTAACGAATACATAATCAGAACTAGAAAAATGGGCTCAAGTCAACAAGAGAAATGTCAAGCTTAACTAACTATCAAAATGACTTTCTAAAAGGTCACCAGTGGACACAGTTTCAAGATACAGATGAACCGTAGAAAAAGGAAAACAGGAGCAATTGAATGGCCAACCCATCATCCACCAAAGAAAGAGAAATTATGAGTTGCTTAAAGAATTAAGATGTGCTTTCTTTTCCCTCGTCTTTTCTTTTGCTTGTTTGATGAATTTCCATACCTACAACTACAGGGGCTTGCCAACCAAACACTCAAAACAGTTCAAGCCATCATCTCATTCTGCTTTTCTCTTTTACCCACTTTGCTTTCAAGGTAAGGAGTGAAAGAAACATTAATTTCCCTGTAGCTTCCTTGTAACAGTTGGGGCAAATGAAAATGGCACAGAAAGGGGCCTAGGTCACTTGCTCAAAGAGATAATGACATCACCCTAAGCCATAGCCAAGTAAAACCAATAATTTCTCAGTCAGTCATCCCTTAAAACTACCAAAAATGGATTAACAAGCTTATTTTCAATGACTTTTTTTCCTTTCTACAGTTTCCCCTTTATTTTCCAGGGAGGGAGACTAAGAAGAGCAAAACATATCTCCACTAAATAAGATCAGATGAACTCAAATCCACTTCATGTTGCAGAAAGGGCATTCATTCATTGCCTCTTTAGCAATTGGGACCTAACACCACACCAAATTGCGCATAATCCTGCCATTACTCCTGTCTATATCATCATAGGAAAAATAAATGCAAGTGAACCAATGCTTTTTTTAGTGGGAACTTTTGGGCCATGTGAAAATGATGTTTGGCTAGAAAATAATTACAGAATAATGTTTATACAAGTGGATCCTCATTTTGCCAAGCACAAACCCAGTAAAAGGAAGATGCTTTATGCAATCAATCACCAAAATTTACAGCATAGAGGCCACTGTGAATTACTGGGTATCACCAGAGCACAGAGCATTCCTTATTACAGAGTCAAAATCGTTCTACCAGACAGGTAAAATTTTTTGGAAATGATGGAAGTTGGAGCCTCCTGAACCTGGAAAATATCTACAATTATCTTTTTTCCCTCATCAACCAATCAAACAAGTCTTATCAAGACCCAAACAAACACTTGAAACAAACATGCAGCTGCACCAAGTCTCAGCAGCAGAGCGACAAATAGCAAAAACCAGTAAATATGCACAGAAGGAAGGCAGAGAAAGGGTAAAGTTTTTTTCTTTTACCTTGGAAGATTTGCTACTAGTTCGGGGCAGCTTCAAACCATGAGAAGATGGAACTGGAGTCATTGGCCTAGCATCCCAACTTGTAGGTGAAAGCAGAGCAACATCTGATACCCTCTCTGTTGAAGTTGTTGCTGGCAAATCATCCAGCGTTCTTGGCACAAACACACAAAGATTCAGGCCCAAGGCCAGCTTTGCTTTTCTCCATTTACTACTCCCCATTTCTTATTTTCTCCTTTGTAGTAACAAAGATTCGTCCTTTCAGAGATTCAAGAGCCGCAGAAGGGATACCCAGTAAAACCCCTGAATTTTAACAACCAACTTGGACAGAAGATTCAAGAGCGAAAGAAAGCAAGGGGGAAAAGGAAAACAGAGAGAGGATTGATGGAGGGCGAAGACCAAGAAAAGAAAAGGAACAGATCTCAAAGTGCTTTTTGGTAGGGAGTCAAGCTGCTTTCTCTCCAATCCTTGTAAATAATATTGATCTGTGTCTTTCTTGAAATGTGAGAGATAATGGATGGAGGGTAATGGACTAACTAATGGGTTCTTGCGCAAAAAAGTCGAAATGGGCACAAACACGGAACCCAAAGAAAGAGAAAGAGGAGAAGCTGAGGAGTTGTGGGTTTATAGTAACTTGGCCAAAATGAGCATAAAAATGTGAGCTTTGTGATAAAAGAGAGGCCACCCAGGCACAGCAAAAGAAGGAGAAGGTTTGTCAAGGATGGAGGAGGAAGACGAAGAAGAAGAAGGTAAGAAGGTGGCGGTTTGAGATTTCTGAAGTTGTACTAGTCTCGTGGGTTATGGAGTTGAGCTTGGCCGCCATTGAATGGAATTAGAGAGTCAGAGATGGATTTGATTTTGACCTTTGGGTCTTTGTTTTTGTATTTGTTTGTTTGGGTCGTGGTGTGGTGGGTTGAGAGAGAGAGAGAGAGAGAGAGTAGAGAGAGAAGGTGGGTGGTTTATTGAGAGTCGTAAAAGGCAGGAGACGACAACAGAACAGAGACAGCAATTGGATCCATTCTTATCTTTCTTTCCTCCCTTTGAAAATCTGCAGTTTTCAACCATTTGATATGATAAAAGTGTACACGTTTCTGAGGCTCCTCCATTAACAATAATGTTTGCTTAACGTTTATATTTGCCCAGATTCACTTTTGGGTCAAAGCCAATAACTTTGCTTCAACCAATTTCATCCCCCGCTGATCTTCCATTTGCTTGAGATTTGGTCATTTGTTTTACAAAAATAGATGGAACAAACTCATCAAAGTAAGCTCAGAGTGAGTTGGGCACTTAAAAAGTTTGCAACTTACTATAGAAGTTTGTTACCATAATTTGCATGGAGTAAATTCCAAGTAATTTTATTTGAAGTATAGTGGAAGCTTTTGATCGAATAAGAAAGGCCAAGTCAATTACATTGTTAATCTGGTTGATCACAAGGTATATTAGATTGACCGAACTATTAAACAGGTTGGTCACGGACTCACGGGTAGATAACTTCGTTTATGTAAACAAGTTAATTGTCAATGGTATCGATCTCAATCAAGTCTTTTGATGGATAAGAAAATTTTGAAGACTCCATAAGAGGAAAGAAGTATCATAACAACGACAACAACCAAATGAGATGCATAAACTCATAAGGTTACGTTAGGGACATACTTGTTTAGTGGGATACATACCCCTTCGATTCAATGGAACTTACGCATAATCATCCAACCAAAGGAAAAAGTGATCAACCAAATTACACAATGTTATGCATATCTTAATGTGTTCCATAGATTTAGGCAATGTTCTTTTTCTTCGTACGTGTGTGACAATAATTTGATTGTAGTCCAATAAAACGTTCAACTAGTGTTAGTTCAAGTTTTACCACCATAATACTTGAGATTTGCTTCTAGTTTTGGGTTTTTATGTGATTCAACCACTAATCAGTATCGACTATAACTCTTTGAGCTATTTAAGTACTCTTTACACCTGAAGTGCCATCTAGTCATCCTTGTATTATGCAGGGGCGGACCCAGGGGGTTTAGGGGTGTCCCCGGACACCCCTAAATTATGGGAAGACGATTATCCAACCCCGGTAATAATTTACGTATGGACAAAAAAAAATTGATAATGAGGGACACCCTTTAAATTTGAAAAAATGATTATCCTACTGTCATTTGTGTATAGAAATATAAGTGGTAGGTTGGATAATTCAAATCTAGAACACTATTATTATTAATAAACTTAATTTCCATTGAGCTAAACTCATATGTTGTTCGATTTTGAACAATGTGTAATAGTAAAATGGCATTCCCTATCTCTAATTATTTTAAAAACCTAACAATTAAACTAATTTCAAACTACCCTTAATTTGTATTGATTTTATGATTGTACGACAAGTGTTGAAAGAGTCTTTCAGCTTTGGGTTACATCAAGAACAAGTTTACGAATCGAATATGCGATAAGTTCGTGAATGATCGTCTAGTAGTGTATATAGAGACGATTTTTTTAACACTATAGACACCAAATGTATTCTACAATTATTTTCGAATATGAAAACACATCATGGACTTTTTTAATATGTACGAGTAAGGTATTTTCATATTTACAATTTTATTTTTATTAATTATTTTTAGTTTTATTTAATTTATTTTTTAAAAGAGGGCACCCCTATGAAAAATTTCTGGGTCCGCCACTGGTATTATGTCATCGTGTAATGCACATATACCTCTTTTGTCTCCGATAATCCAAAGCCAAACTATGAAATAGTCTTGTATGATCCACAAGATTGCTCGATCCTACATTGGTCCGTTGAAAAGTAAGTGAAATGCATCCATATTTGACCTAAGACGCATTAATTCATTAATGGAGATGGAATGAAATTAACCTAATCGGACCAATCAAAATTACAAATGTTTTAGGATTTGGCAAATGGAATGAGGTTTGTGAGGGATGGATAAGAATAAGATCATAAGAAAAAAAAACAAGGTGGGCTGATGTTGAGAGGAATGGGCCTGTATTAATGGGCTGGGCTGGCATGCACACACCCACGTCGGCCATGAAGATGAAGAATATGATGATTCGTTGGAGTGCGATGAGTCAAGATATATGTCGAGATTTTGCTAATCATCTTACCTAATTATATATATTCCTTCAGAGGTCGTTTGCTTGTTGGATTTGAAAAATGAGAGTTTTGACCAATAAAAATCTTGGGATTTATGTTGGATTTATTGGATTATGGATTTGAAGAGTCTAATGTTTGCATGATAGATTTGATGATGGATTTGTGATGGATTTGTTAAATAAATAACTAACCACCAAGGATTTGCAAATCCCAAATCAATATGTGAGATTTACAGGTCCGTGGGGCCCACGGATTTGATTCCAAAATAAAGACTAAATCCGTGGACCCCACGGATTTAGCACCCTTCAACAAACAATGAATTTACGTTAAATCCATCAAGTTTGGGATTTGGGTACCAAATTCATGACCCAAATCCAACAAGCAAACCAACCCTTAATTATAAATATATAAATACAGGGGGGATGGAATAATGGTCTTTGTTTTGTAATTATCACTTGTGGAAAATAATTTTGTTTACTTTACCCGGCCACATGAGGTCATGATAATGATGATATATTATGGGCAAGGGCAAAGCAAAGGAAAGGAAAGCAAAACCCGCACGTGCAAATCATCACACTTTGCTTTGGTCATTCAGTATACAAGTCAATTACTCAATTGGTTTGGGTTGACTTTCTCTTCACATTCCACTCAAATTAAATTTGCATCATTTCATTCTTGGCGTAATCTAATATTCAACGGTCAAATTTTGGGAATTTTAGAAAATTTGAATGCCTCTTTTTTTTTTTTTTTATTAGGGGGGGTGCATCATAATGGTAGCAAATAGTAGCCACTAGCCATAATAAAAAAAGACCCATACTTTCTTTTATTTGCATCGGGATAAAATTAAGGGCTAATTTCACTAAAAATATCTTTAACCATGACTCAAATGTTACTTGTATCCTATTCTTTACAATATTTCGTTTATGTACTGAACTATTTTTCATTAGGGTTGACGGCGTTGACCGTTTAGTATTTAACAAAATGACAAGTCACTGCTGATGTAGTGTATGACGTGGAATTATAAAACCAGTTTTGATCCTTTACTTAAGAAATTAACCAATATTAAAATTAAAAATTAAAAATCACTTTGTTTCCATCATTCACCCCTATTCCGTAGCGTTTTCTTGTATCAATGCTTGCAATAACAATAAAAATATGACTAGAACCCCCGAACTATGATCCAAAGCGCCCAAGTGACATTTTAATAACTCACTCACCTATTAGATTATTAATTTTTTAAGTGTTCATGATTAATCCCCTTCCATTATGAAGGAAGCTTCACCGAGAACCCTTAATCACATAATTAAAAAAAAATGACCAACGTATCACGTCTCAACCTTGTGATTATATAACAAAAGACTTTGGATAAATTTAAGTATGGACAATGACAAAAGAACCAAGCTAGCCAATTGACGCCGACAATGAGGAAAGTTGGGGAATTGTGTAATGGTTATCGTCAAAGGTGATCCATATATCAAAGAAGTGTAAATGGGAGCGTTTATACAATGTTCTTAATACTTTTTTTTTTATAGGAGTGATATAAAATATTTCTTTGATTAGGTTTTACTTAAACCAAGTCTTTAACTTTATTCGCAATTCTTAATACTTAAACCAAGTAACTTTCAGGTTCAAGGTAGTTTTACTACTAAACCAAGTCTTTATTCGCAACCCTCAAAGCTAAAGCGTTGTGCTTTGGTGTCAACATATTAAGAGTAGGATGAAAATTTTGATTTGATTTGTTTCCCAATTCGAGTTGTAGGTGGGATAGGATGGGTATGACTGTATGAGTACTTTATTCGGTACCACCCGCTTTGTTCTACACTCGTTTTTTTCTTCTTACTTTGTATGTAATTTTACTCAAATTATTTAATACTTTACCTTTATCATCTCATATTTTAGTTAGAATAAAATTGTAAACAGTTGAAAATCTCAATTTAAAAAAAAAAAATTTAATAACATTTATCATGTTATAGTTCGATTATTCATTATTTTAATAAAAAATCAATACTACTTTCCTTTCAAGTACATATACTAATGATTCAATCTAACCCAACCCACAATTCTTATATATAACTTGATCCACACCCAAACTATCATAAAACATATATGAATACCGAGATACCCAGCTGATCTTCCCATTATCATTCTTAATTACTAGTAGAAAAAAATATTGAAAACAACAATATGTATAGACATCGAGATACCCACTAGAACTTGCTAATTGTGATTCCTAATTATGAGAAATTGGAGGCAGCATTGAGTGGAGTGGAGTTCCCCTATTCCCACTTAACTTTACTACAAAACCTCCATCATCGTCGTCATCCCTCTCTCTCTCTCTAGCACTACAAAAAGCCAACCTTTTGTTAAAAGGGGAGGAAAATGCCCCATCTTTTTGACAATGGCAAAAAGCTTTATATTCCCTCTCCCCCACAGCAGAAAACAACATCAATAAGGAACCAAAACCATATACCACTTTGTTTCTTGCCATCTTTCTCCCTCCCTTTCCCTTAGCTCCTTATTGCTATGCTTTCGCCATGCATCGAGTGCACGCACGCACACATGCTCCTTAGACAACTCGGTGCTATGATGGATTAGCTATAAGAAGCTAGAGCGCGACAAACAACTAGCAATGAGTAAAGAAGAAGATCATGATGGAGGAGAAGAGAATGGCATGCATTTCAATCAAAGCCATGCATGATCAACGGTGGAGATCTATTACCAAAGAATCAAATCATATATATATCGGTGTCAAGAACTAGTTGATCACGCGCTCTCACACCAAAGCTACTCATGCAGGCTTGAAGTGTGCACATGCATCACCTTATATCAGACCCCATGTGCTTACATACCGGCAGAAGTTACTGATATCCAATCCAATAGAAGACCTATCGATCACAGAAAACTCTGATACTTTGTCAGAACCTGTTTCTCCCGATAACTCGAGTTTTTTTTAGAAGAGGTTCAATTCAGTGGCGCGACCAAACTTCGAGTCGACTGGGGTCCCTAAAAAATTTAATTATACTAAAGCCTGTGTATCTAATGATCTTTGATCTAATTGGGGTCCTAAGTTGAGCTAACGTCAAGGAGAGTATAAGGTCCTAATTAAATTTGAAGAATCATACTAAGCCGTATGTATCTAAAGTGTTCTGTTTCTCGATTTTATGTCAAATGGAATCGTTAAACGCCTCCATAACTACTTCAATTATACATCATATATAACTTGCTAACAAAAGTTGGTGTTACTAGATGGGCAAAGCATATCATATGGCGAACAAGAAAGAGAATAAAAGAAAGGGGACATGCAATAAGCTTTTGTTTTGTTGTTGGTGTGGGATGGGATGGGATTGGATTCCCTTTTACTACTACTACTACTACCCTATAAAAATTTGCCACACTTTTATGGGGTTAAGTCAACGAGAAAGCTCTCATCACAGCTTTTCTTTGCTTTCAATATTAGGAAAGGGAAGACAACTCAAACAAAGGAGGTAGCTAGGAAGAGTAAAAGGGGGAACCCTAGCTCTCTCGACTAATCAATGGTGCATGCTTCCCACTGACGAGGTGGTGTTGGAATGGTTTTTTGAAAAGAGAAGATTACAAGCTTTGTTTTTTGTTGGATAAAATGAACGATTTAAAAAGAGATAAAAATTCAAAGTAGTTTGGCTTTTATATAGCTTTACATTAGCCTTTCATTTGTAGAATTTGAGTCCTAATCTTTGAAATTCTAATGCACAAAAATTTTCACTCTCAAAATTTTGGTTAAAATAGACACTCATTATATGATTTTTCGGAATTGTCGGCAGCAATACGAAGAGTTAATGATCGAGCGTATTGCAATATAGAGATCATCAGGAACCTCTCTTCTCTATAGAAATCCTTTTAACAGAGATTTGGTATCTCAACCTTTTCAAGGCAAACATGCTTCTCAATTTGCCCTCGTATTGTTTGACACGCTCTAGAGCAATAGATGGACCCAAGAGCAAAAGGATGATATAAGAGATTTTTTTTTATCCTTTTTCCTTGTCCGTGAAAGTTAAAAAGTAATTTGGTCATTTCACTTTTTGAACGAATCAAGTCAATCACATTTAACACAAAACTAACAAAATTTTGGACGGATGGCAGGTTTGGGAACTTTTTGTATATGATAAATTTGCATAATGTATGGGATATGTGTAGGGCTGGTCAATCGGTTAGCGATTAACCGACTGGTTAAAACCAAACCGACCAGTTATCCACTAACTAATAACTGATAAAAACGAAATTCAGTCGGTGTTCGGAGGCTGGGTGATATGAGTTTTGGTCTTGAGGGCTGTTCGGTTAACCAAAAACCGAGCTAACCGAAGGCTTAAGCCCTCTTTCGATCGGTGGTCGGTAGAATTGATAGGTGGTTTGGTTGTCGGTTATCGATTATAACCGGACCAACTGGCCCTCCACCCCTAGACTAGATATATGAGATATCATTGGCCATTGCCATCGCCAAGCTTGAAGCTCAAGAAGAAAAAGAGCAAAGCAGAAGGAAATAAAGTCCAAACGGAGTCCACCCTCAACGAATCATATACTGAAAATGGGCTCTATTACGAGTTCGCTACCCAAGCAATTCCAATAAGCACAAAACGGGCTCATCCAAGCCCATTGATAAGATATCCACCGTTTTAAGCCCAATAGATTGAGTAAAGTTGGTCCATCACCACGAGGCATAAACTACACCACACAAGACTAAGGCCCAAATATGTCCAAGTCCAACCTCTCGCGAAAGCACTTCTAGCCACTTTTATGAGTTATCACTTCCAGTTCAACTTTTTAGCTCTCGTTGTCGCAGATTTCATACTTCTTGATTCGACTTTAAAGCGTTCATCGTGTTCGTATCTTTTTTCGAGTTTAGAGTTGCAAATATTTTACACAAACGTAATGAATGATTTTGTTCGCTACATTTCTCTTTGATGTGACCATGTTAAGGCCCCTTAACGGTTTGGTTTACATTTCGTCGGAAATCAAGCGAATCGATAATCTGTCATTAACTCATAACTGAAGCTACCTCGACACTCTAAAGCTGGTAAGCAGATAGAAATCACTCATATATACAACAAAATGCTGGAAGCATGAAGTAAACCACAGAAGAGACCAACCCCATGAAGAAGTTCATCAATCCACAGCATACCAAACCTCCTAAACACCTAATTTACATAACACAGACATGCATGACAAGTAGTAGTACATCATAGGTTTCTGGTTCAAACACACCAACACCTCAATCGGCAGGTCCCAGAAGGGCAAGCAAGAACTTCCTGTAACTCCCTGATGTTTCAGAATGAACAGCATCATTAAGTTTCTTCTTGTATTTCTTCAGGTACTCGGCCTTGATGTATTGCATATCGATCTCGGTCCTCGTCACGATTACCCGTATCAGTGCTGTATCATTGGTGCCCAGACCCTTCATCGCCTTGTGCAGCACCTGCCAGGAAATGATGAAGGTGAGAAGGGGAAGAAATTACAGCGTTGGTTGCAGGTACTACTGAAAGGAAGAATATGCAGATATTGTTTGAACCTTTGCAAAGTACTTTGCAGGATTCTCTGAGCACAACAGAATGGTCAAAAGTCCTTGCTTGAAATGTCCTGATGTTTCCTTTTTCACAGCCTGTGACGTGATAAACACATGTTAAAGAATGGATTCTAGAAATTAGCCAAAATTTCTAGCAGAACTGGAGGAGTATCTGTAGAGCATCGCTCACCTTTTTCAGGTCGTGTCCGTATAAGTTCTGGTAAGCAGCATCAACGGCAGCCAAATGAGCAGAGCTGCGCGAGCTGAAAATGTTGATGAATGTCTTCTCATCAGTTCCCAACCTCTTCTCCCCTGCTTTGTATAGTGTCTTGGCATCATTCTCAGCCACCTCTTTGTCAACTTCCCAGCCTTCGTAGCGGGGAGTGCTTGCATAAGCAAGCAACAACTGAGAGACAATAAGCAAGTTCAGTTCAACAAAAATCGCAGTTGAGAAGGGTAACAGATTCATTAGGAACAGTAAAAGGTAATGATTGCAGCTGACAATCTTGCTTCATAAGCTACAATTACTCATGTGATGATTCCGGTAACTAAAAAGCAATCCGTAACAGCATAACCCTTATGTACTTCTCCTATGCAGATTGGTAAGAACTTTCGAGCCAACATGACTACCTAGGACTAGGAGAGCGGAAACAGAATGATACCCTTTTATGATCTCCAGAAGTATGAGTTTCGATATCATGCTCGAGGTAAACACGAAACCTCGCATAGTAGTGCTGTTTGAACAACTGTATCTGTGAAGGCGTACGGGAACAGATCACTTCAGTTACGGCATCCAAATTAGTTGTTTCAGACATCAAACCCTGCCTGACAATCACAGCATCACATCCTGGGGCATCTTGCATCCACATAAGAACTGCATTCTGGAGTACAAACACAAATGAGCTTGAGATCAGATTAAGCATGAAACCCCAGACGAGCTCATTTATATGGTGAACATGAATACAGTGCAAAAAGATGAGACAGAAATTGTACAAGAAGTTGCTCTTTACCTCCAGCTTGCCACTAAGTTCTGATGACAAGCGCTTGAAGATGTCCTCCGAGAACATTGTTCGGTACTCATGTTGGATATAGGCACGGTGTGCTGCATCTCGATGGGCCAGAATATCTATAACTGCCGAGGTGTCAGTCCCGAATCCTGCGACAGAATACAAAACAGCAAACCATAGAAATTATCAGATTGCTTCATGTTGTGATTCAATGAGGAGACATGAAAGTAAAAAGGAAAGTTTTTAAAAACCTTTCTATGGCTTAAAACAAGGTGATTCGCATAGCCAGAGTTCAATTATTAATGAACAATCATGTCGACAACATACAAACAATAGAAAAGTCGAGAATCACGCACTATGAGCACAGCCGAAATCGGTTTCCTGGGTTAAAAGTTAAACCAGAAGGGAACCCAGAAACTGGAGATTGTATAAAGTTCCCAATTTTCATACAAAAACCCATATCAGAGACATCATTATTCATGCACATCAAGATTCAGGAGAAGCAATCGACATGGTCGGATTTCAGGGACGTTCAACAAGAGCATCTAATGGGTAAAGGGATTCTTTCTCCCGCTAATTTTTTTGTAAATGTATACGACAAGAGCCTGGGACAAACATGCTGCTCAAGCTAATCGTCCAAAATCAATCCATACAAAAATGGCAGAACATTGAACCAAACCCAAAAAAAAAAAAAAAAGGAAACCCCACAACAAAACGGACAAGCTAGATCAACGGGAATCAACAGAGCAGAAAAAGGGAAATAATATGCATATGAATCAAAATACCCTTACCTTTGAAAGCTTTGTGGAGAAGAATGGCATCGTCTCTGGGAGAAGGAAGCACCGGAGGGAAATTCAAAGTAGACATAGTTAACAGCTACCCTCGTCGTAGAAGAAGAAGAACACGACGAAGGTGACGGCGAATAGAAGAACGGGGGTTGATGAATGGAGGCGGGAGAGTGAAATCAAACCTTCTTGTACGCGTTCTTAAGGTTCCGTCTCCTCCCTGTATAATCTCTCTACTCCCCAAATTTTAGCTTTGCGCAAATTTAGTTGCCAGAGAAAAGAGAGGTGAAACGTACACATGAATATGATATAAGCATCGTCCCTGATGAACGCGTGGCTTTCTTCATTTCAAGGTCGGCTTAACAGTTCAAAAAAAGTATTTTTTTGTCATAAAATATAAAAGTAAGTTATTTGTGCGTAAGTTGAAGGCAGAGCACAGATTCTTTGCATTTGTTAATCGCTTGTTCTTCCAAGTTGCTTATCAACACAATCATGCATGAATTTTATAACAGCATGACAGAACCCGGCAAATATACCTTTCATTGGAACAAGTAGACTATGATATTGAAAGGTGTCTTGTGAGAACGTGCTCATAGGTGCCAACGTTGTTGGATCGGACACTGGCAATACACAATTATGTGATCGAAGCGATGACAATCTAGCAAAAAAAAAAAAAAATTTGCCATATTTTCGATCCAATGGTCACGGAATTGCTCGCGTTCAATCCAACGAGGCATCTGCTAGGACAATAGCAAATAGCTCACACTACAACTTGGATAATAGTATACACATTACTGCAATTTGCTAGATTACAAGAACTAATGTGCCATTTGGAACTCCAGTGCTATCAGGCGCCATTCCACCAGGCTCGATTTAGTACTAGTTGGTCACTGTTCCCTGTGGTCGGACACTAGATGGATTCAAGAATGCCCCTATGCAGCCTTGGACGACATGTCACTGGGAAACTGTGATTTCTGCAAGCTATTTCTCAGGAAACTAGACAGCTTCGCGCATGCTGCACGGCCTCGATCCACGCATTTCAAGTATTCATCTACTGCGAACGAGGAAACAAGCAAATATATGGGCGTTTGTGTTAGGTTCGGTTCCAAATAACATACTCAGCATCAGTAGTCAGCAACATCATGAGTTGGAGAGAGAGAGAGAGGCAACAAGATGCTAAACTATCAGAGTGATGAAGAAATTTTACCTGACATAACGCCGTGGGTGACAGAGGTGATGATCCCGTGTTCCAAGGGTTCGCCATTGACAAGAGACGATCCTTCTGGGAGGGCTGACAGAGCTGAGTTTGGAAAGACTAAATATGCAAAGCCTCTCATTTGCTGCCCAAAAACAAATTCAATGACACTAAGGGTCAAGTTACAGAAGGATTGAAGACTTGGGGTGTAAATTGATATGGGACATTATCTTAATAACCTGCTCCTCCAACTTTGTTGGATCGAGTACTACGGACCCATCTTCTGCCACGCAACAACAAATTGCCACTGGAGAGACAAAACAGGGAATATCAGATAAGTCACTGCCAGAAAGAAAAGAAAGAAGAAACATGCTTGAGGATGTGTAGTAAGTAATTAATCATGTATACCGGCAAGGTGCTTCAAGGGAATTCCAGCATCAACAAGGGCAGCACATGCTGCATTTATGGCACAAGGTAGAAGCTACACGAGTATTTTAAGTCAAGAAAGCAATTGCGGAAGCAAGACTTATTCCGAAAAATAGACAAAAAGCACAGGAAGACTGGAAAGAGATTGCTCCTAAAGAAAAACGCATATTATGTTGTGACCCAAGCCAGCAGGAGTTTGAACCAAGAGAGGGGTACAGAAGCATGCATTCATGATAGACACACCAAGAATACCACGGGAATGAGAGAGGGAATTGCTCCTACAGTAACAGAAAATGTAATTGTTCCCGTGGAGCAAGCAAACAATACTATCATTAGCAACATGTTCGGATACAGTCAGAAAATTCTTTTTTAATGAATCCCTAGGGAACATTTTCAAGCAGGCAGAAAGGGAGAGCATATTAAAGGAGTACTACTGCAAGATTAAGCAATGAAGCTCAGCCAAGTTGCATTACAGATTTCACTTACAAAACAAGAAAACGTAAGGATACAGCACCATCATCATTGACAACCTGCAAAACAGAACGTACAAACTAATGAGTGGTGCTTTAAACAAGAATCCAGGCTCCAAGCATGTATTATTTAACTTCTACAATCATAGCAACATCAATCTAATAATAGATAGAACGCAAATCCAGTGAGAGGAAAGCATCACTGCTACAATTTTCATCACTCGAAAGTCTGTTAATGGCATGATAATTGACCATTCGAACAAATGCCACAAACACATTTAAAATTTGTTCCAAAACAACAAATACTTCCACATAGACTTTCTGATTTAAAAGAGAGATGGAAACAGCAAAACATCTGTGGTAAATTTAGTGGTTACAGATACTGAAAAGTGAGTAAGCAGTTGCACTAGGTGCCTATATTTCACTGTCTGGAACAGATTCTAAACATTAAGCCTCGACATAGATCACTAACCTGAACTATAACTGATGTTGTGGTGTTTGGATTGATTGTCAAAAGACAAATGCTCTGTATAGTCTTCTTCATTATCATCTCACACTCCTTTTCCGCCTTGCCTATACATTTATCGAACAAAGGGGAAAATCAGAGGCCTCGAAAGTGCAACAAAACTCAAACCAGCTAAGAACCAATGCCACCCAACCACTTGAAACCCAAGTGACCTAAACCAAAACCCTCATTACGTGCTCTAACATTTACGGGGTTCAATCTGAGGAATACCCACTGAACACCCAGATAAAAAAGCTCACCAATTTGGCCTGTTTTGGGTTTCCAAATGACTTCAATACAAGCTTTCTCAGGATCCTCATTCTTCTTCGTTCCAGCCTTGGGTCCATAAACAGCAGCCAAAACCTTCGTCTCTCCTAAACCCCCCACAATCAGCAACACCCAACACAATCAACAAAAGTTTTCAAACCAAAATCAGTAACCTTGCAGCGAAAAACAGAAGGGAAGCCACAGTCAAGAACTCAATATGCTGTGGTATCTACCTTGAGACCAACTGGCGGAGCCGTGGGCACGGTGGAGGATGTTGCGAGAGCACTTCAACGGCCTCAGCTGGTTCGGCGTGCGGCCGTCTTTCCGGTCGGTCTCCATCGGTATCGTTCAACTAAACCTCCAATTGACGATTTCGCTCTATTAGCGTCCTTTTGAGCTCGAAAAAAGACCTTGAAATTCAAAACGAAGCTACTCGAAGTGAAACTTGAGTAAAAAAATCGCACAACTGTTACAGAAGCGAACAACGAAGCCGCCGCCGCCGTCGGTAATATCTTCGTCAGCTGGCCGGCTAGCTCGGACGTCGCTCTGTTCGGCGGACGGTGTCAACAGTCAAATTGTTAGAGGATGACCGATGAGTCATGAGTGCAGGGGTTTTGACTTTTGAGTTTTTGGGCTTTGGGCTTTTGGCTAGAGTTAAATGGCAAAATGGTCACTGAACTTTTGCTCCGTATCGCAAGATTGCCTCTAAAATTTGTAATGTGTATTGAAGTGTTCATTTATGTTTTGAAATCGTGAGAAAATGAAAATGGTCACTCTCCAATGAAGTGTTCATTTAAAGACAATGAAAAGCATAGGTCAAGTAGTTTTCCCCCGTTGAATCAAGTAGTTCTTTTCATTTGTGTTTCAATCTGCTCATTTAAATATCCAATTAATTCAGGCAAAATACACCTGTATAGCCATAACTTTCACACTTTTGACAAATATAGCCATTTTTATTCGAAAACCAAAAATAGCCAATTCCGTCCATCTCTTTAACGGTGTTACTTAACAATCTGACTGTACTGACGGAATATGCTGAGTTGGCGATTTATGGTCCCCACCAAGCCGATGTGGATTAACAAAAAAATTAAAATATAAAAAATCATTATTTATGTCATAATTTAGTTTAAAAAAAATTGCAACCCTAGCTTCTCGATGCTCTCCACCACCACTGCCGCCGACTCTCCCCTCCTCCTTTCTTCTATCTAATTCTAACCCCACATCTCTCGATATCCTTCACCAATGGCGGCCACAATCTCCAACCTCTTACTATGTCTATTCCTCTCCCTCGCCATTTCCCTCGCCCACGCCTCCAACCCCGACCTCGACTTGTACATAACGGTGCCGAGCTTCTTCCGGTGTCCGATTTCGCTCGACGTGATGAAATCCCCCGTCAGCCTCTCCACCGGCGTCACCTACGACCGCTCCAGCATCCAGCGCTGGCTCGACTCCGGCAACAATACCTGCCCGGCGACGATGCAGGTCCTCGACACCAAGGAGTTCGTCCCCAACGCCAACCTCCACCGCCTCATCCAGACCTGGTCCAGCCAAAACCGCCACAATCCGCTCGACGACTCCTCGGCCTCCTCTGCCGAGTCGGCATCGCCGCTCTCGCTGGACAAAATCCAGCTCGTCGTCAAGGAAATCGGAGGCGAGGAGAAGGAGTCCGGAAGAAATTGCTCCTTCGACGACCTGTCAAAAATCGCGTCTTTTGCCGAGGAATCCAGCGAGAATCGGAGGTTCCTGGCGAAGATGGACGAATTCGTCACAATGCTCGCTGCTCTGATTCATTCGGATGACAAGGATCTTTCCCCGCCGGTGGTGGAGCTTGCGGTTAGGGTTTTGGATTCGGTGTCGACCGAATTTGGGGATTTTCACGAGCTGAAGAGATTGTTACTGATTCCAAAGGAGAAATCCCCCAATCCGCTGCCGTCGTCGCTCGTCCGTGTCATGAAACAGGGGAGCCGGCCATAATCGCGAATCGCAACGGTACGGATCATCCAATCAATCGCCATCGACGCCGAATCGAAGCTCGCTATGGCGGAAAGTGACGGATTACTGCTCCACCTAGTCAATTCCATCGCTCCACGGACCGATCTGCCTCTCATCGACGCCGTCCTCTCCGCTGGTCAAGTCAGTTTTTTGTTTTTCAATTGCAGGGTAGATCTATGTTTGACTTGAGTTCTCGCTTCAATTTTTCTCCATTTATGGATTCTGAATTGGCCACCGTCGCCGTGGCAATGCGAATCGAGACGGTGGTGCTACCGCTGGAGAGGTGGTTGGGAGAGGAGAGGGAAAGGAGGAGGAAGAGGAAGCGAAGAGAGAGATGATTGGAGGAGGAGAGGGAAAGGGATTTGAGCAGAAGATGTTGCGGGGGAGGAGAGCTAGAATTTTTTTTTTATAATTTCAAAATTAATTATTATTGTAATTCAAAATGACATGGGAATGATTTGATGATTGGTCGCTGACGTGTCCAACGATTTGGCATCCTAGTCAGCCTAACGTTAATCTAACTGACGGAGTTTCTAACACCGTTAAAGTTTCTAACGGATTTGGCTAGATTTGTCACACTACCTTTAGTTTTTTGGGCTATTTTTGGTTTTCGAATAGTTATGGCTATATTTGTTAAAAGTGTGAAAGTTATGGCTATACAAGTGTATTTTGCCATTAATTCAGTACATTTGACTCCAATTTATTTGATATTAATACAATTGGATGAGTTGTTACAAAATTACCATTTAATATCTATAATTTATATATGTTAATCCAGGATCTAAAATCTATATTTTTAACAAAATAATATCGTTTGAAAAATACGTCTGATACCTAAAACTTTAAGATCTAGACTTTTCAAATTTTAAATATTGCTCCAATTTTAGATGTCACTTGGATCCATAATCCAATCCACTAATCCATTTGCCACCTCAAATTGTGCTTGGTCAATCATGATCTCCAACTAAAGTCAACATATATATTTTTTAATATAGGCAATGAATTGAGAAATTTAAAAAATAAAAAATTATTCTTGTTGAAGAAGGATGATGTGACATTTTTGTTGACGGCCACATCATATTATTTATTTCATCACATCACAACATCCACCAACTCACCATCATTTAACGAAAATGTTAACGGACACTTAATGATTGACTATTATTATGTATTTCCAAAGATTGGGCTAATATTTTACGAAATGAAAAAACTATTTGGCTAATAAATCATATTTACAATAGAAATTATTTGAAACACAAGAAAATAGGAAATTACAAATTTGTGCTGGTAAGATCGCGGTTAATAGCTTTTGGATAAAAAAAACTTTAATGGTGATAATGTTTCCAACTTGAAATTCAAAACGAAGCTACTCGAAGTGAAACTTGAGTCAAAAAATCGCACAAACGGTTACAGAAGCGAACAACGAAGTCGCCGCAATCGGTAAAAAACTTTAATGGTGATAATGTTTCCAACTTATAAGGTTACATTTTATTAAAAAATAAATTCTTACCCAAAAAATAAATAAATGTATATATTTAATAAAAATACACATTCAAGAGGTATATTATACTTATAAAATTAATTGAATTAGAGATGTGACTAGGTTTTTGTTGCGCCATAGCCTATAGTTTGCTTGATGGTTTGGGTTCAATTTGAACGGAATAGAAGTGCGCAAGATTTGGGCCCAGATATGGCTCTACGGGCTGGTCCGTTGAGTTTGGTTTTTTTTTTTAACAATAAAACCATCTTTTATTCCAACATCGAAACAAACGAGAAACTCCGGTTACATTCTTTAAAGAAGATCAGAAATTAGATCAAGAATACTAATCCAGTCCACGGGTAAAGTAGATCTAGCTTTAGAGCGTGCTACCCAATCGGCTCTGACATTCAAAGCTCTCGGCACCTGATTGACTTTAATGAACGGGTTATTCCTAAGGATGTTGATCATTGAGCCAATCCAGGCCGCACACCGCCATGGCCATCCCGAATAATCTTTTTCCAAAGCTTTCACCAGATCCTGACAATCAGAGAAAACCGTGCATTCCGTTCCATATTCTTGTGCTAATTTAATACCTTCCAAGAGGGCCTTCGCTTCCGCTTCAATCGGGGTGGAACAAAGAAAGGTCTCAGCTCGTCCATCACTCACTTGTCCATGGTGGTTAGAAGTCACAACACCATATGCCGCCGGCTGGGAGTCGCTAATGAACGACCCATCACGGTGAATCATCAAAGGGTGATTACTTGGCGGGGGATTCGTAGAGGTATGGGTTCCCCTGAGCTGAGTAGGAGAGGCATCATTTGTAGATGGGGGCCTCGGGATGGAACTCCATTCAGTGCGTTCTCTAAAAGTTTGCAAACAGACGTTTGGGGGCCAAGGAACTCTATTCTTGAAAGTGCACTCATTCCTAGCCTTCCAGATATTCCAGCAGAGGAACACGATATGGATCAAGGCTTCATGTGAAATAGCATCCTTGATATCCCAGATCCAATCAAAGAAAGCGGAATCCTGGGGAGGGAGAGGAAGAGAAGGGAAGATAGAACTCCAAACTTCATTTGCATGAGGGCAGTAGAAAAGACGGTGCAAGAGGGACTCATTTGGGTTATTGCAAACTTGACAAGTCGGGTTAGGGGCACATTTCCTGTGAAACAACCTCGCTTTCGTTGCCAGCCCATTTCTTGAACACCTCCAAATGAAGAATTTTAGCTTGGGTGGGAGGTTCAATCCCCACATCCATTTCCATTTGTCAGCGCTTCCTGTCGGTTGGAAGTTTGTATTTTCTTTGTGGAAGGCGTGGTAAGCCGTCTTAACCGAGAACATTCCTTCTTTTGACAGACTCCACGCCCAGAAGTCTTCGGCTCCTTCCTCCCCGATCGGGATCCTCCAGATCGCATCTAATTCTTCCTTGGACACATGCCCCTTAATAGTATTCGAGTCCCAACATCTGTTCTCTTGATTAATCCAGTCCTTGACCTTCAAATGTTGTTGGGGCCCGCTTCGGATGATGAAATTTTTAAGATTGGGAATCCAAGGGTCCTAGTTCACCCAAGTCTCCTCTCCTGATCCAATGACCTTAATTGCTCCTAAATTCAACACTTTTTTTGCCTCCCAGAGACTCGCCCAAATCCAAGAGGGTCGACTTCCCTTCTTTGCGCTCATGAATTCTCCTCTCGGGAAATAGAGGCCCTTAAGGAGGCGGCTCCAGAGTGAGTCAAACGACGTGAGTATTCGCCAAGCTTGTTTCGCCAGAAGGGCCATGTTGAAGTCTCTGAAGCTTCGGAAACCCAGTCCCCCTTCACTCTTTGGAGCACAGAGAACCTCCTTTCGACACCAGTGCATACTGCTTTTCTGCATAGACCCTGTCCAGAAGAAGTTGGTAAGGAGAGCATCCATCTTCTTGGTAAGGTTCACTGGGAGGTGGAAAAGATACATGATGTATGATGGGATAGCTTGAATCACGGCTTTGAGCAGAATTTCTTTTCCTCCATGAGAGAGCAGAAGACTTTTCCAAGCTTCCCCCATCTTCTCCATTCTTTGGATAAGGAAGCTAAAGGTATCCTTCTTCGGATTGTAGTCATATATATAATATATATATATAGATATTCGGCTTGTCCGTTGACCACAAAAAAAAAACTTTTTTCTTCTTTCTCCCCCAAGTGAAGCCGAGCTGGGATGCTAGCCGCCACTCAGTTTCCTCCTTCCTTTACTCCATACTTCTTTACATTCCGGTGATGGGAAAGCTAGGCAACAAGAGGGAGATGGATTGCCGTCGCAGCGACCGAGACGACGGCGGCAACGAAGCAGAACAACTTGCTCCTACTCTGAGCCGACCTAGCAAGAGGCAGAAGAAACTGCTCATCACTACTAATGAGCTTCTGACCAAGCTCTGCAACTGGCTTCGCGACAAATTCATCCGCCCTCCTCCTTTTTCCTCCTCCGATTTGATTCCTTTCAACAAATACAGCGATTCTGGTTTCGGATTAAGCAAATACGACGTCTTCATCAGCTTTAGAGGAGCCGATGTCCGGAACTCCTTCCTCAGCCACCTCTACTATCACCTGAACCATTTGTGGAAACTGGCGGTCTACAAAGACGATGTGGATATGGAGAGAGGGGAGCAGATCTCGTCGTCGCTCTTGCTGGCGGTTCAGAGATCCGACGTCTACATTGTGATTCTTTTCAAGAACTAGTTGATCCCAATAACTCGAGTTGTTGGGAGAGGTTCAATCGTGGATCATATACCACAACATTAACACACCCCCTCAAACGAAAGCCACTCACAAGGGCTTGAAGTTTGCACAGGTCTGAAGACAAGAATACCATGTGCTTAACGAATGGGGGTCATCGGGAATCGAACATAAGACCTCTCGGTCACAGAAGGCTCTAATACCATGTCAAGAACCAGTTGATCTCAATAACTCGAGTTGTTGGGAGAGGTTCAATCGTGGATCATATACCACAACATTAACAATTCTCTCCCCCAAATACACTGATTCCCCATGGTGCTTGGAGGAGCTCGAGAAGATTCTCCAGTGTATGAAGCTGCACGGACGGAGGGTTATACCGGTTTTCTACGGCGTCGATCCTTCTACGGTCGAAAACCAGAAATTGCCCTCTTCTGCCGCTGGGAGAATTCGAAGCTGGAGAGGTGCATTGAGTGAAATAGCCAACCTCTCCGGATTCGATTCTCAGTTCATCAGGTAAATTACGTCCACCTCTACCCAATAATTGATGGCTTCTCTATCATAACCTTATTGCATATGTATTTGTTGCTCTCTTGTGGAATGAATTGAAAAATCTGAACTGCGGATCTCCTCCAGACCTGAAACTAAACTCGTCGAGGAAATCGTTGAAGCTGTATTCCAGGCAATACGCTGCTGCTGCAGCAGCCAGATGGTAAATTTTTCGTCATATTCGGCTAGTAGAGGTTTGGTTGGAGTGGAAAGGCAGATAGAACAATTACAAGCCTTGTTGTGCTCCGACGAGAGGAGTAATTGGACGATTGGACTGTCGGGAATGGCTGGCATTGGGAAGACTACTCTTGCTAAGGCTTTCTTCGACCTATTCTCCTCTCGATTCGAAGCTTCATACTTCTTCAGCAATTTTGCTCGCTCGATGGCTAGCGGGCTGTCTGTATTGCCATTTGGTAATTTGCAAAATGACTTCTTTTCAAAGCTGTTGGGCGATGAGAATGGCAGAGCAGGTGGAAGAGTATCCTATGATTTGATGCTTCGCCGCCTTGGTTGTATGAAGGCTTTGGTTGTGATTGACGATGTGGGCGACATTGGCCCCCTGAAGGATCTGTTAAATGGACAGTATTGCAATTTATTCGGCCCGTGCAGTGTGATCATCATGACGAGTAGGAACAAACAACTTCTTAAGAGTGTTTGTGATCTTGTATATGAAGCCAAGGGTCTGGACTATGAAGAAGGGCCTCGACTTTTCCGCTTGCATGCCTTCAGACAACAAAATGTCCAAACTGAATATTTGCACATGATCGGGAGAGCAGTGAACTATGTCAGTGGAAATCCATTAGCAACTACCGTGTTGGGTGCACACTTATTTGGTCGGGACCTCAAGTTTTGGGATCGTGAGTTAGGCGCCTTGGAAGATAATCCAAACTCAGTGGTTCAGAATGTATTGCGAAAGAGTTACGATGGATTGAGTAGAGAAGAAAAGGATATATTCCTTGATCTTGCATGATGTTTTCAATATTGGATATATCGCTGGGTAGATCACATTGCGGAATTAATGGGTTTAGAAGGTGGGAGAGTGAACCTCATCGCTAACCTTGTGGATAAGTTTCTTATAATCACTGATTCCAATGGACTACAAATAGAAGTTAATCGTCTGCTAGAAGTCCTTGCTCGCAGCATTGTCAATGAAGAACGACAAATTGAAAAACGTTCGAGGTTGTGGAAATCTCAAGATATTTATTATCTATTTCGCAAAAACAAGGTATAAAGTCTTACTTTTTGTGATTGTCTAAGGACTAAATTTTACTGCATTACTTATTTTTCTTTATAGTTTTTTTTTTTGCAAACAAATTTCCTATTAACTTGACTTTTTATTAGTGATAGTAATTAATTTATCACTTGAAGGTTAGGCACTGAATTTGAAAAATAAATTTTTTATGGACCTGTTTGTTTTTGTTTTCACTACACAGGGGACTGAATCCACCGAAGGTATCTTCTTGAAGGTTGACCAAATCGGATTCAAGGTACATGGCTTGCACTCTTTTTTTAAGAAGGATGAACATGACTTGCACTTGCAACCCGACACTTTCATGAAGATGAAGAAACTCCGATTCCTCGTGATTGGTGAGTGCGCTAGCAGTCTAGTTACTCCAAAGGATGGGTTAAAATATCTACCAAACGCGTTGAGAATTCTTGACTGGCATTCGTTTGCTTCTAAGTGTTTGCCTTGTCAATTTTCTGCTGAAAATCTTATCAAACTTAATCTGCCATGTAGCCAGATTGAACAACTTTGGGAAAGTGATGAACAACTTAATGCGGTACGTATTTCTTAATTCAATAATCTAGAGCTTCTTTTGAAATTCCGTACACTTTCCTCATTGTACTGTACACATACACATCTTGCAGGATTTGGGGAATTTGAAATTCCTTAATCTCACGGGATCAAAAAGGCTAAGAAAGTTGCCTGATCTCTCCAGGGCTAAAAAGCTTTAAAACGTTGACCTTTCTTCATGTGAGAGCTTAGTGGAGCTCCCCTCCTCAATTTTGGATCTCCCCAAGTTGGACTCCCTCAACTTGTCGGATTGCATCTGCCTAAAGTTCGAGAACTTGGCAGACTATCCAACCAGCAACCACGAACAAAGTACTTGTCATTATGGCATTTTACCCAGCCTGAGAATGTTGGATCTAAGCTACATACCAATCCAGAAGTTTCCAAGTTTCATCACCAAAATGCATATTGTGGGACTCCGATGCAGTGGCTGCTCTCAGTTGACTGAATTTCCAGTCATCCCAAGCCTGAAGGGCTTAACCTTGCGAAGAGGTGGTTGAGTTGGAGAAGTTGACAGAATTGACGAACCTCGACCTTTCGAAAAACGAGCAACTTATTCTCATCTCTGGTGACTTCTCTAAGTTGAAATCTCTGGGACATATCAACCTAGAAGATTGGAAGAGTCTAGCATGCCTCCCTTTCACCATCCACAAACTAACGAGATTGAGTGAACTCAATCTGGTTGGTTGTGATCAGCTAAGGCATTTGCCAGAGCTTCCTCCATCCTTGCAAAAATTGGATGCTCATGGTTGCAAGTCACTTCAAACCCTGTCAATTGGCAATGTCGAGAAACATGACTTCTCAGATATAGATTGGTGCTTTGGCATAGTGGTCATAATTTCTGCTTCCCTTTTGTGCTGTATCATTGCTGCAGTTCACACAGGATTCTATTCGATGCTCTTACCAGTCGAGCCTGTTACTCCCTGCAAAATGGGGGAGTGAAAGTGGTGGTGGTGAAGGAGGAAACAAAAAGGGACCTAATAATGGTAATACTAATAACACAACAGTGACAGCAAAGTTGCGTGGACATCCATGGAAGTTGAAGTCGATAATCTTCTGTGTGCTGCTCAACTCCCCTGATCCCCTTCTTAGTAATAAGGACACCAATTTCCATGTTCATTGCATGATGCTCGACGATAGAGACAATGCTGGGGGGCTGAAGTTGTTGTGGGCGAATACGTTTGGAAACCTTTCCGAAAATATGATGATCAGAAAGATGAGCGTCTCTTGAATGGTCACTTCTTAGTATGGTCTACTGATCAAACACTCGTCGTTGGGGAAAATGCGGGCGACTCTTCTACCGTTGAATTCTTCTTTCGCTGCTGGTACACGCACGAGCTGCTCGACTTGATCAAGAATTGTCTGGTTATTCCAGTTTACGACGACAGAGTAGTGACGAATGAAGATGGCGAAGAAGAAAATGATGATGATGATGATGAAGAATCTCCAAATGGTCTCCATGGATTATATGATCGGTTGTGTGATCACCCACCAGCAGTGAAGTTCTTTACAGAGGTAAATGGATCAGCTAATTACAGCTACTCAGAATTTTGTTCTTTTTTTTTCTTTTCTAACTTAAAGCCATTTTCCAGTTTTATGAAGTTTGTGATATAACATTATGATCCAAGTTCTCTAATTCATATCATTCATGTTTCTTTATTTCGATTTCCAGGAGACATGAAACTGCTGTGCAAGTCAAATAATGCAAAAAACTGCATCAACGTTTGGAAAGTGATGCTTGGTTTTTGGCCATTTCCACTTGAGGAAGGAAGGATAGATGTATGTTTTATGTTTTGGGCTTAGGGCTTTTTGTGAGCTCAATGGCAAAATGGTCACTGAACTTTTGATCCATATTGCAGAATTGCCACTAAACTTTGTAAAGTATGCTGAAGTGCTCATTTATGTTTTTGAAATCGTGAGAAAATGGTCACTCTCCAATGAAGGGTTAGGAGATCAAGACAATGAAAAGCATAGTTCATCGAAGAGGTCAAGTGGGTCTTTCATTTGTGCTTGATCAATGATGATCTTCTACTAAAATTGAACATATATGACTCCTCTAAACGCAGCCATTTTTTTATTGTCGAAGATAAATTTTTTAACTTGATTTGGGACCAAAAGGAAAGCTAGGTTTGTTTAACTTTCCTACAAGGAAGAATACTTCCTTTGGAGTGGGATAGTAGAATAATCCTGGAGTAGATGTGTTCAAATCTAAGTTCATCTCGTCCGTGGGATTGATCAATCATACTTCTTGTGTCGTTGTACAATCATGTGGTTAAGGTGAAGACGAGAAGTGGTTGAACTATAGTTTGAGACCAGCCCACCTATACAAAAAAACCAGATTGTTATATCGTATTGAGCCAAATCTACGGTCACAAATTTCCTAACACACTGATACCGACACCAACTTGATTGTCACTCATAGCAAACGTTCAAAATAGATAGAAATGAACAACTCCGACAATCTCAACTCTCTATCGATCTCCTACTTCACGAAACCGTTTCCAATCACGTCGTTAAAGTAAAGATTAAGGATGTCAGACAGTAGTTTAAAACTAAACGCATTTCCACAACCTCTCAACTCTATATCAACCGCCCGAAACCGGCATATAAATCTCGAGTAACTTCAGTGTTCTAAGTCGTAATCAACCTTCATCCATCAACTCTCTGAAGCTCGTACAAAACGGAAGTTTACACATCATTGGTGGAGAGATCCACCAACCGCATCCGAGAAGCTTTGTCAGACTCTGTATGTCTTTTTTGTTGGCAAATGAATCCTTTTACGGCTTGAAAAAAGAGAGTCGACAAAAAAAAGTTTTGCAGTCGGCTTTGTTGATTCCATTCACCTACCTACCCTTGTTTCAACTCTTTCCGATCCAAATAAACCAACAAAGTAGTACGTAGTAGTCGTAGTGGGTAGTTGTTGGTGAAATCATGAAAGCACATGACCCACGTGTTTTCTTAATACTTAAATGGCCTCTCGTGTTGACGTGCGGGATGAGAACGTCTATCATATTTTATCTTTGAACTCCACGACCAAACAGCCGATTAGAAACGAAGCATATATTGAATGAGTACGATGAATTTATTTAATGGGTTGTGTTTGTTGTAGTTTTCTCGATAATTCTTTCTAAATTTTGGAGAATTGTGTTTCGGGTGCCATTGTTTGTTTTAACTTTTTCTTTCTTAGTTCACTGAGAACAGCGCGATACAAAACAACAGTAACATTACACACACAAAAAAAAAGAGAGGAACATATAGTTTTTTCATAAAAAAAAAGTGCGACTTGAACACCCCAATTACTGAGACGACCCACCACCTGGCGGACAAGGCTCGCCTTGCCACCAGTGGGAGAGCCAGTAATTTGAAGGAGGCTGATTTGAACCGTGATAATTAGAGAGAGGGGTTAAAGTCTTGATGACAACTTTTTTTTTTTTATAAATTTGTTCTGAACGTGACATGTAATTTTGTATAAATTTGGAAGACCTTTAGGTCTTGAATGGGATGTGACTGTTTCATATGTTTATAGGGAGGGAAATTTTGCCGCCGACTACTTGGCTTGCAAGGGCCATAATGCCCCTTTTGGTACACATCCCTTCGATGTGTGTGACCCGACTTTGTGTAATTGGCTTTTGTATGACTCCATGGCAATCTCCATGGACCGTTTTATTATTAATACGAGTTAGCAGTTAGGACGCTTTGGCGTTCGTCTTCCTACCTAAAAATTAACGAGAGCCGATTATACTCCTTCAGACTTCTTCCTAGCTCCGCCACTGCTTGTTTGCCTCTATTAGCATCCCCTTCGGCTCCTCGACTCACAAGACCCAAATTGTGTCGAGCCAGCGGTCTCAGAGTTTGACTCTATTATACCTCTTGTTGATCAAGTGGTTCAAACTTCAGAGTAGTTAAAAATGAAGATTTCCTGGCAACCAACGCCGAGATCCAGATCCGAATATAACTCTATATTTGCAGTATTAATTAAGTACGGATTAGATATTACTTATTAGGCCTGCTATATATAATTAATGAAGTAATTAAGAAAGAAATTAGAGAAACCCATGACCGTTTCCTGTTCCTCCACATGATCTACAGTTATGCTTAGCGTGCTGCAGCTGCATAATTATATAGTGTTATCAAAACCAGAAAAACCCCATAAAACAAAACTGCGACAGATCCGAAGAAAATCAGACATACACAGGCCGGATCCACAACACAAGCTGACGGATCGATACTGTGGATCAAGTTCATCATCATCATCTTCCATTTGGTGGTGGACCTGCACAAACTGATAAATTTTAATGAATGGTTGCTGCTGCAGATATTATGTGCCTACCTACCACTACGGACAACAATTCTAACCCGAATTTACGGGTACCCAACTCAATCCAACGCAGTCAAAGCGAGTGAAATTTAGTGTCAACGGGTTTTGGATCGGTTCAACCCGCTTTCCACTCAGACATGCACTTATAAAGCAAAATGGCGTTATTTTGTATCTAACCGACCATTTTTTGGGGGGACTTTTCTTACTGGTATCGAATATAACAAGCGCAACCCTCGTGTTTAGTTGCCGCCTGTAGGGTTTATAACCCTGGACAGACAAATCATTCGATTGAAAAGTTTTTGTGAGAACATACAATATGTATAATTTATGGATGCACGTAATTAATTTTCACATCAATATAAATTTAATAATATTGATAATTTATGAATGTTTTTAATCTTCATGGATATATTTTTATAGGGAAAACTTTGATAACGTTATAATGTCGGTGTTCGAATAAATAATATAATGTTAGGTTTGTGAATTTTTGATTACTCGATGGGTTGGATTTTCACTTCTAGATCCCAAAATATTTTATCAATTTTTTTTTCTTCAATAAATGCACCCGCTTGTTGAGTTTGAGATTAGAGAAACCCGACCAACCCATCCCTACCTACCACAAATTGATCATGATCCATCTTGACTGGCCCTAGCCTCCCCGGATTGAAACTACTCTTCTGAAGTTTTGATAACTAACCACTTTATATCAATCAGTGCTCTCCATGAATGTTTGCTGAAAATTAATTTAATTTTAGAACTATAAAAAAAATGTAACAAAATCTAAAGAAATGCATTTCAGGAAATATAGTGAATAACGATTTTTTTATTGAATAAAAAGCTATTTTCTGGGAATTATTATTCAGTAGATTAAAGTCGTTATTTGAATCATAGATTCATTATTTTTATTCAGGCTTGTTAGGTCCTACCTTTAGCAATAGCAGCCTTTTGCATGTAACTTAAAATAAAATTAAAACAAAATATTCAAAATGGATCTTGTTGAATTTATATGAACTAATATTATTCTATAATCTATTTCGTTAAAAATGGAAAAACTTTTTTTGTTTTAAATAAATAATAGAGATAATCTTATATTTGTAAAACAGGTTTTTCACCGAAGTTCCTACTTTTATGTAATTTACACTTTTAATATTTTCAAAAGGTGTGTATAGAGGTGTTGGTCCGAATTCAGTTTTTGAAGTATACAAATATTTTTAAAAATCGGGTCAAATATAGGTTTAAGAAATTAAATTTATGATTTTTCGGAATCTGAATATCATTATTTGCATAACCTGTTTCTAAAACACTGGACAGTGGACAATAGAAAAATTGAAACGGAAAAACCAAGAGAAAAACAAAGAAATAAAGCTTTATGGCCATGCAGAGGTTAGAGCCAGCCAATGAGGCTCTGGCAGACAGCCAAATTATGCATTTAGCCATCGTACTTGTGACCTTTTCTCTTTTTATCCAATACTTTTTGCCTCTTTCTTCTTTTGTTGCAAAATTTTTTTGGCCTTTTTCTGAAATAAAGTCAATATGCTATAGCTTAAAATTAGTATTATTGTTTAATATGCTTCCTGCAATATTTTTACTAGGAACCCTCACAAATTCTCTGTTCAAAACTAGGTTTTCGCTTGATGACTATCATTATCAACAGGTTCATCGGAAGCGCTATCAACTAGTGGTGGACCCAGAATTCTTTGGTAGGTGTGTTGGCAAAAAAAAAAATAATTAATAAATTAAATGTATTAAATAAAAAGTAAAATAAAATTTAATTCATTAAGGTCGTAATTTATTATTTTTCACAGTGACACACGGCGACTTTTCATATTCAGAAAGGTTTGTAAAATATATTTGTCGCTTATGGTGTGATCAAACTTCTTTCGACGTACAAAAGTAAAAATTCATTCATAAAACTGATTTTGAAGTTCGCTCTTGATTAACTCCATAGCATAAAATGGAAACAGGAACGTTGGCGACAGGCGTTAACGTAAAATTTTGAAAGAGGATGAGGTTCCACCGGCAGGTGCTAGCAATTAGAGAGTGGAGCAAAGGACAGAGAACTGTGAGCCATGGGTTGTGGATTTTTTCCTCACGACATTTTCACTAAAAATTAAAATAAATAATCTATATTTGTGTATTTTGGTACCTATTGCTATATGACATCAAAATCAATATAGTGTATTAAAGGTGTGTCGATTGCAGTTATGTGAGGTGTGTCAGAAATCCCGAATTCAAGTTTTTTGTACCAACGAAACATGGATCTCTCACAAAATTTCCGAGCTAAGGTGTGTCGGTTGACACACCTTGCTAATGCATGGGTCCACCCCTGCTATCAACAACAATTGTTTTTTTTTATCATCTTTGTTCGTGATTGTTGCAGACAATAGGTTAACTTCTACGAGCTCGACCTAGTGGATAGGTTGATTTTGATCTCAAAATTGATGGTGGATGAAGGAAGGCGGTGAGACGAGGATGAGAGGAATTTGACAATGTTATATAGCATTGGTGCTATAGGTTTTTGTCTTTGTGGTACAACTTGAAATTGTACCGTTAATGTTATGGTACAACTTTAAATTGTACCTATACTTTTTGTGCAAATTCTTTTATGGTACAACTTGAACTTGTACCTTTATGTGATGGTACAAGTTCAAGTTGTAAAGTTGTACCATAACATAATTGTACAAATTCCTTTATGATACAATCTAAACTTATACATTTATTGTTATGGTACAACCTAAAATTGTACATTAAAGCACCAATACTATATAGCATAGTAGAAGTGCTCCGAAGACGATGTGTAGCCAAAGTAAGGCCTATGTACTATCTCATTCTTCTTGCCAGGGAGACAAGACCATCTTTAACCACGAGTGATGAAAATGATAAATTAGCATGCATATAAGTATAGTTTAATTCATGTTAAATGAACCAAAGAAACAAAGCAAAGCGTTTTAAATTAAAAAATCGTGATGATTGGACTAAAATGCGTGTTGGAAATAGATAAACGAATATTCGAAAACCAACAAGTTAACTTTAAAAACTAGGTTGGAGATTATCTGCTACCAACAACTATGGGGTAGTTTGGTTTTAGTGATTGTTTGGTGGGGATAGTTATAATGCATGTATTGTTCACAATGTATTGTTTTTTTTTTGAATTTTTTGCACAAACAATACATGCATTGTTTGTTTGATTTGACACAATCTATCACTCAAAATGAGTGATAGTTAAATCTCAAGTTTTTTGTGAGATTGTTGAGATTGTTGGGTTATTTTTTCTTCCAACTATATCCCTACCTTTTTCATGTGTGTTACTTTTTTATTAGGGAAGGCAACAAAACCCGAACCCACGGGTACCCAGCCGACCCAACCCGGACAACGCGGGTAAAATCCGTGTTGACGGGTTTTGGGCCGGGTTTTGGTTTAAACCCATTCACTATTCACCGGGTTGGGTTGGGTTTGGGTTTAGGTAAACCCGACCCATGGGTACCCGCCCACATCCATATAATTAATTTTCTCGACATATTTAATATTCTAAACTACAACTAATCTTATTTATGTTTGTGGAGACATGTCTAATTTTTTCTTTCTAGTTATGTAGAATGAAGTTGATGTTATGGAGTGGAGAGTGAAAAACTTAATTGAAAGGAAGAAGTTTTCAATTAATCATGTTATTTATGGATAATTTGTGATTTGCTTCAATTTTTTTGAGTTTTCTAGATTGGTGTTGAACAATTTGTATAGTTAATTTGTGATTTGCTTGAATATTATAGAATGATGTTTTATATATGGATAATTTGTATTGAGAGATTGATATTTGACTTTAATTTTGATAGGAACTTTTTGTTGTGAATTTTTTACGACAAAAACCCGTGGGTACCCATGAACCCGGGGATACCCAGCGGGTTGGGTTTGAGTTTTTCAAACCCAGTGGGTTTTACCCTAGGTTTTTTTCACGGATAAACCCATGGGTTTGGCAAAACCCGACCCAACCCGACCCATTGCCATCCCTATTTTTTATATTAAAAGCAAAGGGTAAAAGGGACATTTCATTCAAAAAGTAATATAACGTGTCTAAGTACTACAATAACTATCACAAAAAGTCAAAAACCAAATGATGTAAACTACAATACACCAATTTTCTTATATACATGCATATTAATATACACGCATTGATGACAATCCATCAATTTAACTATCACCAAAACCAAACGACCCATACGTTACTTATTTGAACCCAAATTCACAAATGTGAGCTTGTTTTCCACATTTGTGAATTTGAAGACACATCTAGCCTCATTATTAATGGATGAAAGTGACTCAACAGTTGTACATTTTTTATGGGAACCACATATGTTAAGAGTATTTTGTTTTTGGGTGCGTATGTTAAGAGTACTTTGACCTACAATACTATAAATTATCAAACAAATCTTGGATTAGGTAGGTGCGCACTCAAGATTCAAGAAGTGGTCCATTTGGGGGATGAAGCTTATCAGGGGCCGCCGGCGACCAGGTTGTTGAAGAGGAGGATGGCCGAAAAATAACAAAGTGGATAACTATAAATTAATTTTGCGAGTGCCCGTAAAAATTATATCGTACTAAAGGTGAAATTGAGGTATCGTATATTCTGAGTAAGAAATTGTTGAGTGTATTTAGAGGAAGCCCAAATAGGTGGAGCTCATCTGCCCCTATGATGGGAGTGGGGTCCATTGAGAGTGTGAAAACCTACTCACTTGAAACACTTCTCACTTGATCGTCGAATGACTAACGAATCAAAAAGGTCTCGTGCGCTGGTGTGCAGGAGGAAGAAAATGAACGTACGTCTGCCGATCAAGAGTCCGAAGTCAGGCGTCCAGACTACAGGACATCCCAGGGTTGTTGGCATCAACAAAAATGCTATCTAGGCTTTAATTGAACTGAACTTTTGAACGTGATACTGTACCTTAGATCCTTAATGATAGAAATTCTAAGTTCTTATTTTTCAAACTTTTATATAAAACAATAATCAATGGTTATGACTTATGATCAATATAATTACAGACATATATAGACTACCGTTTGATAGTAAGTAATTTTATTCTAGTTTATTGTGTCTTTGGATCGGTTGCCCTGCCAATTGTGAGGTAATGTTGGAACTTGGAGGAAATGCCAAATCATTAGCATAATGTTGGAACTTGGAGCAAATGCTAAATCATTAGGATAATTAATGTTGGACGAAAGCACCATTTTATTACTTTAATATGTTATGATGATTTCTTTACCGGGCAAAGTTTAGGTGACCATTTTGATAATTATCCACATAAATTAACTAAAAATGAATAACTTGTATAATGAAGTGGTAAACATTTATCAAGATTTTTTTAACCACTCGAGTTATTGAAAACAAACAAGTTATGATTAAGAATGACAAAAATAATCTACAATTTGGGTATTTTCCAAACTCAATTTATTATGTACCAAGTCAAGTTTGGTAATATTACTCTTGAGCCATACCCATATCCAATCATTTAGTTTGAGTTTAAATTAGACCTCTACCAATATTCTTATATGGAAATGTAGTGTCATTAACCCTTTTTTAAATCCTTCCTTACATAAAGATAATCCAAAAATTCAAAGACAAATAATGCAACGAAGTGGTAACATCCACACACATGAACCTCTCTCAACAACTCGAGTTATCGAAACCAAACAGTTTATGACATGAAACGAGAACTGGTTCGACCATGAGATCATCTATTCAAGACTTCAAGTTTTCAGAGCCGCAATATGAATCGTTGATTCAAACACACAGTTTGCTCATGCATGACTGTGCAAACTTCAAACTTATGAGTTTGTTTTTTTTCATTTGAAGAAACGTATAAAGAACTGATCAATTCATACATTGATATCTGCCAACAACTCGAATCATGGTAACAAAAATAGTTATAACTAATAACAATAACGACGTGCAAGAAAGGGCAGAAAGGAGGATGATGCAATGCTTATATCTAGTATCTACACATTACACACTATTGCTACCAACCCCAAATTGCCAAAAACCAAAAGGAAAACAATTTCCCACCAACCCCCATCTGCTCAACCATGGCAGCCACCACTACCCTTCCTCTCTGGTAGGCCCTACCCCACAATCTCATGTTCCC